CTCATGGTTTTTCTCGAGTTGCGGCGGGGACATGGGGTATGTTTTCCACTTACGGCGGGGATGGCTCTTCAAAACCCGTGTTTATTAAGTGACGTCAGGACTCCTGTCTAGTAACGAGGGACACCTCAGGAATCTCTTCGAGGCTTGGCAGGGCAAAAGGGACGCTCCTCGAGTTGAGGCAGGGCACCCAAGGACCCTTTCCAGTAGCCACAGCGATTTTGGGAATCCTATCAGTATTCAAGAGGAGTCAGGCATCGTCACCTTTTGAAGCAATGAACTCCGCGTGCCTCTCGAGGTGTCAATGGGATGTGAGGCATTCCGTCAAAATGAGGCAGGGACCTAGGGCATGGTCTAAGGTTTCCACAGGGGATTCAGGCATCCCTTCATGTTTCGAGATCAAAGACGAGCCTGTATTCAAGCCACTGCAAAGAAATGCTTCCTCCTTCCAAGTTTGGACTTCTCGCTGTATATTCCACTTGAGGCAGCGATCTCGGGGTCCCTCCCACATACTTATTGCTGAGAGAAGCCTCCTCCTGAGGTGCTATTGGAAAGTTGGCATACGTCTTGAGCCTAAGCCAGGGAATGAGCTCTCATCTCGAGACGATTTGGGGTACACGGAGCATTCCTCGAGTTGCTGTGCTGACGTTGGTGTTCCTCTAGACTTGGGACAGTGTTCTCGGGGCATCTCTGGAGTTGCCTGAAGGAAGTCGAGCCACCGGTCGTGTTGAATGGGGAACGGGGAATGGCTCTGGAGTCAATGAAGGGGAATCGGGCCTCATCTCGAGTTGATTTGGGGCACATGGAGCTGCTTTGCGTTGCTGGGGTGACCTCAGGGTACGTCTAGACTGGTGACAGTGTTCTTGGGGACTGTCTCGAGATCCATTAAGCAAGTCCACGCTCCTGACTTGTTTGAATGGGATCATGGAATAGCTCTGCAAGCACTGAGGGGAATGGGGCCTCATCTCACCTCTATGGCGAAGTCTCGTGGTTTTTCTCTAGTTGCGGCGGGGACCTGGGGTATGTTCTCGACTTACGGCGGGGATGGCCCTTCAATACCCGTGTTTATTAAGTGACGTCAGGACTCCTGTCTAGTAACGAGGGACACCTCAGGAATATCTTCGAGGCTTGGCAGGGCAAAAGGGACGCTTCTCGAGGTGAGGCAGGGCACCCAAGGACCCTTTCCAGTAGCCACAGGGATTTTGGGATTCCTATCAGTATTCAAGAGGTGTCAGGCATCGTCACCTTTTGAAGCAATGAACTCAGCGTGCCTCTGGAGGTGTCAACGGGATGTGAGGCATTCCGACAAAATGAAGCAGGGACCTAGGGCTTTCTCTAAGGTCTCCACAGGGGATTCAGACATCCCTTCATGTTGTGAGATGAAAGACGAGCCTGTATTCAAGCCACTGCAAGGAAATACGGCCTCCATTCAAGTTAGCGCTTCTCGCTGTATATTCCCCTTGAGGCAGCAAACTCGGGGTGCCTTCCACATACCTATTGCTGAGAGAAGCCTCCTCCTGAGGTGCTTCTGGAAAGTTGTCATACGTCTTGAGCCTAAGCCAGGGAATCAGCTCTCATCTCGAGATGATTTGGGTTACACGGAGCATTCTTCGAGTTGCTGTGCTGAAGTTGGTGTTCCTCTAGACTTGGGACAGTGTTCTCGGGCATCTCTGGAGTTGCCTGAAGGAAGTCGAGCCACCGGTCGTGTTGAATGGGGAACGGGGAATGGCTCTGGAGTCAATGCAGGGGAATCGGGCCTCATCTCGAGTTGATTTGGGGCACATGGAGCTGCTTTGCGTTGCTGCGGTGACCTCAGGGTCCGTCTAGACTCGTGACAGTGTTCTTGGGGACTGTCTCGAGATCCATTAAGCAAGTCGAAGCTCCTGACTTGTTTGAATGGGATCACGGAATAGCTCTGCATGCACTGCAGTTGAATGGGGCCTCATCTCGCCTCTAGGGGGAAGTCTCATGGTTTTTCTCGAGTAGCGGCGGGGACCTGGGGTATGTTCTCGACTTACGGCGGGGATGGCCCTTCAAAACACGAGTTTCTTCAGTGACGTCAGGACTCCTGTCTAGTAACGAGGGACACCTCAGGAATCTCTTCGAGGCTTGGCAGTGCAAAAGGGATGCTTCTCGAGGTGAGGCAGGACACCCAAGGACCCTTTCCAGTAGCCACAGGGATTTTGGGATTCCTATCAGTATTCAAGAGGAGTCAGGCATCGTCACCTTTTGAAGCAATGAACTCCGCGTGCCTCTCGAGGTGTCAACGGGATGTGAGGCATTCCGTCAAAATGAGGCAGGGACCTAGGGCGTTCTCTAAGGTCTCCACAGGGGATTCAGACATCCCTTCATGATGTGACATGAAAGACGAGCCTTTATTCAAGCCACTGCAAGGAAATCCGTTCTCCTTTCAAGTTAGGGCTTCTTTCTGTATATTCCCCTTGAGGCAGCAAACTCGGGGTCCCTTCCACATACCTATTGCTGAGAGAAGCCTCCTCTTGACGTGCTTCTGGAGAGTTGGCATACGTCTTGAGCCTAAGCCAGGGAATCAGCTCTCATCTCGAGACGATTTGGGGTACACGGAGCATTCCTCGAGTTGCTGTGCTGAAGTTGGTGTTCCTCTAGACTTGGGACAGTTTCTCGGGGCATCTCTGGAGTTGCCTGAAAGAAGTCGAGCCACCGGTGGTGTTGAATGGGGAACGGGGAATGGCTCTGGAGTCAATTCAGGGGAATCGGGCCTCATCTCGAGTTGATTTGGGGCACATGGAGCTGCTTTGCGTTGCTGGGGTGACATCAGGGTCCGTCTAGACTGGTGACAGTGATCTTGGGGACTGTTTCGAGATCCATTAAGCAAGTCGAAGCTCCTGACTTGTTTGAATGGGATCACGGAATAGCTCTGCATGCACTGCAGGGGAATGGGGCCTCATCTCGCCTATAGAGGGAACTCTCATGGTTTTTCTCGAGTTGCGGCGGGGACATGGGGTATGTTTTCCACTTACGGCGGGGATGGCTCTTCAAAACCCGTGTTTATTAAGTGACGTCAGGACTCCTGTCTAGTAACGAGGGACACCTCAGGAATCTCTTCGAGGCTTGGCAGGGCAAAAGGGACGCTCCTCGAGTTGAGGCAGGGCACCCAAGGACCCTTTCCAGTAGCCACAGCGATTTTGGGAATACTATCAGTATTCAAGAGGAGTCAGGCATCGTCACCTTTTGAAGCAATGAACTCCGCGTGCCTCTCGAGGTGTCAACGGGATGTGAGGCATTCCGTCAAAATGAGGCAGGGACCTAGGGCATGGTCTAAGGTTTCCACAGGGGATTCAGGCATCCCTTCATGTTTCGAGATCAAAGACGAGCCTGTATTCAAGCCACTGCAAGGAAATCTGGCCTCCTTTCAAGTTAGGGCTTCTCGCTGTATATTCCACTTGAGGCAGCGATCTCGGGGTCCCTCCCACATACCTATTGCTGAGAGAAGCCTCCTCCTGAGGTGCTTCTGGAAAGTTCGCATACGTCTTGAGCCTAAGCCAGGGAATCAGCTCTCACATCGAGACGATTTGGGGTACACGGAGCATTCCTCGAGTTGCTGTGCTGAAGTTGGTGTTCCTCTAGACTTGGGACAGTGTTCTCGGGGCATCTCTGGAGTTGCCTGAAGGAAGTTGAGCCACCAGTCGTGTTGAATGGGGAAAGGGAATGGCTCTGGAGTCAATGCAGGGGAATCGGGCCTCATCTCGTGTTGATTTGGGGCACATGGAGCTGCTTTGCGTTGCTGGGGTGACCTGAAGTTCCGTCTAGACTGGTGACAGTGTTCTTGGGGACTGTCTCGAGATCCATTAAGCAAGTCGAAGCTCCTGACTTGTTTGAATGGGATCACGGAATAGCTCTGCATGCACTGAGGGGAATGGGGCCTCATCTCGCCTCTATGGCGAAGTCTCGTGGTTTTTCTCCTGTTGCGGCGGGGACCTAGGGTATGTTCTCAACTTAGGGCGGGGATGGCCTTCAAAACACGAGTTTCTTCAGTGACGTCAGGACTCCTGTCTAGTAACGAGGGACACCTCAGGAATCTCTTCGAGGATTGGCAGGGCAAAAGGGATGCTTCTCGAGGTGAGGCACGTCACCCAAGGACCCTTTCCAGTAGCCACAGGGATTTTGGGATTCCTCTCAGTATACAAGAGGAGTCAGGCATCGTCACCTTTTGAAGCAATGCACTCCGCGTGCCTCTCGAGGTGTCAACGGGATGTGAGGCATTCCGTCAAAATGAGGCAGGGACCTAGGGCTTTCTCTAAGGTCTCCACAGGTGATTCAGACATCCTTTCATGTTTTGAGATCAAAGATGAGCCTGTATTCAAGCAACTGCAAGGAAATCCGGCCTCCTTTCAAGTTAGGACTTCTCGCTGTATATTCCAATTTAGGCAGCGATATCGGGGTCCCTCCCACATACATATTGCTGAGAGAAGCCTCCTCTTGAGGTGCTTCTGGAAAGTTGGCATACGTCTTGAGCCTAAGCCAGGGAATCAGCTCTCATCTCGAGACGATTTGGGGTACACGGAGCATTCCTCGAGTTGCTGTGCTGAAGTTGGTGTTCCTCTAGACTTGGGACAGTGTTCTCGGGGCATCTCTGGAGTTGCCTGAAGGAAGTCGAGCCACCGGTCGTGTTGAATGGGGAACGGGGAATGGCTTTGGAGTCAATGCAGGGGAATCGGGCCTCATCTCGAGTTGATTTGGGGCACATGGAGGTGCTTTGCGTTGCTGGGGTGACCTCAGGGTACGTCTAGACTGGTGACAGTGTTCTTGGGGACTGTCTCGAGATCCATTAAGCAAGTCCACGCTCCTGACTTGTTTGAATGGGATCACGGAATAGCTCTGCAAGCACTGAGGGGAATGGGGCCTCATCTCAACTCTATGGCGAAGTCTCGTGGTTTTTCTCTAGTTGCGGCGGGGACCTGGGGTATGTTCTCGACTTACGGCGGGGATGGCCCTTCAATACCCGTGTTTATTAAGTGACGTCAGGACTCCTGTCTAGTAACGAGGGACACCTCAGGAATATCTTCGAGGCTTGGCAGGGCAAAAGGGACGCTTCTCGAGGTGAGGCAGGGCACCCAAGGACCCTTTCCAGTAGCCACAGGGATTTTGGGATTCCTATCAGTATTCAAGAGGTGTCAGGCATCGTCACCTTTTGAAGCAATGAACTCAGCGTGTCTCTGGAGGTGTCAACGGGATGTGAGGCATTCCGACAAAATGAAGCAGGGACCTAGGGCTTTCTCTAAGGTCTCCACAGGGGATTCAGACATCCCTTCATGTTGTGAGATGAAAGACGAGCCTGTATTCAAGCCACTGCAAGGAAATACGGCCTCCATTCAAGTTAGCGCTTCTCGCTGTATATTCCCCTTGAGGCAGCAAATTCGGGGTGCCTTCCACATACCTATTGCTGAGAGAAGCCTCCTCTTGAGGTGCTTCTGGAAAGTTGTCATACGTCTTGAGCCTAAGCCAGGGAATCAGCTCTCATCTCGAGATGATTTGGGTTACACGGAGCATTCTTCGAGTTGCTGTGCTGAAGTTGGTGTTCCTCTAGACTTGGGACAGTGTTCTCGGGCATCTCTGGAGTTGCCTGAAGGAAGTCGAGCCACCGGTCGTGTTGAATGGGGAACGGGGAATGGCTCTGGAGTCAATGCAGGGGAATCGGGCCTCATCTCGAGTTGATTTGGGGCACATGGAGCTGCTTTGCGTTGCTGCGGTGACCTCAGGGTCCGTCTAGACTCGTGAGAGTGTTCTTGGGGACTGTCTCGAGATCCATTAAGCAAGTCGAAGCTCCTGACTTGTTTGAATGGGATCACGGAATAGCTCTGCATGCACTGCAGTTGAATGGGGCCTCATTTCGCTTCTAGGGGGAAGTCTCATGGTTTTTCTCGAGTTGCGGCGGGGACCTGGGGTATGTTCTCAACTTACGGCGGGGATGGCCCTTCAAAACACGAGTTTCTTCAGTGACGTCAGGACTCTTGTCTAGTAACTAGGGACACCTCAGGAATCTCTTCGAGGCTTGGCAGGGCAAAAGCGATGCTTCTCGAGGTGAGACAGGGCACCCAAGGACCCTTTCCAGTAGCCACATGGGTTTTGGGATTCCTATCAGTATTCAAGAGGAGTCAGGCATCGTCACCTTTTGAAGCAATGAACTCTGCGTGCCTCTCGAGGTGTCAACGGGATGTGAGGCATTCCGTCAAAATGAGGCAGGGACCTAGGGTTTTCTCTAAGGTCTCCACAGGGGATTCACACATCCCTTCATGTTGTAACATGAAAGACGAGCCTGTATTCAAGCCACTGCAAGGAAATTCGGCCTTCTTTCAAGTTAGGGCTTCTCGCTGTATATTCCCCTTGAGGTAGCAAACTCGGGGTCCCTTCCACATACCTATTGCTGAGAGAAGCCTCCTCTTGAGGTGCTTCTGGAAAGTTGGCATACGTCTTGAGCCTAAGCCAGGGAATCAGCTCTAACATGGAGATGATTTGGGGTACACGGAGCATTCCTCGAGTTGCTGTGCTGAAGTTGGTGTTCCTCTAGACGTTGGACAGTGTTCTCGGGGCATCTCTGGAGTTGCCTGAAGGAAGTCGAGCCACCGGTCGTGTTGAATGGGGAACGGGGAATGGCTCTGGAGTCAATGCAGGGGAATCGGGCCTCATCTCAAGTTGATTTGGGGCACATGGAGCTGCTTTGCGTTGCTGGGGTGACCTCAGGGTCCGTCTAGACTGGTGACAGTGTTCTTGGCGACTGTCTCGAGATCCATTAAGCAAGTCAAAGCTCCTGACTTGTTTGAATCTGATCACGGAAAAGCTCTGCATGCACTGCAGGGGAATGGGGCCTCATCTCGCCTCTAGGGGGAAGTCTCATGGTTTTTCTCGAGTAGCGGCGGGGACCTGGGGTATGTTCTCGACTTACGGCGGGGATGGCCCTTCAAAACACGAGTTTCTTCAGTGACGTCAGGACTCCTGTCTAGTAACGAGGGACACCTCAGGAATCTCTTCGAGGCTTGGCAGTGCAAAAGGGATGCTTCTCGAGGTGAGGCAGGACACCCAAGGACCCTTTCCAGTAGCCACAGGGATTTTGGGATTCCTATCAGTATTCAAGAGGAGTCAGGCATCGTCACCTTTTGAAGCAATGAACTCCGCGTGCCTCTCGAGGTGTCAACGGGATGTGAGGCATTCCGTCAAAATGAGGCAGGGACCTAGGGCGTTCTCTAAGGTCTCCACAGGGGATTCAGACATCCCTTCATGTTGTGAGATGAAAGACGAGCCTGTATTCCAGCCACTGCAAGGAAATCCGGCCTCCTTTCAAGTTAGGGCTTTTCGCTGTATATTCCACTTGAGGCAGCGATCTCGGGGTCCGTCCCACATACCTATTGCTGAGAGAAGCCTCCTCCTGAGGTGCTTCTGGAAAGTTGGCATACGTCTTGAGCCTAAGCCAGGGAATCAGCTCTCATCTCGAGACGATTTGGGTTACACGGAACATTTCCTGAGTTGCTGTGCTGAAGTTGGTGTTCCTCTAGACTTGGGACATTGTTCTCGGGGCATCTCTGGAGTTGCCTGAAGGAAGTCGAGCCACCGGTCGTGTTGAATGGAGAACGGGGAATGGCTCTGGAGTCAATGCAGGGGATCGGGCCTCATCTCGAGTAGATTTGGGGTACATGGAACTGCTTTGTGTTGCTGGGGTGACCTCAGTTTCCGTCTAGACTGGTGACAGTGTTCTTGGTGACTGTCTGGAAATCCATTAAGCAAGTTGAAGCTCCTGACTTGTTTGAATGGGATCACGGAATAGCTCTGCATGCACTGCAGGGGAATGGGGCCTCATCTTGCCTCTAGGGGGAAGTCTCATGGTTTTTCTCGAGTTGCGGCGGGGACCTGGGATATGTTCTCAACTTACGGCGGGATGGCCCTTCAAAGCACGAGTTTCTTCAGTGACGTCAGGACTCTTGTCTAGTAACGAGGGACACCTCAGGAATCTCTTCGAGGCTTGGCAGGGCAAAAGGGACGCTTCTCGAGGTGAGGCAGGGCTCCCAAGGACCCTTTCCAGTAGCCACAGGGGTTTTGGGATTCCTATCAGTATTCAAGAGGAGTCAGGCATCGTCACCATTTGAAGCAATGAACTCCGCGTGCCTCTCGAGGTGTCAACGGGATGTGAGGAATTCCGTCAAAATGAGGCAGGGACCTTAGGTTTTCTCTAAGGTCTCCACAGGGGATTCAGACATCCCTTCATGTTTTGAGATCAAAGACGAGCCTGTATTCAAGCCACTGCAAGGAAATCTGGCCTCCTTTCAAGTTAGGGCTTCTCGCTGTATATTCCACTTGAGGCAGCAAACTCGGGGTCCCTTCCACTTACCTATTGCTGAGAGTAGTCTCCTCTTGAGGTGCTTCTGGAAAGTTGGCATACGTCTTGAGCCTAAGCCAGGGAATCAGCTCTCATCTCGAGACGGTTTGGGGTACACGGAGCATTGCTCGAGTTGCTGTGCTGAAGTTGGTTTCCTCTAGACTTGGGACAGTGTTCTCGGGGCATCTCTGGAGTTGCCTGAAGGAAGTCGAGCCACTGGTCGTGTTGAATGGGAAAAGGGGAATGGCTCTGGAGTCAATGCAGGGGAATCGGGCCTCATCTCGAGTTGATTTGGGGCACATGGAGCTGCTTTGCGTTGCTGGGGTGACCTCAGGGTCCGTCTAGACTGGTGACAGTGTTTTTGGGGACTGTCTCGAGATCCTTTAAGCAAGTCGAAGCTCCTGACTTGTTTGAATGGGATCACGGAACAGCTCTGCATGCACTGCAGGGGAATGGGGCCTCATCTCGCCTCTAGGGGGAAGTCTCATGGTTTTTCTCGAGTTGCGGCAGGGACCTGGGGTATGTTCTCGACCTACGGCGGGGATGGCCCTTCAAAACCCGTGTTTATTAATGACGTCAGGACTCCTGTCTAGTAACGAGGGACGCATCAGGAATCACTTCGATACTTGCCAGGGCAAAAGGGACGCTTCTCGAGGTGAGGCAGGGCACCCAAGGACTCTTTCCATTAGCCACAGTGATTTTGGGATTCCTATCAGTTTTCCAGAGGAGTCAGGCATCGTCACCTTTTGAAGCAATGAACTCCGCGTGCCTCTCGAGGTGTCAACGGGACGTGAGGCATTCCGTCAAAATGAGGCAGGGACCTAGGGCTTTCTCTAAGGTCTCCACAGGGGATTCAGACATCCCTTCATGTTGTGAGATGAAAGACGAGCCTGTATTCCAGCCACTGCATGGAAATCCGGCCTCCTTTCAAGTTAGAGCTTTTCGCTGTATATTCCACTTGAGGCAGCGATCTCGGGGTCCCTCCCACATACCTATTGCTGAGAGAAGCCTCCTCCTGAGGTGCTTCTGGAAAGTTGGCATACGTCTTGAGCCTAAGCCAGGGAATCAGCTCTCACATCGAGACGATTTGGGGTACACGGAGCATTCCTCGAGTTGCTGTGCTGAGGTTGGTGTTCCTCTAGACTTGGGACAGTGTTCTCGGGGCATCTCTGGAGTTGCCTGAAGGAAGTTGAGCCACCAGTCGTGTTGAATGGGGAAAGGGAATGGCTCTGGAGTCAATGCAGGGGAATCGCGCCTCATCTCGTGTTGATTTGGGGCACATGGAGCTGCTTTGCGTTGCTGGGGTGACCTGAAGTTCCGTCTAGACTGGTGACAGTGTTCTTGGGGACTGTCTCGAGATCCATTAAGCAAGTCGAAGCTCCTGACTTGTTTGAATGGGATCACGGAATAGCTCTGCATGCACTGAGGGGAATGGGGCCTCATCTCGCCTCTATGGCGAAGTCTCGTGGTTTTTCTCCTGTTGCGGCGGGGACCTGGGGTATGTTCTCAACTTAGGGCGGGGATGGCCTTCAAAACCCGAGTTTCTTCAGTGACGTCAGGACTCCTGTCTAGTAACGAGGGACACCTCAGGAATCTCTTCGAGGATTGGCAGGGCAAAAGGGATGCTTCTCGAGGTGAGGCACGTCACCCAAGGACCCTTTCCAGTAGCCACAGGGATTTTGGGATTCCTCTCAGTATACAAGAGGAGTCAGGCATCGTCACCTTTTGAAGCAATGCACTCCGCGTGCCTCTCGAGGTGTCAGCGGGATGTGAGGCATTCCGTCAAAATGAGGCAGGGACCTAGGGCTTTCTCTAAGGTCTCCACAGGGGATTCAGACATCCTTTCATGTTTTGAGATCAAAGATGAGCCTGTATTCAAGCCACTGCAAGGAAATCCGGCCTCCTTTCAAGTTAGGTCTTCTCGCTGTATATTCCACTTTAGGCAGCGATATCGGGGTCCCTCCCACATACCTATTGTTGAGAGAAGCCTCCTCTAGAGGTGCTTCTGGAAAGTTGGCATACGTCTTGAGCCTTAGCCAGGGAATCAGCTCTCACATCGAGACGATTTGGGGTACACGGAGCATTCTTCGAGTTGCTGTGCTGAAGTTGGTGTTCCTCTAGACTTGGGACAGTGTTCTCGGGCATCTCTGGAGTTGCCTGAAGGAAGTCGAGCCACCGGTCGTGTTGAATGGGGAACGGGGAATGGCTCTGGAATCAATGCAGGGGAATCGGGCCTCATCTCGAGTTGATTTGGGGCACATGGAGCTGCTTTGCGTTGCTGGGGTAACCTCAGGGTCCGTCTAGACTGGTGACAGTGTTCTTGGGGACTGTCTCGAGATCCATTAAGCAAGTCGAAGCTCCTGACTTGTTTGAATGGGATCACGGAATAGCTCTGCATGCACTGCAGGGGAATGGGGCCTCATCTCGCCTCTAGGGGGAAGTCTCATGTTTTTTCTCGAGTTGCGGCGGGGACCTGGGGTATGTTCTCGACTTACGGCGGGGATGGCTCTTCAAAACACGAGTTTCTACAGTGACGTCAGGACTCCTGTCTAGTAACGAGGGACACCTCAGGAATCTCTTCGAGGCTTGGCAGGGCAAAAGGGACGCTTCTCGAGGTGAGGCAGGGCACCCAAGGACCCTTTCCAGTAGCCACAGAGATTTTGGGATTCCTATCAGTATTCAAGAGGAGTCAGGCATCGTCACCTGTTGAAGCAATGAACTCCGCGTGCCTCTCGAGGTGTCAACGGGATGTGAGGCATTCCATCAAAATGAGGCAGGGACCTAGGGCTTTCTCTACGGTCTCCACAGGGGATTCAGACATCCCTTCATGTTGTGAGATGAAAGATGAGCCTGTATTCAAGCCACTGCAAGGAAATCCGGCCTGCTTTCTAGTTAGGGCTTCTCGCTGTATATTCCACTTGAGGCAGCAAACTCGGGGTCCCTCCCACATACCTATTGCTGAGAGAAGCCTCCTCTTGAGGTGCTTCTGGAAAGTTGGCATACGTCTTGAGCCTAAGCCAGGGAATGAGCTCTCATCTCGAGACGATTTGGGGTACACGGAGCATTCCTCGAGTTGCTGTGCTGAAGTTGGTGTTCCTCTACACTTGAGACAGTGTTCTCAGGGCATCTCTGGAGTTGCCTGAAGGAAGTCGAGCCACCGGTCGTGTTGAATGGGTAACGGGGAATGGCTCTGGATTCAATGCAGGAGAATCAGGCCTCATCTCGAGTTGATTTGGGGCACATGGATCTGCTGTGCGTTGCTGGGGTGACCTCAGGTTCCGTCTAGACTGCTGACAGTGTTCTTGGGGACTGTTTCGAGATCCATTAAGCAAGTCGAAGATCCTGACTTGTTTCAATAGGATCACGGAATAGCTCTGCATGCACGGCAAGGGAAGGGGCTTCATCACGCCTCTAGGGGGAAGTCTCATGTTTTTTCTCGAGTTGCGGCGGGGACCTGGGGTATGTTCTCGACTTACGGCGGGGATGGCCCTTCAAAACACGAGTTTCTTCAGTGACGTCAGGACTCCTGTCTAGTAACGAGGGACACCTCAGGAATCTCTTCGAGGCTTCGCAGGGCAAAAGGGACGCTTCTCGAGGTGAGGCAGGGCACCCAAGGACCCTTTCCAGTAGCCACAGGGATTTTGGGATTCCTATCAGTATTCAAGAGGAGTCAGGCATCGTCACCTTTTGAAGCAATGAACTCCGCGTGCCTCTCGAGGAGTCAACGGGATGTGAGGCATTCCGTCAAAATGAGGCAGGGACCTAGGGCTTTGTCTAAGGTCTCCACAGGGGATTCAGACATCCCTTCATGTTGTGAGATGAAAGACGAGCCTGTAGTCAAGCCACTGCAAGGAAATCCGGCCTCCTTTCAAGTTAGGGCTTCTCGCTGTATATTCCACTTGAGGCAGCAAACTCGGGGTCCCTCCCAAATACCTATTGCTGAGAGAAGCCTCCTCTTGAGGTGCTTCTGGAAAGTTGGCATACGTCTTGAGCCTAAGCCAGGGAATGAGCTCTCATCTCGAGACGATTTGGGGTACACGCAGCATTCCTCGAGTTGCTGTGCTGAAGTTGGTGTTCCTCTAGACTTGGGAGAGTGTTCTCAGGGCATCTCTGGAGTTCCCTGAAGGAAGTCGAGCCACCGGTCGTGTTGAATGTGTAACGGGGAATGGCTCTGGAGTCAATGCAGGAGAATCAGGCCTCATCTCGAGTTGATTTGGGGCACATGGATCTGCTTTGGGTTGCTGTGGTGACCTCAAGTTTCGTCTAGACTGGTGACAGTGTTCTTGAGGACTGTTTCGAGATCCATTAAGCAAGTCGAAGCTCCTGACTTGTTTGAATGGGATCACGGAATAGCTCTGCATGCACTGCAATGGAATGGGGCCACATCACGCCTCTAGGGGGAAGTCTCGTGGTTTTTCTCGAGTTGCGGCGGGGACCTGGGGTATGTTCTCAACTTAGGGCGGGGATGGCCCTTCAAAACACGAGTTTCTTCAGTGACGTCAGGACTCCTGTCTAGTAACGAGGGACACCTCAGGAATCTCTTCGAGGCTTGGCAGGGCAAAAGGGATGCTTCTCGAGGTGATGCAGTGCACTCAAGGACCCTTTCCAGTAGCCACAGGGATTTTGGGATTCCTCTCAGTATACAAGAGGAGTCAGGCATCGTCACCTTTTGAAGCAATGCACTCCGCGTGCCTCTCGAGGTGTCAGCGGGATGTGAGGCATTCCGTCAAAATGAGGCAGGGACCTAGGGCTTTCTCTAAGGTCTCCACAGGGGATTCAGACATCCTTTCATGTTTTGAGATCAAAGATGAGCCTGTATTCAAGCCACTGCAAGGAAATCCGGCCTCCTTTCAAGTTAGGTCTTCTCGCTGTATATTCCACTTTAGGCAGCGATATCGGGGTCCCTCCCACATACCTATTGTTGAGAGAAGCCTCCTCTAGAGGTGCTTCTGGAAAGTTGGCATACGTCTTGAGCCTAAGCCAGGGAATCAGCTCTCATCTCGAGACGATTTGGGTTACACGGAACATTTCCTGAGTTGCTGTGCTGAAGTTGGTGTTCCTCTAGACTTGGGACAGTGTTCTCGGGCATCTCTGGAGTTGCCTGAAGGAAGTCGAGCCACCGGTCGTGTTGAATGGGGAACGGGGAATGGCTCTGGAATCAATGCAGGGGAATCGGGCCTCATCTCGAGTTGATTTGGGGCACATGGAGCTGCTTTGCGTTGCTGGGGTAACCTCAGGGTCCGTCTAGACTGGTGACAGTGTTCTTGGGGACTGTCTCGAGATCCATTAAGCAAGTCGAAGCTCCTGACTTGTTTGAATGGGATCACGGAATAGCTCTGCATGCACTGCAGGGGAATGGGGCCTCATCTCGCCTCTAGGGGGAAGTCTCATGTTTTTTCTCGAGTTGCGGCGGGGACCTGGGGTATGTTCTCGACTTACGGCGGGGATGGCTCTTCAAAACACGAGTTTCTTCAGTGACGTCAGGACTCCTGTCTAGTAACGAGGGACACCTCAGGAATCTCTTCGAGGCTTGGCAGGGCAAAAGGGACGCTTCTCGAGGTGAGGCAGGGCACCCAAGGACCCTTTCCAGTAGCCACAGAGATTTTGGGATTCCTATCAGTATTCAAGAGGAGTCAGGCATCGTCACCTGTTGATGCAATGAACTCCGCGTGCCTCTCGAGGTGTCAACGGGATGTGAGGCATTCCATCAAAATGAGGCAGGGACCTAGGGCTTTCTCTACGGTCTCCACAGGGGATTCAGACATCCCTTCATGTTGTGAGATGAAAGATGAGCCTGTATTCAAGCCACTGCAAGGAAATCCGGCCTGCTTTCTAGTTAGGGCTTCTCGCTGTATATTCCACTTGAGGCAGCAAACTCGGGGTCCCTCCCACATACCTATTGCTGAGAGAAGCCTCCTCTTGAGGTGCTTCTGGAAAGTTGGCATACGTCTTGAGCCTAAGCCAGGGAATGAGCTCTTATCTCGAGACGATTTGGGGTACACGGAACATTCCTCGAGTTGCTGTGCTGAAGTTGGTGTTCCTCTACACTTGAGACAGTGTTCTCAGGGCATCTCTGGAGTTGCCTGAAGGAAGTCGAGCCACCGGTCGTGTTGAATGGGTAACGGGGAATGGCTCTGGATTCAATGCAGGAGAATCAGGCCTCATCTCGAGTTGATTTGGGGCACATGGATCTGCTGTGCGTTGCTGGGGTGACCTCAGGTTCCGTCTAGACTGCTGACAGTGTTCTTGGGGACTGTTTCGAGATCCATTAAGCAAGTCGAAGATCCTGACTTGTTTCAATAGGATCACGGAATAGCTCTGCATGCACGGCAAGGGAAGGGGCTTCATCACGCCTCTAGGGGGAAGTCTCATGTTTTTTCTCGAGTTGCGGCGGGGACCTGGGGTATGTTCTCGACTTACGGCGGGGATGGCCCTTCAAAACACGAGTTTCTTCAGTGACGTCAGGACTCCTGTCTAGTAACGAGGGACACCTCAGGAATCTCTTCGAGGCTTGGCAGGGCAAAAGGGACGCTTCTCGAGGTGAGGCAGGGCACCCAAGGACCCTTTCCAGTAGCCACAGGGATTTTGGGATTCCTATCAGTATTCAAGAGGAGTCAGGCATCGTCACCTTTTGAAGCAATGAACTCCGCGTGCCTCTCGAGGAGTCAACGGGATGTGAGGCATTCCGTCAAAATGAGGCAGGGACCTAGGGCTTTGTCTAAGGTCTCCACAGGGGATTCAGACATCCCTTCATGTTGTGAGATGAAAGACGAGCCTGTAGTCAAGCCACTGCAAGGAAATCCGGCCTCCTTTCAAGTTAGGGCTTCTCGCTGTATATTCCACTTGAGGCAGCAAACTCGGGGTCCCTCCCAAATACCTATTGCTGAGAGAAGCCTCCTCTTGAGGTGCTTCTGGAAAGTTGGCATACGTCTTGAGCCTAAGCCCGGGAATGAGCTCTCATCTCGAGACGATTTGGGGTACACGCAGCATTCCTCGAGTTGCTGTGCTGAAGTTGGTGTTCCTCTAGACTTGGGACAGTGTTCTCAGGGCATCTCTGGAGTTCCCTGAAGGAAGTCGAGCCACCGGTCGTGTTGAATGTGTAACGGGGAACGGCTCTGGAGTCAATGCAGGAGAATCAGGCCTCATCTCGAGTTGATTTGGGGCACATGGATCTGTTTGCGTTGCTGTGGTGACCTCAAGTTTCGTCTAGACTGGTGACAGTGTTCTTGAGGACTGTTTCGAGATCCATTAAGCAAGTCGAAGCTCCTGACTTGTTTGAATGGGATCACGGAATAGCTCTGCATGCACTGCAATGGAATGGGGCCACATCACGCCTCTAGGGGGAAGTCTCATGGTTTTTCTCGAGTTGCGGCGGGGACCTGGTGTATGTTCTCGACTTACGGCGGGGATGGCCCTTCAAAACACGAGTTTCTTCAGTGACGTCAGGACTCCTGTCTATTAACGAGGGACACCTCAGGAATCTCTTCGAGGCTTGGCAGGGCAAAAGGGACGCTTCTCGAGGTGAGGCAGTGCACTCAAGGACCCTTTCCAGTAGCCACAGGGATTTTGGGATTCCTATCAGTATTCAAGAGGAGTCAGGCATCGTCACCTTTTGAAGCAATGAACTCCGCGTGCCTCTCGAGGTGTCAACGAGATGTGAGGCATTCTGTCAAAATGAGGCAGGGACTTAGGGCTTTCTCTAAGGTCTCCACAGGGGTTTTAGACATCCCTTCATGTTGTGAGATGAAAGACGAGCCTGTAGTCAAGCCACTGCAAGGAAATCCGGCCTCCTTTCAAGTTAGGGCTTCTCGCTGTATATTGCACTTGAGGCAGCGATCTCGGGGTCCCTCCCACATACCTATTGCTGAGAGAAGCCTCCTCCTGAGGTGCTTCTGGAAAGTTGGCATAAGTCTTGATCCTAAGCCAGGGAATCAGCTCTCATCTCGAGACGATTTGGGGTACACGGAACATTCCTCGAGTTGCTGTGCTGAAGTTGGTGTTCCTCTAGACTTGGGACAGTGTTCTCAGGGCATCTCTGGAGTTACCTGAATGAAGTCGAGCCACCGGTCGTGTTGAATGGGGAATGGGGAATGGCTCTGCACTCAATGCAGGGGAATCGGGCCTCATCTCGAGTTGATTTGGGGCACATGGAGCTGCTTTGCATTGCTGGGGTGACCTCAGGGTCCGTCTAGGCTGGTGACAGTGTTCTTGGGGACTGTCTCGAGACCCATTAAGGAAGTCGAAGCTCCTGACTTGTTTGAATGGGATCACGGAATAGCTCTGCATGCACTGCAGGGGAATGGGGCCTCATCTCGCCTCTAGGGGGAAGTCTCATGGTTTTTCTCGAGTTGCGGCGGGGACCTGGGGGTATGTTCTCGACTTACGGCGGGGATGGCCCTTCAAAACACGAGTTTCTTCAGTGACGTCAGGACTCCTGTCTAGTAACGAGGGACACCTCAGGAATCTCTTCGAGGCTTGGCAGGGCAAAAGGGACGCTTCTCGAGGTGAGGCAGGGCACCCAAGGACCCTTTCCAGTAGCCACAGGGATTTTGAGATTCCTATCAGTATTCAAGAGGAGTCAGGCATCGTCACCTTTTGAAGCAATGAACTCCGCGTGCCTCTCGAGGTGTCAACGGGATGTGAGGCATTCCGTCAAAATGAGGCAGGGAACTAAGGCTTTCTCTAAGGTCTCCACAGGGGATTCAGACATCCCTTCATGTTGTGAGATGAAACATGAGCCTGTATTCAAGCCACTGCAAGGAAATCCGGCCTCCTTTCAAGTTAGGGCTTCTCGCTGTATATTCCACTTGAGGCAGCAAACTCGGGGTCCCTCCCACATACCTATTGCTGAGAGAAGCCTCCTCTTGAGGTGCTTCTGGAAAGTTGGCATACGTCTTGAGCCTAAGCCAGGGAATGAGCTCTTATCTCGAGACGATTTGGGGTACACGGAGCATTCCTCAAGTTGCTCTGCTGAAGTTGGTGTTCCTCTACACTTGGGACAGTGTTCTCAGGGCATCTCTGGCGTTGCCTGAAGGAAGTCGAGCCACCGGTCGTGTTGAATGGGTAACGGGGAATGGCTCTGGATTCAATGCAGGAGAATCAGGCCTCATCTCGAGTTGATTTGGGGCACATGGATCTGCTTTGCATTGCTGGGGCGACCTCAGGTTCTGTCTAGACTGCTGACAGCATTCTTGGGGACTGTTTCGAGATCCATTAAGCAAGTCAAAGATCCTGACTTGTTTGAATAGGATCACGGAATAGCTCTGCATGCACGGCAAGTGAAGGGGCTTCATCACGCCTCTAGAGGGAAGTCTCATGTTTTTTCTCGAGTTGCGGCGGGGACCTGGGGTATGTTCTCGACTTACGGCGGGGATAGCCCTTCAAAACACGAGTTTCTTCAGTGACGTCAGGACTCCTGTCTAGTAACGAGGGACACCTCAGGAATCTCTTCGAGGCTTGGCAGGGCAAAAGGGACGCTTCTCGAGGTGAGGCAGGGCACCCAAGGACCCTTTCCAGTAGCCACAGGGATTTTGGGATTCCTATCAGTATTCAAGAAGAGTCAGGCATCGTCACATTTTGAAGCAATGAACTCCGCGTGCCTCTAGAGGAGTCAGCGGGATGTGAGACATTCCGTCAAAATGAGGCAGGGACCTAGGGCTTTCTCTAAGGTCTCCACAGGGGTTTCAGACATCCATTCATGTTGTGAGATGAAAGACGAGACTGTAGTCAAGCCACTGCAAGGAAATCCGGCCTCCTTTCAAGTTAGGGCTTCTCGCTGTATATTGCACTTGAGGCAGCGATCTCGGGGTCCCTCCCACATACCTATTGCTGAGAGAAGCCTCCTCCTGAGGTGCTTCTGGAAAGTTGGCTTACGTCTTGAGCCTAAGCCAGGGAATCAGCTCTCATCTCGAGACGATTTGGGGTACACGGAACATTCCTCGAGTTGCTGTGCTGAAGTTGGTGTTCCTCTAGACTTGGGACAGTGTTCTCGGGGCATCTCTGGAGTTGCCTGAAGGAAGTCGAGCCACTGGTCGTGTTGAAGGGGGAACGGGGAATGGCTCTGCACTCAATGCATGGGAATCGGGCCTCATCTAGAGTTGATTTGGGGCACATGGAGCTGCTTTGCATTCCTGGGGTGACCTCAGGGTCCGTCTAGGCTGGTGACAGTGTTCTTGGGGTCTGTCTCGAGACCCATTAAGGAAGTCGAAGCTCCTGACTTGTTTGAATGGGATCACGGAATAGCTCTGCATGCACTGCAGGGGAATGGGGCCTCATCTCGCCTCTAGGGGGAAGTCTCATGGTTTTTCTCGAGTTGCGGCGGGGACCTGGGGTATGTTCTCGACTTACGGCGGGGATGGCCCTTCAAAACACGAGTTTCTTCAGTGACGTCAGGACTCCTGTCTAGTAACGAGGGACACCTCAGGAATCTCTTCGAGGCTTGGCAGGGCAAAAGGGACGCTTATCGAGGTGAGGCAGGGCACCCAAGGACCCTTTCCAGTAGCCACAGGGATTTTGGGATTCCTATCAGTATTCAAGAGGAGTCAGGCATCGTCACCTTTTGAAGCAATGAACTCCGCGTGCCTCTCGAGGAGTCAACGGGATGTGAGGCATTCCGTCAAAATGAGGCAGGGACCTAGGGCTTTCTCTAAGGTCTCCACAGGGGATTCAGACATCCCTTCATGTTGTGAGATGAAAGACGAGCCTGTAGTCAAGCCACTGCAAGGAAATACGGCCTCCTTTCAAGTTAGGGCTTCTCGCTGTATATTCCACTTGAGGCAGCAATCTCGGGGTCCCTCCCACATACCTATTGCTGAGAGAAGCCTCCTCTTGAGGTGCTTCAGGAAAGTTGGCATACGTCTTGAGCCTAAGCCAGGGAATGAGCTCTTATCTCTAGAAGATTTGGGGTACACGGAGCATTCCTCGAGTTGCTGTGCTGAAGTTGGTGTTCCTCTAGAATTGGGAAAGTGTTCTCAGGGCATATGTGGAGTTGCCTGAAGGAAGTTGAGCCACCGCTCGTGTTGAATGGGGAACGGGGAATGGCTCTGGAGTCAATGCAGCGGAATCAGGCCTCATCTCGTGTTCATTTGGGGCACATGGATCTGCTTTGCGTTGCTGGGGTGACCTCAGGGTCCATCTAGACTGGTGAGAGTGTTCTTGGGGACTGTCTCGAGACCCATTAAGCAAGTCTAAGCTCCTGACTTGTTTGAATGGGATCACGGAATAGCTCTGCATGCACTGCAGGGGAATGGGGCCTCATCTCGCCTCTAGGGTGAAGTCTCATGGTTTTTCTCGAGTTGCGGCGGGGACCTGGGGTATGTTCTCGACTTACGGCGGGGATAGCCCTTCAAAACACGAGTTTCTTCAGTGACGTCAGGACTCCTGTCTAGTAACGAGGGACACCTCAGGAATCTCTTCGAGGCTTGGCAGGGCAAAAGGGACGCTTCTCGAGGTGAGGCAGGGCACCCAAGGACCCTTTCCAGTAGCCACAGGGATTTTGGGATTCCTATCAGTATTCAAGAGGAGTCAGGCATCGTCACATTTTGAAGCAATGAACTCCGCGTGCCTCTCGAGGAGTCAACGGGATGTGAGGAATTCCGTCAAAATGAGGCAGGGACCTAGGGCTTTCTCTAAGGTCTCCACAGGGGTTTCAGACATCCCTTCATGTTTTGAGATGAAAGACGAGCCTGTAGTCAAGCCACTGCAAGGAAATCCGGCCTCCTTTCGCGTGCCTCTCGAGGAGTCAACGGGATGTGAGGAATTCCGTCAAAATGAGGCAGGGACCTAGGGCTTTCTCTAAGGTCTCCACAGGGGTTTCAGACATCCCTTCATGTTTTGAGATGAAAGACGAGCCTGTAGTCAAGCCACTGCAAGGAAATCCGGCCTCCTTTCAAGTTAGGGCTTCTCGCTGTATATTCCACTTGAGGCAGCAAACTCGGGGTCCCTCCCACATACCTATTGCTGAGAGAAGCCTCCTCTTGAGGTGCTTCTGGAAAGTTGGCATACGTCTTGAGCCTAAGCCAGGATATCAGCTCTCATCTCGAGTCGATTTGGGGTACACGGAACATTCCTTGAGTTGCTCTGCTGAAGTTGGTGTTCCTCTAGACTTGGGAAAGTGTTCTCGGGGCATCTCTGGAGTTGCCTGAATGAAGTCGAACCACGGGTCGTGTTGAATGGGGAACGGCGAATGGCTCTGCAGTCAATGCAGGGGAATGGGGCCTCATCTCGAGTTGATTTGGGACACATGGAGCTGCTTTGCGTTGCTGGGGTGACCTCAGGGTCCGTCTAGGCTGGTGACAGTGTTTCTGGGGACTGTCTCGAGACCCATTAAGGAAGTTGAAGCTCCTGACTTGTTTGAATGGGATCACGGAATAGCTCTGCATGCACTGCAGGGGAATGGGGCCTCATCACGCCTCTAGGGGGAAGTCTCATGGTTTTTCTCGAGTTGCGGCGGGGACCTGGGATATGTTCTCGACTTACGGCGGGGATGGCCCTTCAAAACACGAGTTTCTTCAGTGACGTCAGGACTCCTGTCTAGTAACGAGGGAGACCTCAGGAATCTCTTCGAGGCTTGGCAGGGCAAAAGGGACGCTTCTCGAGGTGAGGCAGGGCACACAAGGACCCTTTCCAGTAGCCACAGGGATTTTGGGATTCCTATCAGTATTCAAGAGGAGTCAGGCATCGTCACCTTTTGAAGCAATGAACTCCGCGTGCCTCTCAAGGTGTCAACGGGATGTGAGGCATTCCGTCAAAATGAGGCAGGGAACTAAGGCTTTCTCTAAGGTCTCCACTGGGGATTCAGACATCCCTTCATGTTGTGAGATGAAAGATGAGCCTGTATTCAAGCCACTGCAAGGAAATCCGGCCTCCTTTCAAGTTAGGGCTTCTCGCTGTATATTGCACTTGAGGCAGCGATCTCGGGGTCCCTCCCACATACCTATTGCTGAGAGAAGCCTCCTCTTGAGGTGCTTCTGGAAAGTTGGCATATGTCTTGAGCCTAAGCCAGGGAATCAGCTCTCATCTCGAGACGATTTGGGGTACACGGAACATTCCTCGAGTTGCTGTGCTGAAGTTGGTGTTCCTCTAGACTTGGGACAGTGTTCTCGGGGCATCTCTGGAGTTACCTGAATGAAGTCGAGCCACCGGTCGTGTTGAATGGGGAACGGGGAATGGCTCTGCACTCAATGCAGGGGAATCGGGCCTCATCTCGAGTTGATTTGGGGCACATGGAGCTGCTTTGCATTGCTGGGGTGACCTCAGGGTCCGTCTAGGCTGGTGACAGTGTTCTTGGGGACTGTCTCGAGACCCATTAAGGAAGTCGAAGCTCCTGACTTGTTTGAATGGGATCACGGAATAGCTCTGCATGCACTGCAGGGGAATGGGGCCTCATCTCGCCTCTAGGGGGAAGTCTCATGGTTTTTCTCGAGTTGCGGCGGGGACCTGGGGGTATGTTCTCGACTTACGGCGGGGATGGCCCTTCAAAACACGAGTTTCTGCAGTGACGTCAGGTCTCCTGTCTAGTAACGAGGGACACCTCAGGAATCTCTTCGAGGCTTGGCAGGGCAAAAGGGACGCTTCTCGAGGTGAGGCAGGGCACCCAAGGACCCTTTCCAGTAGCCACAGGGATTTTGGGATTCCTATCAGTATTCAAGAGGAGTCAGGCATCGTCACCTTTTGAAGCAATGAACTCCGCGTGCCTCTCGAGGTGTCAACGGGATGTGAGGCATTCCGTCAAAATGAGGCAGGGAACTAAGGCTTTCTCTAAGGTCTCCACAGGGGATTCAGACATCCCTTCATGTTGTGAGATGAAACATGAGCCTGTATTCAAGCCACTGCAAGGAAATCCGGCCTCCTTTCAAGTTAGGGCTTCTCGCTGTATATTCCACTTGAGGCAGCAAACTCGGGGTCCCTCCCACATACCTATTGCTGAGAGAAGCCTCCTCTTGAGGTGCTTCTGGAAAGTTGGCATAGGTCTTGAGCCTAAGCCAGGGAATGAGCTCTTATCTCGAGACGATTTGGGGTACACGGAGCATTCCTCGAGTTGCTGTGCTGAAGTTGGTGTTCCTCTACACTTGGGACAGTGTTCTCAGGGCATCTCTGGAGTTGCCTGAAGGAAGTCGAGCCACCGGTCGTGTTGAATGGGTAACGGGGAATGGCTCTGGATTCAATGCAGGAGAATCAGGCCTCATCTCGAGTTGATTTGGGGCACATGGATCTGCTTTGCGTTGCTGGGGTGACCTCAGGTTCCGTCTAGACTGCTGACAGCATTCTTGGGGACTGTTTCGAGATCCATTAAGCAAGTCGAAGATCCTGACTTGTTTGAATAGGATCACGGAATAGCTCTGCATGCACGGCAAGTGAAGGGGCTTCATCACGCCTCTAGAGGGAAGTCTCATGTTTTTTCTCGAGTTGCGGCGGGGACCTGGGGTATGTTCTCGACTTACGGCGGGGATGGCCCTTCAAAACACGAGTTTCTTCAGTGACGTCAGGACTCCTGTCTAGTAACGAGGGACACCTCAGGAATCTCTTCGAGGCTTGGCAGGGCCAAAGGGACGCTTCTCGAGGTGAGGCAGGGCACCCAAGGACCCTTTCCAGTAGCCACAGGGATTTTGGGATTCCTATCAGTATTCAAGAGGAGTCAGGCATCGTCACCTTTTGAAGCAATGAACTCCGCGTGCCTCTCAAGGTGTCAACGGGATGTGAGGCATTCCGTCAAAATGAGGCAGGGAACTAAGGCTTTCTCTAAGGTCTCCACTGGGGATTCAGACATCCCTTCATGTTGTGAGATGAAAGATGAGCCTGTATTCAAGCCACTGCAAGGAAATCCGGCCTCCTTTCAAGTTAGGGCTTCTCGCTGTATATTCCACTTGAGGCAGCAAACTCGGGGTCCCTCCCACATACCTTTTGCTGAGAGAAGCCTCCTCTTGAGGTGCTTCTGGAAAGTTGGCATACGTCTTGAGCCTAAGCCAGGGAATGAGCTCTTATCTCGAGACGATTTGGGGTACACGGAGCATTCCTCGAGTTGCTGTGCTGAAGTTGTTTTTCCTCTAGACTTGAGACAGTGTTCTCAGGGCATCTCTGGAGTTGCCTGAAGGAAGTCGAGCCACCGGTCGTGTTGAATGGGTAACGTGGAATGGCTCTGGAGTCAATGCAGGAGAATCAGGCCTCATCTCGAGTTGATTTGGGGCACATGGATCTGCTTTGCGTTGCTGGGGTGACCTCAGGTTCCATCTAGACTGGTGACAGTGTTCTTGGGGACTGTTTCGAGATCCATTAAGCAAGTCGAAGCTCCTGACTTGTTTGAATGGGATCACGGAATAGCTCTGCATGCACTGCAATGGAATGGGGCCGCATCACGCCTCTAGGGGGAAGTCTCATGGTTTTTCTCGAGTTGCGGCGGGGACCTGGGGTATGTTCTCGACTTACGGCGGGGATAGCCCTTCAAAACACGAGTTTCTTCAGTGACGTCAGGACTCCTGTCTATTAACGAGGGACACCTCAGGAATCTCTTCGAGGCTTGGCAGGGCAAAAGGGACGCTTCTCGAGGTGAGGCAGTGCACTCAAGGACCCTTTCCAGTAGCCACAGGGATTTTGGGATTCCTATCAGTATTCAAGAGGAGTCAGGCATCGTCACCTTTTGAAGCAATGAACTCCGCGTGCCTCTCGAGGTGTCAACGAGATGTGAGGCATTCTGTCAAAATGAGGCAGGGACTTAGGGCTTTCTCTAAGGTCTCCACAGGGGTTTTAGACATCCCTTCATGTTGTGAGATGAAAGACGAGCCTGTAGTCAAGCCACTGCAAGGAAATCCGGCCTCCTTTCAAGTTAGGGCTTCTCGCTGTATATTGCACTTGAGGCAGCGATCTCGGGGTCCCTCCCACATACCTATTGCTGAGAGAAGCCTCCTCCTGAGGTGCTTCTGGAAAGTTGGCATATGTCTTGAGCCTAAGCCAGGGAATCAGCTCTCATCTCGAGACGATTTGGGGTACACGGAACATTCCTCGAGTTGCTGTGCTGAAGTTGGTGTTCCTCTAGACTTGGGACAGTGTTCTCGGGGCATCTCTGGAGTTACCTGAATGAAGTCGAGCCACCGGTCGTGTTGAATGGGGAACGGGGAATGGCTCTGCACTCAATGCAGGGGAATCGGGCCTCATCTCGAGTTGATTTGGGGCACATGGAGCTGCTTTGCATTGCTGGGGTGACCTCAGGGTCCGTCTAGGCTGGTGACAGTGTTCTTGTGGACTGTCTCGAGACCCATTAAGGAAGTCGAAGCTCCTGACTTGTTTGAATGGGATCACGGAATAGCTCTGCATGCACTGCAGGGGAATGGGGCCTCATCTCGCCTCTAGGGGGAAGTCTCATGGTTTTTCTCGAGCTGCGGCGGGGACCTGGGGGTATGTTCTCGACTTACGGCGGGGATGGCCCTTCAAAACACGAGTTTCTTCAGTGACGTCAGGTCTCCTGTCTAGTAACGAGGGACACCTCAGGAATCTCTTCGAGGCTTGGCAGGGCAAAAGGGACGCTTCTCGAGGTGAGGCAGGGCACCCAAGGACCCTTTCCAGTAGCCACAGGGATTTTGGGATTCCTATCAGTATTCAAGAGGAGTCAGGCATCGTCACCTTTTGAAGCAATGAACTCCGCGTGCCTCTCGAGGTGTCAACGGGATGTGAGGCATTCCGTCAAAATGAGGCAGGGAACTAAGGCTTTCTCTAAGGTCTCCACAGGGGATTCAGACATCCCTTCATGTTGTGAGATGAAACATGAGCCTGTATTCAAGCCACTGCAAGGAAATCCGGCCTCCTTTCAAGTTAGGGCTTCTCGCTGTATATTCCACTTGAGGCAGCAAACTCGGGGTCCCTCCCACATACCTATTGCTGAGAGAAGCCTCCTCTTGAGGTGCTTCTGGAAAGTTGGCATAGGTCTTGAGCCTAAGCCAGGGAATGAGCTCTTATCTCGAGACGATTTGGGGTACACGGAGCATTCCTCGAGTTGCTGTGCTGAAGTTGGTGTTCCTCTACACTTGGGACAGTGTTCTCAGGGCATCTCTGGAGTTGCCTGAAGGAAGTCGAGCCACCGGTCGTGTTGAATGGGTAACGGGGAATGGCTCTGGATTCAATGCAGGAGAATCAGGCCTCATCTCGAGTTGATTTGGGGCACATGGATCTGCTTTGCGTTGCTGGGGTGACCTCAGGTTCCGTCTAGACTGCTGACAGCATTCTTGGGGACTGTTTCGAGACCCATTAAGCAAGTCGAAGATCCTGACTTGTTTGAATAGGATCACGGAATAGCTCTGCATGCACGGCAAGTGAAGGGGCTTCATCACGCCTCTAGAGGGAAGTCTCATGTTTTTTCTCGAGTTGCGGCGGGGACCTGGGGTATGTTCTCGACTTACGGCGGGGATGGCCCTTCAAAACACGAGTTTCTTCAGTGACGTCAGGACTCCTGTCTAGTAACGAGGGACACCTCAGGAATCTCTTCGAGGCTTGGCAGGGCAAAAGGGACGCTTCTCGAGGTGAGGCAGGGCACCCAAGGACCCTTTCCAGTAGCCACAGGGATTTTGGGATTCCTATCAGTATTCAAGAAGAGTCAGGAATCGTCACATTTTGAAGCAATGAACTCCGCGTGCCTCTCGAGGAGTCAACGGGATGTGAGGCATTCCGTCAAAATGAGGCAGGGACCTAGGGCTTTCTCTAAGGTCTCCACAGGGGATTCAGACATCCCTTCATGATGTGAGATGAAAGACGAGCCTGTAGTCAAGCCACTGCAAGGAAATCCGGCCTCCTTTCAAGTTAGGGCTTCTCGCTGTATATTCCACTTGAGGCAGCAAACTCGGGGTCCCTCCCAAATAACTATTGCTGAGAGAAGCCTCCTCTTGAGGTGCTTCTGGAAAGTTGGCATACGTCTTCAGCCTAAGCCAGGGAATGAGCTCTCATCTCGAGACGATTTGGGGTACACGCAGCATTCCTCGAGTTGCTGTGCTGAAGTTGGTGTTCCTCTAGACTTGGGACAGTGTTCTCAGGGCATCTCTGGAGGTCCCTGAAGGAAGTCGAGCCACCGGTCGTGTTGAATGGGTAATGGGGAATGGCTCTGGAGTCAATGCAGGAGAATCAGGCCTCATCTCGAGTTGATTTGGGGCACATGGATCTGCTTAGCGTTGCTGGGGTGACCTCAAGTTCCGTCTAGACTGGTGACAGTGTTCTTGGGGACTGTTTTGATATCCATTAAGCAAGTCGAAGCTCCTGACTTGTTTGAATGGGATCACGGAATAGCTCTGCATGCACTGCAAGGGAAGGGGGCCTCATCACTCCTCTAGGGGGAAGTCTCATGATTTTTCTCGAGTTGCGGCGGGGACCTGGGGTATGTTCTCGACTTACGGCGGGGATGGCCCTTCATAACACGAGTTTCTTCAGTGACGTCAGGACTCCTGTCTAGTAACGAGGGACACCTCAGGAATCTCTTCGAGGCTGGGCAGGGCAAAAGGGACGCTTCTCCAAGTGAGGCAGGGCACCCAAGGACCCTTTCCAGTAGACACACGGATTTTGGGATTCCTATCAGTATTCAAGAGGAGTCAGGCATCGTCACCTTTTTAAGCAATGAACTCTGCGTGCCTCTCGAGGTGTCAACGAGATGTGAGGCATTCCGTCAAAATGAGGCAGGGACCTAGGGCTTTCTCTAAGGTCTCCAAAGGGGTTTCAGACATCCCTTCATGTTGTGAGATGAAAGACGAGCCTGTATTCAAGCCACTGCAAGGAAATCCGGCCTCCTTTCAAGTTAGGGCTTCTCGCTGTATATTCCACTTGAGGCAGCAATCTCGGGGTCCCTCCCACATACCTATTGCTGAGAGAAGCCTCCTCTTGAGGTGCTTCAGGAAAGTTGGCATACGTCTTGAGCCTAAGCCAGGGAATGAGCTCTTATCTCTAGATGATTTGGGGTACACGGAGCATTCCTCGAGTTGCTGTGCTGAAGTTGGTGTTCCTCTAGACTTGGGAAAGTGTTCTCAGGGCATATGTGGAGTTGCCTGAAGGAAGTTGAGCCACCGCTCGTGTTGAATGGAGAACGGGGAATGGCTCTGGAGTCAATGCAGCGGAATCAGGCCTCATCTCGTGTTCATTTGGGGCACATGGATCTGCTTTGCGTTGCTGGGGTGACCTCAGGGTCCATCTAGACTGGTGACAGTGTTCTTGGGGACTGTCTCGAGACCCATTAAGCAAGTCTAAGCTCCTGACTTGTTTGAATGGGATCACGGAATAGCTCTGCATGCACTGCAGGGGAATGGGGCCTCATCTCGCCTCTAGGGTGAAGTCTCATGGTTTTTCTCGAGTTGCGGCGGGGACCTGGGGTATGTTCTCGACTTACGGCGGGGATAGCCCTTCAAAACACGAGTTTCTTCAGTGACGTCAGGACTCCTGTCTAGTAACGAGGGACACCTCAGGAATCTCTTCGAGGCTGGGCAGGGCAAAAGGGACGCTTCTCGAGGTGAGGAAGGGCACCCAAGGACACTTTCCTGTAGCCACAAGGATTTTGGGATTCCTATCAGTATTCAAGAGGAGTCAGGCATCGTCACCTTTTGAAGCAATGAACTCCACGTGACTCTCGAGGTGTCAACGGGATGTGAGGCATTCCGTCAAAATGAGGCAGGGACCTAGGGCTTTCTCTAAGGTCTCCACAGGGGTTTTAGACATCCCTTCATGTTGTGAGATGAAAGACGAGCCTGTAGTCAAGCCACTGCAAGGAAATCCGGCCTCTTTTCAAGTTAGGGCTTCTCGCTGTATATTCCACTTGAGGCAGCAAACTCGGGGTCCCTCCCACATACCTATTGCTGAGAGAAGCCTCCTCTTGAGGTGCTTCTGGAAAGTTAGCATACGTCTTGAGCCTAAGCCAGGGAATGAGCTCTTATCTCGAGACGATTTGGGGTACACGGAGCATTCCTCGAGTTGCTGTGCTGAAGTTGGTGTTCCTCTAGACTTGGGACAGTGTTCTCAGGGCATCTGTGGAGTTGCCTGAAGGAAGTTGAGCCACCGGTCGTGTTGAATGGGGAACGGGGAATGGCTCTGCAGTCAATGCAGGGGTATCGGGCCTCATCTCGAGTTCATTTGGGGCACATGGATCTGCTTTGCGTTGCTGGAGTGACCTCAGGGTCCATCTAGACTAGTGACAGTGTTCTTGGGGACTGTCTCGAGACCCATTAAGCAAGTCTAAGCTCCTGACTTCTTTGAATGGGATCACGGAATAGCTCTGCATGCACTCCAGGGGAATGGGGCCTCATCTCGCCTCTAGGGGGAAGTCTCATGGTTTTTCTCGAGTTGCGGCGGGGACCTGGGGTATGTTCTCGACTTACGGCGGGGATGGCCTTCAAAACACGAGTTTCTTCAGTGACGTCAGGACTCCTGTCTAGTAACGACGGACATCTCAGGAATCTCTTCGAGGCTGGGCAGGGCAAAAGGGACGCTTCTCGAGGTGAGGAAGGGCACCCAAGGACCCTTTCCTGTAGCCACAAGGATTTTGGGATTCCTATCAGTATTCAAGAGGAGTCAGGCATCGTCACCTTTTGAAGCAATGAACTCCGCGTGACTCTCGAGGTGTCAACGGGATGTGAGGCATTCCGTCAAAATGAGGCAGGGACCTAGGGATTTCTCTAAGGTCTCCACAGGGGTTTCAGACATCCCTTCATGTTGTGAGATGAAAGACGAGCCTGTAGTCAAGCCACTGCAAGGAAATCCGGCCTCCTTTCAAGTTAGGGCTTTTCGCTGTATATTCCACTTGAGGCAGCGATCTCGGGGTCCCTCCCACATACCTATTGCTGAGAGAAGCCTCCTCCTGAGGTGCTTCTGGAAAGTTGGCATACGTCTTGAGCCTAAGCCAGGATATCAGCTCTCATCTCGAGTCGATTTGGGGTACACGGAACATTCCTCGAGTTGCTCTGCTGAAGTTGGTGTTCCTCTAGACTTGGGAAAGTGTTCTCGGGGCATCTCTGGAGTTGCCTGAATGAAGTCGAACCACGGGTCGTGTTGAATGGGGAACGGCGAATGGCTCTGCAGTCAATGCAGGGGAATGGGGCCTCATCTCGAGTTGATTTGGGACACATGGAGCTGCTTTGCGTTGCTGGGGTGACCTCAGGGTCCGTCTAGGCTGGTGACAGTGTTCCTGGGGACTGTCTCGAGACCCATTAAGGAAGTCGAAGCTCCTGACTTGTTTGAATGGGATCACGGAATAGCTCTGCATGCACTACAGGGGAATGGGGCCTCATCACGCCTCTAGGGGGAAGTCTCATGGTTTTTCTCGAGTTGCGGCGGGGATCTGGGGTATGTTCTCGACTTACGGCGGGGATGGCCCTTCAAAACACGAGTTTCTTCAGTGACGTCAGGACTCCTGTCTAGTAACGAGGGAGACCTCAGGAATCTCTTCGAGGCTTGGCAGGGCAAAAGGGACGCTTCTCGAGGTGAGGCAGGGCACCCAAGGACACTTTCCAGTAGCCACAGGGATTTTAGGATTCCTATCAGTATTCAAGAGGAGTCAGGCATCGTCACCTTTTGAAGCAATGAACTCCGCGTGCCTCTCAAGGTGTCAACGGGATGTGAGGCATTCCGTCAAAATGAGGCAGGGACCTAGGGCTTTCTCTAAGGTCTCCACTGGGGATTCAGACATCCCTTCATGTTGTGAGATGAAAGATGAGCCTGTATTCAAGCCACTGCAAGGAAATCCGGCCTCCTTTCAAGTTAGGGCTTCTCGCTGTATACTCCACTTGAGGCAGCAAACTCGGGGTCCCTCCCACATACCTTTTGCTGAGAGAAGCCTCCTCTTGAGGTGCTTCTGGAAAGTTGGCATACGTCTTGAGCCTAAGCCAGGGAATGAGCTCTTATCTCGAGACGATTTGGGGTACACGGAACATTCCTCGAGTTGCTGTGCTGAAGTTGTTGTTCCTCTAGACTTGAGACAGTGTTCTCAGGGCATCTCTGGAGTTGCCTGAAGGAAGTCGAGCCACCGGTCGTGTTGAATGGGTAACGTGGAATGGCTCTGGAGTCAATGCAGGAGAATCAGGCCTCATCTCGAGTTGATTTGGGGCACATGGATCTGCTTTGCGTTGCTGGGGTGACCTCAGGTTCCATCTAGACTGGTGACAGTGTTCTTGGGGACTGTTTCGAGATCCATTAAGCAAGTCGAAGCTCCTGACTTGTTTGAATGGGATCACGGAATAGCTCTGCATGCACTGCAATGGAATGGGGCCGCATCACGCCTCTAGGGGGAAGTCTCATGGTTTTTCTCGAGTTGCGGCGGGGACCTGGGGTATGTTCTCGACTTACGGCGGGGATAGCCCTTCAAAACACGAGTTTCTTCAGTGACGTCAGGACTCCTGTCTATTAACGAGGGACACCTCAGGAATCTCTTCGAGGCTTGGCAGGGCAAAAGGGACGCTTCTCGAGGTGAGGCAGTGCACTCAAGGACCCTTTCCAGTAGCCACAGGGATTTTGGGATTCCTATCAGTATTCAAGAGGAGTCAGGCATCGTCACCTTTTGAAGCAATGAACTCCGCGTGCCTCTCGAGGTGTCAACGAGATGTGAGGCATTCTGTCAAAATGAGGCAGGGACTTAGGGCTTTCTCTAAGGTCTCCACAGGGGTTTTAGACATCCCTTCATGTTGTGAGATGAAAGACGAGCCTGTAGTCAAGCCACTGCAAGGAAATCCGGCCTCCTTTCAAGTTAGGGCTTCTCGCTGTATATTGCACTTGAGGCAGCGATCTCGGGGTCCCTCCCACATACCTATTGCTGAGAGAAGCCTCCTCTTGAGGTGCTTCTGGAAAGTTGGCATAGGTCTTGAGCCTAAGCCAGGGAATGAGCTCTTATCTCGAGACGATTGGGGTACACGGAGCATTCCTCGAGTTGCTGTGCTGAAGTTGGTGTTCCTCTACACTTGGGACAGTGTTCTCAGGGCATCTCTGGAGTTGCCTGAAGGAAGTCGAGCCACCGGTCGTGTTGAATGTGTAACGGGGAATGGCTCTGGATTCAATGCAGGAGAATCAGGGCTCATCTCGAGTTGATTTGGGGCACATGGATCTGCTTTGCGTTGCTGGGGTGACCTCAGGTTCCGTCTAGACTGCTGACAGCATTCTTGGGGACTGTTTCGAGATCCATTAAGCAAGTCGAAGATCCTGACTTGTTTGAATAGGATCACGGAATAGCTCTGCATGCACGGCAAGTGAAGGGGCTTCATCACGCCTCTAGAGGGAAGTCTCATGTTTTTTCTCGAGTTGCGGCGGGGACCTGGGGTATGTTCTCGACTTACGGCGGGGATGGCCCTTCAAAACACGAGTTTCTTCAGTGACGTCAGGACTCCTGTCTAGTAACGAGGGACACCTCAGGAATCTCTTCGAGGCTTGGCAGGGCAAAAGGGACGCTTCTCGAGGTGAGGCAGGGCACCCAAGGACCCTTTCCAGTAGCCACAGGGATTTTGGGATTCCTATCAGTATTCAAGAAGAGTCAGGAATCGTCACATTTTGAAGCAATGAACTCCGCGTGCCTCTCGAGGAGTCAACGGGATGTGAGGCATTCCGTCAAAATGAGGCAGGGACCTAGGGCTTTCTCTAAGGTCTCCACAGGGGATTCAGACATCCCTTCATGATGTGAGATGAAAGACGAGCCTGTAGTCAAGCCACTGCAAGGAAATCCGGCCTCCTTTCAAGTTAGGGCTTCTCGCTGTATATTCCACTTGAGGCAGCAAACTCGGGGTCCCTCCCAAATAACTATTGCTGAGAGAAGCCTCCTCTTGAGGTGCTTCTGGAAAGTTGGCATACGTCTTGAGCCTAAGCCAGGGAATGAGCTCTCATCTCGAGATGATTTGGGGTACACGCAGCATTCCTCGAGTTGCTGTGCTGAAGTTGGTGTTCCTCTAGGCTTGGGACAGTGTTCTCAGGGCATCTCTGGAGTTCCCTGAAGGAAGTCGAGCCACCGGTCGTGTTGAATGGGTAACGGGGAATGGCTCTGGAGTCAATGCAGGAGAATCAGGCCTCATCTCGAGTTGATTTGGGGCACATGGATCTGCTTAGCGTTGCTGGGGTGACCTCAAGTTCCGTCTAGACTGGTGACAGTGTTCTTGGGGACTGTTTCGAGATCCATTAAGCAAGTCGAAGCTCCTGACTTGTTTGAATGTGATCACGGAATAGCTCTGCATGCACTGCAAGGGAAGGGGGCCTCATCACGCCTCTAGGGGGAAGTCTCATGATTTTTCTCGAGTTGCGGCGGGGACCTGGGGTATGTTCTCGACTTACGGCGGGGATGGCCCTTCAAAACACGAGTTTCTTCAGTGACGTCAGGACTCCTGTCTAGTAACGAGGGACACCTCAGGAATCTCTTCGAGGCTGGGCAGGGCAAAAGGGACGCTTCTCCAAGTGAGGCAGGGCACCCAAGGACCCTTTCCAGTAGACACACGGATTTTGGGATTCCTATCAGTATTCAAGAGGAGTCAGGCATCGTCACCTTTTTAAGCAATGAACTCTGCGTGCCTCTCGAGGTGTCAACGAGATGTGAGGCATTCCGTCAAAATAAGGCAGGGACCTAGGGCTTTCTCTAAGGTCTCCACAGGGGTTTCAGATATCCCTTCATGTTGTGAGATGAAAGACGAGCCTGTATTCAAGCCACTGCAAGGAAATCCGGCCTCCTTTCAAGTTAGGGCTTCTCGCTGTATATTCCACTTGAGGCAGCAATCTCGGGGTCCCTCCCACATACCTATTGCTGAGAGAAGCCTCCTCTTGAGGTGCTTCAGGAAAGTTGGCATACGTCTTGAGCCTAAGCCAGGGAATCAGCTCTCATCTCGAGACGATTTGGGGTACACGGAACATTCCTCGAGTTGCTGTGCTGAAGTTGGTGTTCCTCTAGACTTGAGACAGTGTTCTCAGGGCATCTCTGGAGTTGCCTGAAGGAAGTCGAGCCACCGGTCGTGTTGAATGGGGAACGGGGAATGGCTCTGGAGTCAATGCAGGAGAATCAGGCCTCATCTCGAGTTGATTTGGGGCATGTGGATCTGCTTTGCGTTGCTGGGGCGACCTCAGGGTCCGTCTTGACTGGTGACAGTGTTCTTGGGGACTGTTTCGAGATCCATTAAGCAAGTGGAAGCTCCTGACTTGTTTGAATGGGATCACGGAATAGCTCTGCCTGCACTGCAGGGGAATGGTGCCACATCTTGCCTCTAGGGGGAAGTCTCATGATTTTCTTCGATTTGAGGCGGGGACCTGGGTTATGTTCTCGACTTACGGCGGGGATGGCCCTTCAAAACACGAGTTTATTCAGTGATGTCAGGACTCCTGTCTAGTAACGAGGGACACCTCAGGAATCTCCTCGAGGCTTGGCAAGGCAAAAGGGACGCTTCTCCAGGTGAGGCAGGGCACCCAAGTACACTTTCCAGTAGCCACAGGGATTTTGGGATTCCTATCAGTATTCAAGAAGAGTCAGGCATCGTCACCTTTTGAAGCAATGAACTAAGAGTGCCTCTCGAGCTGTCAACGGGATGTGAGGCATTCCCTCAAAATGAGGCAGGGACCTAGGTCTTTCTCTAAGGTTTCCCCAGGGGATTCAGACATCCCTTCATGTTTTAAGATCAAAGACAAGCCTGTATTCAAGCCACTGCAAGGGAATCCGGCCTCCTTTCAAGTTAGGGCTTCTCGCTGTATATTCCACTTGAGGCAGCGATCTCGGGGTCCCTCCCACATAACTATTGCTGAGAGAAGCCTCCTCCTGAGGTGCTTCTGGAAAGTTGGCATACGTCTTGAGCCTAAGCCAGGGAATCAGCTCTCATCTCGAGACGTTTGGGGTACACGGAGCATTCCTCGAGTTGCTGTGCTGAAGTTAGTGTTCCTCTAGACTTGGGACAGTGTTTTCGGGGCATCTGTGGAGTTGCCTGAAGGAAGTCGAGCCACCGGTCGTGTTGAATGGGGAACGGGGAATGGCTCTGGAGTCAATGCAGGGGAATCGGACCTCATCTCCAGTTGATTTGGGGCACATGGATCTGCTTTGTGTTGCTGGGGTGACCTCAGGTTCCGTCTAGACTGGTGACAGTGTTCTTGGGGACTGTCTCGAGATCCATTAAGCAAGTCGAAGCTCCTGACTTGTTTGAATGGGATCACGGAATAGCTCTGAATGCACTGCAGGGGAATGGGGCCTCATCTCGCCTCTAGGGGGAAGTCTCATGGTTTTTCTCGAGTTGCGGCGGTGACCTGGGGTATGTTCTCAACTTACAGCGGGGATAGTCCTTCAAAACACGAGTTTCTTCAGTAACGTCAGGACTCCTGTCTAGTAACGAGGGACACCTCAGGAATCTCTTCGAGGCTGTGCAGGGCAAAACGGACGTTTCTCGAGGTGAGGAAGGGCACCCAAGTTCCCTTTCTAGTAGACACAAGGATTTTGGGATTCCTATCAGTATTCAAGAGGAGTCAGGCATCGTCACCTTTTGAAGCAATGAACTCGGCGTGACTCTCCAGGTGTCAACGGGATGTGAGGCATTCCGTCAAAATGAGGCAGGGACCTAGGGCTTTTCTAAGGTCTCCACAGGGGATTCAGACATCCCTTCATGTTGTGAGATGAAAGACGAGCCTGTGTTCAAGCCACTGCAAGGAAATCGGGCCTCTTTTCAAGTTAGGGCTTCTCGCTGTATATTCCCCTTGAGGCAGCAAACTCTGGGTCTCTTCCACATACCTATTGCTGAGAGAAGCCTCCTCTAGAGGTGCTTCTGGAAAGTTGGCATACGTCTTGAGTCTAAGCCAGGGAATCAGCACTCATCTCGAGACGATTTGGGTTACACGGAGCATTCCTCGAGTTGCTGTGCTGAAGTTGGTGTTCCTCTAGACTTGGGACAGTGTTCTCGGGGCATCTCTGGAGTTGCCTGAAGGAAGTCGAATCACCGGTCGTGTTGAATGGGGAACGGGGAATGGCTCTGGAGGCAATGCAGGGGAATCGGGCCTCATCTCGAGTTGATTTGGGGCACATGGAGCTGCTTTGTGTTGCTGGGGTGACCTCAGGGTCCGTCTAGACTGGTGACAGTGTTCTTGGGGACTGTCTCGAGATCCATTAAGCAAGTCGAAGCTCCTGACTTGTTTGAATGGGATCACGGAATAGCTCTGCATGCACTGCAGGGGAATGGGGCCTCATCTCGCCTCTAAGGCGAAGTCTCGTGGTTTTTCTCTAGTTGCGGCGGGGACCTGGGGTATGTTCTCAACTTAGGGCGGGAATGGCCTTCAAAACACGAGTTTCTTCAGTGACGTCAGGACTCCTGTCTAGTAACGAGGGACACCTCAGGAATCTCTTCGAGGATTGGCAGGGCAAAAGGGACGCTTCTCGAGGTGAGGCAGGGCACCCAAGGACCCTTTCCAGTAGCCACAGGAATTTTGGGATTCCTCTCAGTATACAAGAGGAGTCAGGCATCGTCACCTTTTGAAGCAATGAACTCCGCGTGCCTCTCGAGGTGTCAACGGGATGTGAGGCATTCCGTCAAAATGAGGCAGGGACCTAGGGCTTTCTCTAAGGTCTCCACAGGGGATTCAGACATCCTTTCATGTTTTGAGATCAAAGATGAGCCTGTATTCAAGCCACTGCAAGGAAATCCGGCCTCCTTTCAAGTTAGGTCTTCTCGCTGTATATTCCAATTTAGGCAGCGATATCGGGGTCCCTCCCACATACATATTGCTGAGAGAAGCCTCCTCTTGAGGTGCTTCTGGAAAGTTGGCATACGTCTTGAGCCTAAGCCAGGGAATCAGCTCTCATCTCGAGACGATTTGGGGTACACGGAGCATTCCTCGAGTTGCTCTGCTGAAGTTGGTGTTCCTCTAGACTTGGGACAGTGTTCTCGGGGCATCTCTGGAGTTGCCTGAAGGAAGTCGAGCCACCGGTCGTGTTGAATGGGGAACGGGGAATGGCTCTGGAGTCAATGCAGGGGAATTGGGCCTCATCTCGAGTTGATTTGGGGCACATGGAGCTGCTTTGCGTTGCTGGGGTGACCTCAGGGTACGTCTAGACTGGTGACAGTGTTCTTGGGGACTGTCTCGAGATCCATTAAGCAAGTCCACGCTCCTGACTTGTTTGAATGGGATCACGGAATAGCTCTGCAAGCGCTGAGGGGAATGGGGCCTCATCTCGCCTCTATGGCGAAGTCTCGTGGTTTTTCTGTAGTTGCGGCGAGGACCTGGGGTACGTTCTCGACTTACGGCGGGCATGGCCCTTCAAAACACGAGTTTCTTCAGTGACGTCAGGACTCCTGTCTAGTAACGAGGGACACCTCAGGAATCTCTTCGAGGATTGGCAGTGCAAAAGGGACGCTTCTCGAGGTGAGGCAGGGCACCCAAGGACCCTTTCCAGTAGCCACAGGGATTTTGGGATTCCTATCAGTATAAAAGATGAGTCAGGCATCGTCACCTTTTGAAGCAATGAACTCCGCGTGCCTCTCGAGGTGTCAACGGGATGTGAGGCATTCCGTCAAAATGAGGCCGGGACCTAGGGCTTTCTCTAAGGTCTCCACAGGGGATTCAGACATCCTTTCATGTTTTGAGATCAAAGATGAGCCTGTATTCAAGCCACTGCAAGGAAATCCGGCCTCCTTTCATGTTAGGGCTTCTCGCTGTATATTCCACTTGAGGCAGCGATATCGGGGTCCCTCCCACATACCTATTGCTGAGAGAAGTCTCCTCTTGAGGTGCTTCTGGAAAGTTGGCATACGTCTTGAGCCTAAGCCAGGGAATCAGCTCTCACATCAAGACGATTTGGGGTACACGGAGCATTCCTCGAGTTGCTGTGCTGAAGTTGGTGTTCCTCTAGACTTCGGACAGTGTTCTCGGGGCACATCTGGAGTTGCCTGAAGGAAGTCGAGCCACCGGTCGTGTTGAATGGGGAACGGGGAATGGCTCTGGAGTCAATGCAGGGGAATCGGGCCTCATCTCGAGTGGATTTGGGGCACATGGGGCTGCTCTGCGTTGCTGGGGTGACCTCAGGGTCCGTCTAGACTGGTGACAGTGTTCTTGGCGACTGTCTCGAGATCCATTAAGCAAGTCGAAGCACCTGACTTGTTTGAATGGGATCATGGAATAGCTCTGCATGCACTGCAGGGGAATGGGGCCTCATCTCGCCACTAGGGGGAAGTCTAATGGTATTTCTCGAGTTGCGGCGGGGACCTGGGGTATGTTCTCGACTTACGGTGGGGATGGCCCTTCAAAACCCGTGTTTATTAAGTGACGTCAGGACTCCTGTCTAGTAACGAGGGACACCTCAGGAATCTCTTCGAGGCTTGGCAGGGCAAAAGGGACGCTTATCGAGGTGAGGCAGGGCACCCAAGGACCCTTTCCAGTAGCCACAGGGATTTTGGGATTCCTATCAGTATTCAAGAGGAGTCAGGCATCGTCACCTTTTGAAGCAGTGAACTCCGCGTGCCTCTCGAGGTGTCAACGGGATGTGAGGCATTCCGTCCAAATGAGGCAGGGACCTAGGGATTTCCCTAAGGTCTCCACAGGGGATTCATACATCCCTTCATGTTGTGAGATGAAAGACGAGCCTGTATTCAAGCCACTGCAAGGAAATCCGGCCTCCTTTCAAGTTAGGGCTTCTCGCTGTATATTCCCCTTGAGGCAGCAAACTCGGGGTCCCTCCCACATAACTATTGCTGAGAGAAGCCTCCTCTTGAGGTGCTTTTGGAAAGTTGGCATACATCTTGAGCCTAAGCCAGGGAATCAGCTCTCACATCAAGACGATTTGGGGTACACGGAGCATTCCTCGTGTTTCTGTGCTGAAGTTGGTGTTCCTCTAGACTTGGGACAGTGTTCTCGGGGCATCTCTGGAGTTGCCTGAAGGAAGTCGAGCCACCGGTCGTGTTGAATGGGGAACGGGGAATGGCTCTGGAGTCAATGCAGGGGAATCTGGCCTCATCTCGAGTTGATTTGGGGCACATGGAGCTGCTTTGCGTTGCTGCGGTGACCTCAGGGTCCGTCTAGACTCGTGACAGTGTTCTTGGGGACTGTCTCGAGATCCATTAAGCAAGTCGAAGTTCCTGACTTGTTTGAATGGGATCACGGAATAGCTCTGCATGCACTGCAGTTGAATGGGGCCTCATTTCGCTTCTAGGGGGAAGTCTCATGGTTTTTCTCGAGTTGCGGCGGGGACATGGGGTATGTTCTCGACTTACGGCGGGGATGGCCCTTCAATACCCGTGTTTATTAAGTGACGTCAGGACTCCTGTCTAGTAACGAGGGACACCTCAGGAATCTCTTCTAGGCTTGGCAGGGCAAAGGGACGCTTCTCGAGGTGAGGCAGGGCACCCAAGGACCCTTTCCAGTAGCCACAGGGATTTTGGGATTCCTATCAGTATTCAAGAGGTGTCAGGCATCGTCACGTTTTGAAGCAATGAACTCAGCGTGCCTCTGGAGGTGTCAACGGGATGTGAGGGATTCCGACAAAATGAAGCAGGGACCTAGGGCTTTCTCTAAGGTCTCCACAGGGGATTCAGACATCACTTCATGTTGTGAGATGAAAGACGAGCCTGTATTCAAGCCACTGCAAGGAAATACGGCCTCCATTCAAGTTAGCGCTTCTCGCTGTATATTCCCCTTGAGGCAGCAAACTCGGGGTGCCTTCCACATACCTATTGCTGAGAGAAGCCTCCTCTTGAGGTGCTTCTGGAAAGTTGTCATACGTCTTGAGCCTAAGCCAGGGAATCAGCTCTCATCTCGAGATGATTTGTGTTACACGGAGCATTCTTCGAGTTGCTGTGCTGAAGTTGGTGTTCCTCTAGACTTGGGACAGTGTTCTCGGGCATCTCTGGAGTTGCCTGAAGGAAGTCGAGCCACCGGTCGTGTTGAATGGGGAACGGGGAATGGCTCTGGAGTCAATGCAGGGGAATCGGGCCTCATCTCGAGTTGATTTGGGGCACATGGAGCTGCTTTGCGTTGCTGCCGTGACCTCAGGGTCCGTCTAGACTCGTGACAGTGTTCTTGGGGACTGTCTCGAGATCCATTAAGCAAGTCGAAGCTCCTGACTTGTTTGAATGGGATCACGGAATAGCTCTGCATGCACTGAGGGGAATGGGGCCTCATCTCGCCTCTAAGGCGAAGTCTCGTGGTTTTTCTCTAGTTGCGGCGGGGACCTGGGGTATGTTCTCAACTTAGGGCGGGGATGGCCTTCAAAACACGAGTTTCTTCAGTGACGTCAGGACTCCTGTCTAGTAACGAGGGACACCTCAGGAATCTCTTCGAGGATTGGCAGGGCAAAAGGGACGCTTCTCGAGGTGAGGCAGGGCACCCAAGGACCCTTTCCAGTAGCCACAGGGATTTTGGGATTCCTCTCAGTATACAAGAGGAGTCAGGCATCGTCACCTTTTGAAGCAATGAACTCCGCGTGCCTCTCGAGGTGTCAACGGGATGTGAGGCATTCCGTCAAAATGAGGCAGGGACCTAGGGCTTTCTCTAAGGTCTCCACAGGGGATTCAGACATCCTTTCATGTTTTGAGATCAAAGATGAGACTGTATTCAAGCCACTGCAAGGAAATCCGGCCTCCTTTCAAGTTAGGTCTTCTCGCTGTATATTCCAATTTAGGCAGCTATATCGGGGTCCCTCCCACATACATATTGCTGAGAGAAGCCTCCTCTTGAGGTGCTTCTGGAAAGTTGGCATACGTCTTGAGCCTAAGCCAGGGAATCAGCTCTCATCTCGAGACGATTTGGGGTACACGGAGCATTCCTCGAGTTGCTCTGCTGAAGTTGGTGTTCCTCTAGACTTGGGACAGTGTTCTCGGGGCATCTCTGGAGTTGCCTGAAGGAAGTCGAGCCACCGGTCGTGTTGAATGGGGAACGGGGAATGGCTCTGGAGTCAATGCAGGGGAATCGGGCCTCATCTCGAGTTGATTTGGGGCACATGGAGCTGCTTTGCGTTGCTGGGGTGACCTCAGGGTACGTCTAGACTGGTGACAGTGTTCTTGGGGACTGTCTCGAGATCCATTAAGCAAGTCCACGCTCCTGACTTGTTTGAATGGGATCACGGAACAGCTCTGCAAGCGCTGAGGGGAATGGGGCCTCATCTCGCCTCTATGGCGAAGTCTCGTGGTTTTTCTCTAGTTGCGGCGAGGACCTGGGGTATGTTCTCCACTTACGGCGGGCATGGCCCTTCAAAACACGAGTTTCTTCAGTGACGTCAGGACTCCTGTCTAGTAACGAGGGACACCTCAGGAATCTCTTCGAGGATTGGCAGTGCAAAAGGGACGCTTCTCGAGGTGAGGCAGGGCACCCAAGGACCCTTTCCAGTAGCCACAGGGATTTTGGGATTCCTATCAGTATAAAAGATGAGTCAGGCATCGTCACCTTTTGAAGCAATGAACTCCGCGTGCCTCTCGAGGTGTCAACGGGATGTGAGGCATTCCGTCAAAATGAGGCCGGGACCTAGGGCTTTCTCTAAGGTCTCCACAGGGGATTCAGACATCCTTTCATGTTTTGAGATCAAAGATGAGCCTGTATTCAAGCCACTGCAAGGAAATCCGGCCTCCTTTCATGTTAGGGCTTCTCGCTGTATATTCCACTTGAGGCAGCGATATCGGGGTCCCTCCCACATACCTATTGCTGAGAGAAGTCTCCTCTTGAGGTGCTTCTGGAAAGTTGGCATACGTCTTGAGCCTAAGCCAGGGAATCACCTCTCACATCAAGACGATTTGGGGTACACGGAGCATTCCTCGAGTTGCTGTGCTGAAGTTGGTGTTCCTCTAGACTTCGGACAGTGTTCTCGGGGCACATCTGGAGTTGCCTGAAGGAAGTCGAGCCACCGGTCGTGTTGAATGGGGAACGGGGAATGGCTCTGGAGTCAATGCAGGGGAATCGGGCCTCATCTCGAGTGGATTTCGGGCACATGGGGCTGCTCTGCGTTGCTGGGGTGACCTCAGGGTCCGTCTAGACTGGTGACAGTGTTCTTGGCGACTGTCTCGAGATCCATTAAGCAAGTCGAAGCACCTGACTTGTTTGAATGGGATCATGGAATAGCTCTGCATGCACTGCAGGGGAATGGGGCCTCATCTCGCCACTAGGGGGAAGTCTAATGGTATTTCTCGAGTTGCGGCGGGGACCTGGGGTATGTTCTCGACTTACGGTGGGGATGGCCCTTCAAAACCCGTGTTTATTAAGTGACGTCAGGACTCCTGTCTAGTAACGAGGGACACCTCAGGAATCTCTTCGAGGCTTGGCAGGGCAAAAGGGACGCTTATCGAGGTGAGGCAGGGCACCCAAGGACCCTTTCCAGTAGCCACAGGGATTTTGGGATTCCTATCAGTATTCAAGAGGAGTCAGGCATCGTCACCTTTTGAAGCAGTGAACTCCGCGTGCCTCTCGAGGTGTCAACGGGATGTGAGGCATTCCGTCCAAATGAGGCAGGGACCTAGGGATTTCCCTAAGGTCTCCACAGGGGATTCATACATCCCTTCATGTTGTGAGATGAAAGACGAGGCTGTATTCAAGCCACTGCAAGGAAATCCGGCCTCCTTTCAAGTTAGGGCTTCTCGCTGTATATTCCCCTTGAGGCAGCAAACTCGGGGTCCCTCCCACATAACTATTGCTGAGAGAAGCCTCCTCTTGAGGTGCTTCTGGAAAGTTGGCATACATCTTGAGCCTAAGCCAGGGAATCAGCTCTCACATCAAGACGATTTGGGGTACACGGAGCATTCCTCGTGTTTCTGTGCTGAAGTTGGTGTTCCTCTAGACTTGGGACAGTGTTCTCGGGGCATCTCTGGAGTTGCCTGAAGGAAGTCGAGCCACCGGTCGTGTTGAATGGGGAACGGGTAATGGCTCTGGAGTCAATGCAGGGGAATCTGGCCTCATCTCGAGTTGATTTGGGGCACATGGAGCTGCTTTGCGTTGCTGCGGTGACCTCAGGGTCCGTCTAGACTCGTGACAGTGTTCTTGGGGACTGTCTCGAGATCCATTAAGCAAGTCGAAGTTCCTGACTTGTTTGAATGGGATCACGGAATAGCTCTGCATGCACTGCAGTTGAACGGGGCCTCATTTCGCTTCTAGGGGGAAGTCTCATGGTTTTTCTCGAGTTGCGGCGGGGACATGGGGTATGTTCTCGACTTACGGCGGGGATGGCCCTTCAATACCCGTGTTTATTAAGTGACGTCAGGACTCCTGTCTAGTAACGAGGGACACCTCAGGAATCTCTTCTAGGCTTGGCAGGGCAAAAGGGACGCTTCTCGAGGTGAGGCAGGGCACCCAAGGACCCTTTCCAGTAGCCACAGGGATTTTGGGATTCCTATCAGTATTCAAGAGGTGTCAGGCATCGTCACCTTTTGAAGCAATGAACTCAGCGTGCCTCTGGAGGTGTCAACGGGATGTGAGGGATTCCGACAAAATGAAGCAGGGACCTAGGGCTTTCTCTAAGGTCTCCACAGGGGATTCAGACATCACTTCATGTTGTGAGATGAAAGACGAGCCTGTATTCAAGCCACTGCAAGGAAATACGGCCTCCATTCAAGTTACCGCTTCTCGCTGTATATTCCCCTTGAGGCAGCAAACTCGGGGTGCCTTCCACATACCTATTGCTGAGAGAAGCCTCCTCTTGAGGTGCTTCTGGAAAGTTGTCATACGTCTTGAGCCTAAGCCAGGGAATCAGCTCTCATCTCGAGATGATTTGGGTTACACGGAGCATTCTTCGAGTTGCTGTGCTGAAGTTGGTGTTCCTCTAGACTTGGGACAGTGTTCTCGGGCATCTCTGGAGTTGCCTGAAGGAAGTCGAGCCACCAGTCGTGTTGAATGGGGAACGGGGAATGGCTCTGGAGTCAATGCAGGGGAATCGGGCCTCATCTCGAGTTGATTTGGGGCACATGGAGCTGCTTTGCGTTGCTGCGGTGACCTCAGGGTCCGTCTAGACTCGTGACAGTGTTCTTGGGGACTGTCTCGAGATCCATTAAGCAAGTCGAAGCTCCTGACTTGTTTGAATGGGATCACGGAATAGCTCTGCATGCACTGCAGTTGAATGGGGCCTCATTTCGCTTCTAGGGGGAAGTCTCATGGTTTTTCTCGAGTTGCGGCGGGGACCTGGGGTATGTTCTCAACTTACGGCGGGGATGGCCCTTCAAAACACGAGTTTCTTCAGTGACGTCAGGACTCTTGTCTAGTAACGAGGGACACCTCAGGAATCTCTTCGAGGCTTGGCAGGGCAAAAGCGACGCTACTCGAGGTGAGACAGGGCACCCAAGGACCCTTTCCAGTAGCCACATGGGTTTTGGGATTCCTATCAGTATTCAAGAGGAGTCAGGCATCGTCACCTTTTGAAGCAATGAACTCTGCGTGCCTCTCGAGGTGTCAAAGGGATGTGAGGCATTCCGTCAAAATGAGGCAGGGACCTAGGGTTTTCTCTAAGATCTCCACAGGGGATTCACACATCCCTTCATGTTGTAACATGAAAGACGAGCCTGTATTCAAGCCACTGCAAAGAAATTCGGCCTTCTTTCAAGTTAGGGCTTCTCGCTGTATATTCCCCTTGAGGTAGCAAACTCGGGGTCCCTTCCACATACCTATTGCTGAGAGAAGCCTCCTCTTGAGGTGCTTCTGGAAAGTTGGCATACGTCTTGAGCCTAAGCCAGGGAATCAGCTCTAACATCGAGATGATTTTGGGTACACGGAGCATTCCTCGAGTTGCTGTGCTGAAGTTGGTGTTCCTCTAGACGTTGGACACTGTTCTCGGGGCATCTCTGGAGTTGCCTGAAGGAAGTCGAGCCAGCGGTCGTGTTGAATGGGGAACGGGGAATGGCTCTGGAGTCAATGCAGGGGAATCGGGCCTCATCTCGAGTTGATTTGGGGCACATGGAGCTGCTTTGCGTTGCTGGGGTGACCTCAGGGTCCGTCTAGACTGGTGACAGTGTTCTTGGCGACTGTCTCGAGATCCATTAAGCAAGTCAAAGCTCCTGACTTGTTTGAATCTGATCACGGAAAAGCTCTGCATGCACTGCAGGGGAATGGGGCCTCATCTCGCCTCTAGGGGGAAGTCTCATGGTTTTTCTCGAGTTGCGGCGGGGACCTGGGGTATGTTCTCGACTTACGGCGGGGATGGCCCTTCAAAACACGAGTTTCTTCAGTGACGTCAGGACTCCTGTCTAGTAACGAGGGACACCTCAGGAATCTCTTCGAGGCTTGGCAGTGCAAAACGGATGCTTCTCGAGGTGAGGCAGGACACACAAGGACCCTTTCCAGTAGCCACAGGGATTTTGGGATTCCTATCAGTATTCAAGAGGAGTCAGGCATCGTCACCTTTTGAAGCAATGAACTCCGCGTGCCTCTCGAGGTGTCAACGGGATGTGAGGCATTCCGTCAAAATGAGGCAGGGACCTAGGGCTTTCTCTAAGGTCTCCACAGGGGATTCAGACATCCCTTCATGATGTGACATGAAAGACGAGCCTTTATTCAAGCCACTGCAAGGAAATCCATTCTCCTTTCAAGTTAGGGCTTCTTTCTGTATATTCCCCTTGAGGCAGCAAACTCGGGGTCCCTTCCACATACCTATTGCTGAGAGAAGCCTCCTATTGAGGTGCTTCTGGAGAGTTGGCATACGTCTTGAGCCTAAGCCAGGGAATCAGCTCTCATCTCGAGACGATTTGGGGTACACGGAGCATTCCTCGAGTTGCTGTGCTGAAGTTGGTGTTCCTCTAGACTTGGGACAGTTTCTCGGGGCATCTCTGGAGTTGCCTGAAAGAAGTCGAGCCACCGGTCGTGTTGAATGGGGAACGGGGAATGGCTCTGGAGTCAATGCAGGGGAATCGGGCCTCATCTCGAGTTGATTTGGGGCACATGGAGCTGCTTTGCGTTGCTGGGGTGACCTCAGGGTCCGTCTAGACTGGTGACAGTGATCTTGGGGACTGTCTCAAGATCCATTAAGCAAGTCGAAGCTCCTGACTTGTTTGAATGGGATCATGGAATAGCTCTGCTTGCACTGCAGGGGAATGGGGCCTCATCTCGCCTCTAGGGGGAACTCTCATGGTTTTTCTCGAGTTGCGGCGGGGACCTGGGGTATGTTTTCCACTTACGGCGGGGATGGCTCTTCAAAACCCGTGTTTATTAAGTGACGTCAGGACTCCTGTCTAGTAACGAGGGACACCTCAGGAATCTCTTCGAGGCTTGGCAGGGCAAAAGGGACGCTCCTCGAGTTGAGGCAGGGCACCCAAGGACCCTTTCCAGTAGCCACAGCGATTTTGGGAATCCTATCAGTATTCAAGAGGAGTCAGGCATCGTCACCTTTTGAAGCAATGAACTCCGCGTGCCTCTCGAGGTGTCAACGGGATGTGAGGCATTCCGTCAAAATGTGGCAGGGACCTAGGGCATGGTCTAAGGTTTCCACAGGGGATTCAGGCATCCCTTCATGTTTCGAGATCAAAGACGAGCCTGTATTCAAGCCACTGCAAAGAAATGCTGCCTCCTTTCAAGTTTGGACTTCTCGCTGTATATTCCACTTGAGGCAGCGATCTCGGGGTCCCTCCCACATACTTATTGCTGAGAGAAGCCTCCTCCTGAGGTGCTATTGGAAAGTTGGCATACGTCTTGAGCCTAAGCCAGGGAATGAGCTCTCATCTCGAGACGATTTGAGGTACACGGAACATTCCTCGAGTTGCTGTGCTGAAGTTGGTGTTCCTCTAGACTTGGGACAGTGTTCTAGGGGCATCTCTGGAGTTGCCTGAAGGAAGTCGAGCCACAGGTCGTGTTGAATGGGGAACGGGGAATGGCTCTGGAGTCAATGCAGGGGAATCGGGCCTCATCTCGAGTTGATTTGGGGCACATGGAGCTGCTTTGCGTTGCTGGGGTGACCTCAGGGTCCGTCTAGACTGGTGACAGTGTTCTTGCGGACTGTCTCGAGATCCATTAAGGAAGTCGAAGCTCCTGACTTGTTTGAATGGGATCACGGAATAGCTCTGCATGCACTGCAGGGGAATGGGGCCTCATCTCGCCTCTAGGGGGAAGTTTCAGTGTTTTTCTCGAGTTGCGGCAGGGACCTGGGGTATGTTCTCGACCTACGGCGGGGATGGCCCTTCAAAACCCGTGTTTATTAAGTGACGTCAGGACTCCTGTCTAGTAACGAGGGACACCTCAGGAATCTCTTCGATACTTGGCAGGGCAAATGGGACGCTTCTCGAGGTGAGGCAGGGCACCCAAGGACCCTTTCCAGTAGCCACAGTGATTCTGGGATTCCTATCAGTTTTCCAGAGGAGTCAGGCATCGTCAGCTTTTGAAGCAATGAACTCTGCGTGCCTCTCGAGGTGTCAACGGGACGTGAGGCATTCCGTCAAAATGAGGCAGGGACCTAGGGATTTCTCTAACGTCTCCACAGGGGATTCAGACATCCCTTCATGTTGTGAGATGAAAGACGAGCCTGTATTCCAGCCACTGCAAGGAAATCCGGCCTCCTTTCAAGTTAGGGCTTTTCGCTGTATATTCCACTTGAGGCAGCGATCTCGGGGTCCGTCCCACATACCTATTGCTGAGAGAAGCCTCCTCCTGAGGTGCTTCTGGAAAGTTGGCATACGTCTTGAGCCTAAGCCAGGGAATCAGCTCTCACATCGAGACGATTTGGGGTACACGGAGCATTCCTCGAGTTGCTGTGCTGAAGTTGGTGTTCCTCTAGACTTGGGACAGTGTTCTCGGGGCATCTCTGGAGTTGCCTGAAGGAAGTTGAGCCACCAATCGTGTTGAATGGGGAAAGGGAATGGCTCTGGAGTCAATGCAGGGGAATCGGGCCTCATCTCGTGTTGATTTGGGGCACATGGAGCTGCTTTGCGTTGCTGGGGTGACCTCAGGGTCCGTCTAGACTGGTGACAGTGTTCTTGGGGACTGTCTCGAGATCCATTAAGCAAGTCGAAGCTCCTGACTTGTTTGAATGGGATCACGGAATAGCTCTGCATGCACTGAGGGGAATGGGGCCTCATCTCGCCTCTATGGCGAAGTCTCGTGGTTTTTCTCCTGTTGCGGCGGGGACCTGGGGTATGTTCTCAACTTAGGGCGGGGATGGCCTTCAAAACACGAGTTTCTTCAGTGACGTCAGGACTCCTGTCTAGTAACGAGGGACACCTCAGGAATCTCTTCGAGGATTGGCAGGGCAAAAGGGATGCTTCTCGAGGTGAGGCACGTCACCCAAGGACCCTTTCCAGTAGCCACAGGGATTTTGGGATTCCTCTCAGTATACAAGAGGAGTCAGGCATCGTCACCTTTTGAAGCAATGAACTCCGCGTGCCTCTCGAGGTGTCAACGGGATGTGAGGCATTCCGTCAAAATGAGGCAGGGACCTAGGGCTTTCTCTAAGGTCTCCACAGGGGATTCAGACATCCTTTCATGTTTTGAGATCAAAGATGAGCCTGTATTCAAGCCACTGCAAGGAAATCCGGCCTCCTTTCATGTTAGGTCTTCTCGCTGTATATTCCAATTTAGGCAGCGATATCGGGGTCCCTCCCACATACATATTGCTGAGAGAAGCCTCCTCTTGAGGTGCTTCTGGAAAGTTGGCATACGTCTTGAGCCTAAGCCAGGGAATCAGCTCTCATCTCGAGACGATTTGGGGTACACGGAGCATTCCTCGAGTTGCTGTGCTGAAGTTGGTGTTCCTCTAGACTTGGACAGTGTTCTCGGGGCATCTCTGGAGTTGCCTGAAGGAAGTCGAGCCACCGGTCGTGTTGAATGGGGAACGGGGAATGGCTCTGGAGTCAATGCAGGGGAATCGGGCCTCATCTCGAGTTGATTTGGGGCACATGGAGCTGCTTTGCGTTGCTGGGGTGACCTCAGGGTACGTCTAGACTGGTGACAGTTTTCTTGGGGACTGTCTCGAGATCCATTAAGCAAGTCCACGCTCCTGACTTGTTTGAATGGGATCACGGAATAGCTCTGCAAGCGCTGAGGGGAATGGGGCCTCATCTCGCCTCTATGGCGAAGTCTCGTGGTTTTTCTCTAGTTGCGGCGAGGACCTGGGGTATGTTCTCGACTTACGGCGGGCATGGCCCTTCAAAACACGAGTTTCTTCAGTGACGTCAGGACTCCTGTCTAGTAACGAGGGACACCTCAGGAATCTCTTCGAGGATTGGCAGTGCAAAAGGGACGCTTCTCGACGTGAGGCAGGGCACCCAAGGACCCTTTCCAGTAGCCACAGGGATTTTGGGATTCCTATCAGTATAAAAGATGAGTCAGGCATCGTCAGCTTTTGAAGCAATGAACTCCGCGTGCCTCTCGAGGTGTCAACGGGATGTGAGGCATTCCGTCAAAATGAGGCAGGGACCTAGGGCTTTCTCTAAGGTCTCCACAGGGGATTCAGACATCCTTTCATGTTTTGAGATCAAAGATGAGCCTGTATTCAAGCCACTGCAAGGAAATCCGGCCTCCTTTCATGTTAGGGCTTCTCGCTGTATATTCCACTTGAGGCAGCGATATCGGGGTCCCTCCCACATACCTATTGCTGAGAGAAGTCTCCTCTTGAGGTGCTTCTGGAAAGTTGGCATACGTCTTGAGCCTAAGCCAGGGAATCAGCTCTCACATCAAGACGATTTGGGGTACACGGAGCATTCCTCGAGTTGCTGTGCTGAAGTTGGTGTTCCTCTAGACTTGGGACAGTGTTCTCGGGGCACATCTGGAGTTGCCTGAAGGAAGTCGAGCCACCGATCGTGTTGAATGGGGAACGGGGAATGGCTCTGGAGTCAATGCAGGGGAATCGGGCCTCATCTCGAGTGGATTTGGGGAACATGGGGCTGCTCTGCGTTGCTGGGGTGACCTCAGGGTCCGTCTAGACTGGTGACAGTGTTCTTGGCGACTGTCTCGAGATCCATTAAGCAAGTCGAAGCACCTGACTTGTTTGAATGGGATCATGGAATAGCTCTGCATGCACTGCAGGGGAATGGGGCCTCATCTCGGCTCTAGGGGGAAGTCTAATGGTATTTCTCGAGTTGCGGCGGGGACCTGGGGTATGTTCTCGACTTACGGTGGGGATGGCCCTTCAAAACCCGTGTTTATTAAGTGACGTCAGGACTCCTGTCTAGTAACGAGGGACACCTCAGGAATCTCTTCGAGGCTTGGCAGGGCAAAAGGGACGCTTATCGAGGTGAGGCAGGGCACCCAAGGACCCTTTCCAGTAGCCACAGGGATTTTGGGATTCCTATCAGTATTCAAGAGGAGTCAGGCATCGTCACCTTTTGAAGCAGTGAACTCCGCGTGCCTCTCGAGGTGTCAACGGGATGTGAGGCATTCCGTCCAAATGAGGCAGGGACCTAGGGATTTCCCTAAGGTCTCCACAGGGGATTCATACATCCCTTCATGTTGTGAGATGAAAGACGAGCCTGTATTCAAGCCACTGCAAGGAAATCCGGCCTCCTTTCAAGTTAGGGCTTCTCGCTGTATATTCCCCTTGAGGCAGCAAACTCGGGGTCCCTCCCACATAACTATTGCTGAGAGAAGCCTCCTCTTGAGGTGCTTCTGGAAAGTTGGCATACGTCTTGAGCCTAAGCCAGGGAATCAGCTCTCACATCAAGACGATTTGGGGTACACGGAGCATTCCTCGAGTTTCTGTGCTGAAGTTGGTGTTCCTCTAGACTTGGGACAGTGTTCTCCGGGCATCTCTGGAGTTGCCTGAAGGAAGTCGAGCCACCGGTCGTGTTGAATGGGGAACGGGTAATGGCTCTGGAGTCAATGCAGGGGAATCGGGCCTCATCTCGAGTTGATTTGGGGCACATGGAGCTGCTTTGCGTTGCTGCGGTGACCTCAGGGTCCGTCTAGACTCGTGACAGTGTTCTTGGGGACTGTCTCGAGATCCATTAAGCAAGTCGAAGCTCCTGACTTGTTTGAATGGGATCACGGAATAGCTCTGCATGCACTGCAGTTGAATGGGGCCTCATTTCGCTTCTAGGGGGAAGTCTCATGGTTTTTCTCGAGTTGCGGCGGGGACATGGGGTATGTTCTCGACTTAAGGCGGGGATGGCACTTCAATACCCGTGTTTATTAAGTGACGTCAGGACTTCTGTCTAGTAACGAGGGACACCTCAGGAATATCTTCGAGGCTTGGCAGGGCAAAAGGGACTCTTCTCGAGGTGAGGCAGGGCACCCAAGGACCCTTTCCAGTAGCCACAGGGATTTTGGGATTCCTATCAGTATTCAAGAGGTGTCAGGCATCGTCACCTTTTGAAGCAATGAACTCAGCGTGCCTCTGGAGGTGTCAACGGGATGTGAGGCATTCCGACAAAATGAAGCAGGGACCTAGGGCTTTCTCTAAGGTCTCCACAGGGGATTCAGACATCCCTTCATGTTGTGAGATGAAAGACGAGCCTGTATTCAAGCCACTGCAAGGAAATACGGCCTCCATTCAAGTTAGCGCTTCTCGCTGTATATTCCCCTTGAGGCAGCAAACTCGGGGTGCCTTCCACATACCTATTGCTGAGAGAAGCCTCCTCTTGAGGTGCTTCTGGAAAGTTGTCATACGTCTTGAGCCTAAGCCAGGGAATCAGCTCTCATCTCGAGATGATTTGGGTTACACGGAGCATTCTTCGAGTTGCTGTGCTGAAGTTGGTGTTCCTCTAGACTTGGGACAGTGTTCTCGGGCATCTCTGGAGTTGCCTGAAGGAAGTCGAGCCACCGGTCGTGTTGAATGGGGAACGGGGAATGGCTCTGGAGTCAATGCAGGGGAATCGGGCCTCATCTCGAGTTGATTTGGGGCACATGGAGCTGCTTTGCGTTGCTGCGGTGACCTCAGGGTCCGTCTAGACTCGTGACAGTGTTCTTGGGGACTGTCTCGAGATCCATTAAGCAAGTCGAAGCTCCTGACTTGTTTGAATGGGATCATGGAATAGCTCTGCATGCACTGCTGTTGAATGGGGCCTCATTTCGCTTCTAGGGGGAAGTCTCATGGTTTTTCTCGAGTTGCGGCGGGGACCTGGGGTATGTTCTCAACTTACGGCGGGGATGGCCCTTCAAAACACGAGTTTCTTCAGTGACGTCAGGACTCTTGTCTAGTAACGAGGGACAACTCAGGAATCTCTTCGAGGCTTGGCAGGGCAAAAGCGACGCTTCTCGAGGTGAGACAGGGCACCCAAGGACCCTTTCCAGTAGCCACATGGGTTTTGGGATTCCTATCAGTATTCAAGAGGAGTCAGGCATCGTCACCTTTTGAAGCAATGAACTCTGCGTGCCTCTCGAGGTGTCAACGGGATGTGAGGCATTCCGTCAAAATGAGGCAGGGACCTAGGGTTTTCTCTAAGGTCTCCACAGGGGATTCACACATCCCTTCATGTTGTAACATGAAAGACGAGCCTGTATTCAAGCCACTGCAAGGAAATTCGGCCTTCTTTCAAGTTAGGGCTTCTCGCTGTATATTCCCCTTGAGGTAGCAAACTCGGGGTCCCTTCGACATACCACTTGCTGAGAGAAGCCTCCTCTTGAGGTGCTTCTGGAAAGTTGGCATACGTCTTGAGCCTAAGCCAGGGAATCAGCTCTAACATCGAGATGATTTGGGGTACACGGAGCATTCCTCGAGTTGCTGTGCTGAAGTTGGTGTTCCTCTAGACGTTGGACAGTGTTCTCGGGGCATCTCTGGAGTTGCCTGAAGGAAGTCGAGCCACCGGTCGTGTTGAATGGGGAACGGGGAATGGCTCTGGAGTCAATGCAGGGGAATCGGGCCTCATCTCGAGTTGATTTGGGGCACGTGGAGCTGCTTTGCATTGCTCGGGTGACCTCAGGGTCCGTCTAGACTGGTGACAGTGTTCTTGGCGACTGTCTCGAGATCCATTAAGCAAGTCAAAGCTCCTGACTTGTTTGAATCTGATCACGGAAAAGCTCTGCATGCACTGCAGGGGAATGGGGCCTCATCTCGCCTCTAGGGGGAAGTCTCATGGTTTTTCTCGAGTTGCGGCGGGGACCTGGGGTATGTTCTCGACTTACGGCGGGGATGGCCCTTCAAAACACAAGTTTCTTCAGTGACGTCAGGACTCCTGTCTAGTAACGAGGGACACCACAGGAATCTCTTCGAGGCTTGGCAGTGCAAAAGGGATGCTTCTCGAGGTGAGGCAGGACACCCAAGGACCCTTTCCAGTAGCCACAGGGATTTTGGGATTCCTATCAGTATTCAAGAGGAGTCAGGCATCGTCACCTTTTGAAGCAATGAACTCCGCGTGCCTCTCGAGGTGTCAACGGGATGTGAGGCATTCCGTCAAAATGAGGCAGGGATCTAGGGCTTTCTCTAAGGTCTCCACAGGGGATTCAGACATCCCTTCATGATGTGACATGAAAGACGAGCCTTTATTCAAGCCACTGCAAGGAAATCCGTTCTCCTTTCAAGTTAGGGCTTCTTTCTGTATATTCCCCTTGAGGCAGCAAACTCGGGGTCCCTTCCACATACCTATTGCTGAGAGAAGCCTCCTCTTGAGGTGCTTCTGGAGAGTTGGCATACGTCTTGAGCCTAAGCCAGGGAATCAGCTCTCATCTCGAGACGATTTGGGGTACACGGAGCATTCCTCGAGTTGCTGTGCTGAAGTTGGTGTTCCTCTAGACTTGGGACAGTTTCTCGGGGCATCTCTGGAGTTGCCTGAAAGAAGTCGAGCCACCGGTCGTGTTGAATGGGGAACGGGGAATGGCTCTGGAGTCAATGCAGGGGAATCGGGCCTCATCTCGAGTTGATTTGGGGCACATGGAGCTGCTTTGCGTTGCTGGGGTGACCTCAGGGTCCGTCTAGACTGGTGACAGTGTTCTTGCGGACTGTCTCGAGATCCATTAAGGAAGTCGAAGCTCCTGACTTGTTTGAATGGGATCACGGAATAGCTCTGCATGCACTGCAGGGGAATGGGGCCTCATCTCGCCTCTAGGGGGAAGTCTCAGTGTTTTTCTCGAGTTGCGGCAGGGACCTGGGGTATGTTCTCGACCTACGGCGGGGATGGCCCTTCAAAACCCGTGTTTATTAAGTGACGTCAGGACTCCTGTCTAGTAACGAGGGACACCTCAGGAATCTCTTCGATACTTGGCAGGGCAAAAGGGACGCTTCTCGAGGTGAGGCAGGGCACCCAAGGACCCTTTCCAATAGCCACAGTGATTCTGGGATTCCTATCAGTTTTCCAGAGGAGTCAGGCATCGTCACCTTTTGAAGCAATGAACTCTGCGTGCCTCTCGAGGTGTCAACGGGACGTGAGGCATTCCGTCAAAATGAGGCAGGGACCTAGGGATTTCTCTAACGTCTCCACAGGGGATTCAGACATCGCTTCATGTTGTGAGATGAAAGACGAGCCTGTATTCCAGCCACTGCAAGGAAATCCGGCCTCCTTTCAAGTTAGGGCTTTTCGCTGTGTATTCCACCTGAGGCAGCGATCTCGGGGTCCGTCCCACATACCTATTGCTGAGAGAAGCCTCCTCCTGAAGTGCTTCTGGAAAGTTGGCATACGTCTTGAGCCTAAGCCAGGGAATCAGCTCTCATCTCGAGACGATTTGGGTTACACGGAACATTTCCTGAGTTGCTGTGCTGAAGTTGGTGTTCCTCTAGACTTGGGACATTGTTCTCGGGGCATCTCTGGAGTTGCCTGAAGGAAGTCGAGCCACCTGTCGTGTTGAATGGAGAACGGGGAATGGCTCTGGAGTCAATGCAGGGGATCGGGCCTCATCTCGAGTTGATTTGGGGTACATGGAACTGCTTTCTGTTGCTGGGGTGACCTCAGTTTCCGTCTAGACTGGTGACAGTGTTCTTGGTGACTGTCTGGAGATCCATTAATCAAGTTGAAGCTCCTGACTTGTTTGAATGTGATCACGGAATAGCTCTGCATGCACTGCAGGGGAATGGGGCCTCATCTCGCCTCTAGGGGGAAGTCTCATGGTTTTTCTCGAGTTGCGGCAGGGACCTGGGGTATGTTCTCGACCTACGGCGGGGATGGCTCTTCAAAACCCGTGTTTATTGATGACGTCAGGACTCCTGTCTAGTAACGAGGGACACATCAGGAATCACTTCGATACTTGCCAGGGCAAAAGGGACGCTTCTCGAGGTGAGGCATGGCACCCAAGGACTCTTTCCATTAGCCACAGTGATTTTGGGATTCCTATCAGTTTTCCAGAGGAGTCAGGCATCGTCACCTTTTGAAGCAATGAACTCCACGTGCCTCTCGAGGTGTCAACGGGACGTGAGGCATTCCGTCAAAATGAGGCAGGGACCTAGGGCTTTCTCTAAGGTCTCCACAGGGGATTCAGACATCCCTTCATGTTGTGAGATGAAAGACGAGCCTGTATTCCAGCCACTGCATGGAAATCCGGCCTCCTTTCAAGTTAGGGCTTTTCGCTGTATATTCCACTTGAGGCAGCGATCTCGGGGTCCCTCCCACATACCTATTGCTGAGAGAAGCCTCCTCCTGAGGTGCTTCTGGAAAGTTGGCATACGTCTTGAGCCTAAGCCAGGGAATCAGCTCTCACATCGAGACGATTTGGGGTACACGGAGCATTCCTCGAGTTGCTGTGCTGAAGTTGGTGTTCCTCTAGACTTGGGTCAGTGTTCTCGGGGCATCTCTGGAGTTGCCTGAAGGAAGTTGAGCCACCAGTCGTGTTGAATGGGGAAAGGGAATGGCTCTGGAGTCAATGCAGGGGAATCGGGCCTCATCTCGTGTTGATTTGGGGCACATGGAGCTGCTTTGCGTTGCTGGGGTGACCTCAAGTTCCGTCTAGACTGGTGACAGTGTTCTTGGGGACTGTCTCGAGATCCATTAAGCAAGTCGAAGCTCCTGACTTGTTTGAATGGGATCACGGAATAGCTCTGCATGCACTGAGGGGAATGGGGCCTCATCTCGCCTCTATGGCGAAGTCTCGTGGTTTTTCTCCTGTTGCGGCGGGGACCTGGGGTATGTTCTCAACTTAGGGCGGGGATGGCCTTCAAAACACGAGTTTCTTCAGTGACGTCAGGACTCCTGTCTAGTAACGAGGGACACCTCAGGAATCTCTTCGAGGATTGGCAGGGCAAAAGGGATGCTTCTCGAGGTGAGGCACGTCACCCAAGGACCCTTTCCAGTAGCCACAGGGATTTTGGGATTCCTCTCAGTATACAAGAGGAGTCAGGCATCGTCACCTTTTGAAGCAATGAACTCCGCGTGCCTCTCGAGGTGTCAACGGGACGTGAGGCATTCCGTCAAAATGAGGCAGGGACCTAGGGCTTTCTCTAAGGTCTCCACAGGGGATTCAGACATCCTTTCATGTTTTGAGATCAAAGATGAGCCTGTATTCAAGCCACTGCAAGGAAATCCGGCCTCCTTTCAAGTTAGGTCTTCTCGCTGTATAATCCAATTTAGGCAGCGATATCGGGGTCCCTCCCACATACATATTGCTGAGAGAAGCCTCCTCTTGAGGTGCTTCTGGAAAGTTGGCATACGTCTTGAGCCTAAGCCAGGGAATCAGCTCTCATCTCGAGACGATTTGGGGTACACGGAGCATTCCTCGAGTTGCTGTGCTGAAGTTGGTGTTCCTCTAGACTTGGGACAGTGTTCTCGGGGCATCTCTGGAGTTGCCTGAAGGAAGTCGAGCCACCGGTCGTGTTGAATGGGGAACGGGGAATGGCTCTGGAGTCAATGCAGGGGAATCGGGCCTCATCTCGAGTTGATTTGGGGCACATGGAGCTGCTTTGCGTTGCTGGGGTGAACTCAGGGTACGTCTAGACTGGTGACAGTGTTCTTGGGGACTGTCTCGAGATCCATTAAGCAAGTCGAAGTTCCTGACTTGTTTGAATGGGATCACGGAATAGCTCTGCAAGCACTGAGGGGAATGGGGCCTCATCTCGCCTCTATGGCGAAGTCTCGTGGTTTTTCTCTATTTGCGGCGGGGACCTGGGGTATGTTCTCGACTTACGGCGGGGATGGCCCTTCAATACCCGTGTTTATTAAGTGACGTCAGGACTCCTGTCTAGTAACGAGGGACACCTCAGGAATCTCTTCGAGGCTTGGCAGGGCAAAAGGGATGCTTCTCGAGATGAGGCAGGGCACCCAAGGACCCTTTCCAGTAGCCACAGGGATTTTGGGATTCCTATCAGTATTCAAGAGGTGTCAGGCATCGTCACCTTTTGAAGCAATGAACTCAGCGTGCCTCTGGAGGTGTCAACGGGATGTGAGGCATTCCGACAAAATGAAGCAGGGACCTAGGGCTTTCTCTAAGGTCTCCACAGGGGATTCAGACATCCCTTCATGTTGTGAGATGAAAGACGAGCCTGTATTCAAGCCACTGCAAGGAAATACGGCCTCCATTCAAGTTAGCGCTTCTCGCTGTATATTCCCCTTGAGGCAGCAAACTCGGGGTGCCTTCCACATACCTATTGCTGAGAGAAGCCTCCTCTTGAGGTCCTTCTGGAAAGTTGTCATACGTCTTGAGCCTAAGCCAGGGAATCAGCTCTCATCTCGAGATGATTTGGGTTACACGGAGCATTCTTCGAGTTGCTGTGCTGAAGTTGGTGTTCCTCTAGACTTGGGACAGTGTTCTCGGGCATCTCTGGAGTTGCCTGAAGGAAGTCGAGCCACCGGTCGTGTTGAATGGGGAACGGGGAATGGCTCTGGAGTCAATGCAGGGGAATCGGGCCTCATCTCGAGTTGATTTGGGGCACATGGAGCTGCTTTGCATTGCTGCGGTGACCTCAGGGTCCGTCTAGACTGGTGACAGTGTTCTTGGGGACTGTCTCGAGATCCATTAAGCAAGTCGAAGCTCCTGACTTGTGTGAATGGGATCACGGAATAGCTCTGCATGCACTGCAGTTGAATGGGGCCTCATTTCGCTTCTAGGGGGAAGTCTCATGGTTTTTCTCGAGTTGCGGCGGGGACCTGGGGTATGTTCCCAACTTACGGCGGGGATGGCCCTTCAAAACACGAGTTTCTTCAGTGACGTCAGGACTCTTGTCTAGTAACGAGGGACACCTCAGGAATCTCTTCGAGGCTTGGCAGGGCAAAAGCGACGCTTCTCGAGGTGAGACAGGGCACCCAAGGCCCCTTTCCAGTAGCCACATGGGTTTTGGGATTCCTATCAGTATTCAAGAGGAGTCAGGCATCGTCACCTTTTGAAGCAATGAGCTCCGCGTGCCTCTCGAGGTGTCAACGGGATGTGAGGCATTCCGTCAAAATGAGGCAGGGACCTAGGGTTTTCTCTAAGGTCTCCACAGGGGATTCACACATCCCTTCATGTTGTAACATGAAAGACGAGCCTGTATTCAAGCCACTGCAAGGAAATTCGGCCTTCTTTCAAGTTAGGGCTTCTCGCTGTATTTTCCCCTTGAGGTAGCAAACTCGGGGTCCCTTCCACATACCTATTGCTGAGAGAAGCCTCCTCTTGAGGTGCTTCTGGAAAGTTGTCATACGTCTTGAGCCTAAGCCAGGGAATCAGCTCTCATCTCGAGATGATTTGGGTTACACGGAGCATTCTTCGAGTTGCTGTGCTGAAGTTGGTGTTCCTCTAGACTTGGGACAGTGTTCTCGGGCATCTCTGGAGTTGCCTGAAGGAAGTCGAGCCACCGGTCGTGTTGAATGGGGAACGGGGAATGGCTCTGGAGTCAATGCAGGGGAATCGGGCCTCATCTCGAGTTGATTTGGGGCACATGGAGCTGCTTTGCATTGCTGCGGTGACCTCAGGGTCCGTCTAGACTGGTGACAGTGTTCTTGGGGACTGTCTCGAGATCCATTAAGCAAGTCGAAGCTCCTGACTTGTTTGAATGGGATCACGGAATAGCTCTGCATGCACTGCAGTTGAATGGGGCCTCATTTCGCTTCTAGGGGGAAGTCTCATGGTTTTTCTCGAGTTGCGGCGGGGACCTGGGGTATGTTCTCAACTTACGGCGGGGATGGCCCTTCAAAACACGAGTTTCTTCAGTGACGTCAGGACTCTTGTCTAGTAACGAGGGACACCTCAGGAATCTCTTCGAGGCTTGGCAGGGCAAAAGCGACGCTTCTCGAGGTGAGACAGGGCACCCAAGGACCCTTTCCAGTAGCCACATGGGTTTTGGGATTCCTATCAGTATTCAAGAGGAGTCAGGCATCGTCACCTTTTGAAGCAATGAACTCTGCGTGCCTCTCGAGGTGTCAACGGGATGTGAGGCATTCCGTCAAAATGAGGCAGGGACCTAGGGTTTCTCTAAGGTCTCCACAGGGGATTCACACATCCCTTCATGTTGTAACATGAAAGACGAGCCTGTATTCAAGCCACTGCAAGGAAATTCGGCCTTCTTTCAAGTTAGGGCTTCTCGCTGTATATTCCCCTTGAGGTAGCAAACTCGGGGTCCCTTCCACATACCTATTGCTGAGAGAAGCCTTCTCTTGAGGTGCTTCTGGAAAGTTGGCATACGTCTTGAGCCTAAGCCAGGGAATCAGCTCTAACATCGAGATGATTTGGGGTACACGGAGCATTCCTCGAGTTGCTGTGCTGAAGTTGGTGTTCCTCTAGACGTTGGACAGTGTTCTCGGGGCATCTCTGGAGTTGCCTGAAGGAAGTCGAGCCACCGGTCGTGTTGAATGGGGAACGGGGAATGGCTCTGGAGTCAATGCAGGGGAATCGGGCCTCATCTCGAAATGATTTGGGGCACATGGAGCTGCTTTGCGTTGCTGGGGTGACCTCAGGGTCCGTCTAGACTGGTGACAGTGTTCTTGGCGACTTTCTCGAGATCCATTAAGCAAGTCAAAGCTCCTGACTTGTTTGAATCTGATCACGGAAAAGCTCTGCATGCACTGCAGGGGAATGGGGCCTCATCTCGCCTCTAGGGGGAAGTCTCATGGTTTTTCTCGAGTTGCGGCGGGGACCTGGGGTATGTTCTCGACTTACGGCAGGGATGGCCCTTCAAAACACGAGTTTCTTCAGTGACGTCAGGACTCCTGTCTAGTAACGAGGGACACCTCAGGAATCTCTTCGAGGCTTGGCAGTGCAAAAGGGATGCTTCTCGAGGTGAGGCAGGACACCCAAGGACCCTTTCCAGTAGCCACAGGGATTTTGGGATTCCTATCAGTATTCAAGAGGAGTCAGGCATCGTCACCTTTTGAAGCAATGAACTCCACGTGCCTCTCGAGGTGTCAACGGAATGCGAGGCATTCCGTGAAAATGAGGCAGGGACCTAGGGCTTTCTCTAAGGTCTCCACAGGGGATTCAGACATCCCTTCATGATGTGACATGAAAGACGAGCCTTTATTCAAGCCACTGCAAGGAAATCCGTTCTCCTTTCAAGTTAGGGCTTCTTTCTGTATATTCCCCTTGAGGCAGCAAACTCGGGGTCCCTTCCACATACCTATTGCTGAGAGAAGCCTCCTCTTGAGGTGCTTCTGGAGAGTTGGCATACGTCTTGAGCCTAAGCCAGGGAATCAGCTCTCATCTCGAGACGATTTGGGGTACACGGAGCATTCCTCGAGTTGCTGTGCTGAAGTTGGTGTTCCTCTAGACTTGGGACAGTTTCTCGGGGCATCTCTGGAGTTGCCTGAAAGAAGTCGAGCCACCGGTCGTGTTGAATGCGGAACGGGGAATGGCTCTGGAGTCAATGCAGGGGAATCGGGCCTCATCTCGAGTTGATTTGGGGCACATGGAGCTGCTTTGCGTTGCTGGGGTGACCTCAGGGTCCGTCTAGACTGGTGACAGTGATCTTGGGGACTGTCTCGAGATCCATTAAGCAAGTCGAAGCTCCTGACTTGTTTGAATGGGATCACGGAATAGCTCTGCTTGCACTGCAGGGGAATGGGGCCTCATCTCGCCTCTAGAGGGAACTCTCATGGTTTTTCTCGAGTTGCGGCGGGGACCTGGGGTATGTTTTCCACTTACGGCGGGGATGGCTCTTCAAAACCCGTGTTTATTAAGTGACGTCAGGACTCCTGTCTAGTAACGAGGGACACCTCAGGAATCTCTTCGAGGCTTGGCAGGGCAAAAGGGACGCTCCTCGAGTTGAGGCAGGGCACCCAAGGACGCTTTCCAGTAGCCACCGCGATTTTGGGAATCCTATCAGTATTCAAGAGGAGTCAGGCATCGTCACCTTTTGAAGCAATGAACTCCGCGTGCCTCTCGAGGTGTCAACGGGATGTGAGGCATTCCGTCAAAATGAGGCAGGGACCTAAGGCATGGTCTAAGGTTTCCACAGGGGATTCAGGCATCCCTTCATGTTTCGAGATCAAAGACGAGCCTGTATTCAAGCCACTGCAAAGAAATATTGCCTCCTTCCAAGTTTGGACTTCTCGCTGTATATTCCACTTGAGGCAGCGATCTCGGGGTCCCTCCCACATACTTATTGCTGAGAGAAGCCTCCTCCTGAGGTGCTATTGGAAAGTTGGCATACGTCTTGAGCCTAAGCCAGGGAATGAGCTCTCATCTCGAGACGATTTGAGGTACACGGAACATTCCTCGAGTTGCTGTGCTGAAGTTGGTGTTCCTCTAGACTTGGGACAGTGTTCTAGGGGCATCTCTGGAGTTGCCTGAAGGAAGTCGAGCCACAGGTCGTGTTGAATGGGGAACGGGGAATGGCTCTGGAGTCAATGCAGGGGAATCGGGCCTCATCTCGAGTTGATTTGGGGCACATGGAGCTGCTTTGCGTTGCTGGGGTGACCTCAGGGTCCGTCTAGACTGGTGACAGTGATCTTGGGGACTGTCTCGAGATCCATTAAGGAAGTCGAAGCTCCTGACTTGTTTGAATGGGATCACGGAATAGCTCTGCATGCACTGCAGGGGAATGGGGCCTCATCTCGCCTCTAGGGGGAAGTCTCAGTGTTTTTCTCGAGTTGCGGCAGGGACCTGGGGTATGTTCTCGACCTACGGCGGGGATGGCCCTTCAAAACCCGTGTTTATTAAGTGACGTCAGGACTCCTGTCTAGTAACGAGGGACACCTCAGGAATCTCTTCGATACTTGGCAGGGCAAAAGGGACGCTTCTCGAGGTGAGGCAGGGCACCCAAGGACCCTTTCCAGTAGCCACAGTGATTCTGGGATTCCTATCAGTTTTCCAGAGTAGTCAGGCATCGTCACCTTTTGAAGCAATGAACTCTGCGTGCCTCTCGAGGTGTCAACGGGACGTGAGGCATTCCGTCAAAATGAGGCAGGGACCTAGGGATTTCTCTAACGTCTCCACAGGGGATTCAGACATCCCTTCATGTTGTGAGATGAAAGACGAGCCTGTATTCCAGCCACTGCAAGGAAATCCGGCCTCCTTTCAAGTTAGGGCTTTTCGCTGTATATTCCACTTGAGGCAGCGATCTCGGGGTCCGTCCCACATACCTATTGCTGAGAGAAGCCTCCTCCTGAGGTGCTTCTGGAAAGTTGGCATACGTCTTGAGCCTAAGCCAGGGAATCAGCTCTCATCTCGAGACGATTTGGGTTACACGGAACATTTCCTGAGTTGCTGTGCTGAAGTTGGTGTTCCTCTAGACTTGGGACATTGTTCTCGGGGCATCTCTGGAGTTGCCTGAAGGAAGTCGAGCCACCGGTCGTGTTGAATGGAGAACGGGGAATGGATCTGGAGTCAATGCAGGGGATCGGGCCTCATCTCGAGTTGATTTGGGGTACATGGAACTGCTTTGTGTTGCTGGGGTGACCTCAGTTTCCGTCTAGACTGGTGACAGTGTTCTTGGTGACTGTCTGGAGATCCATTAAGCAAGTTGAAGCTCCTGACTTGTTTGAATGGGATCACGGAATAGCTCTGCATGCACTGCAGGGGAATGGGGCCTCATCTTGCCTCTAGGGGGAAGTCTCATGGTTTTTCTCGAGTTGCGGCGGGGACCTGGGATATGTTCTCAACTTACGGCGGGGATGGCCCTTCAAAACACGAGTTTCTTCCTTGACGTCAGGACTCTTGTCTAGTAACGAGGGACACCTCAGGAATCTCTTCGAGGCTTGGCAGGGCATAAGCGACGCTTCTCGAGGTGAGGCAGGGCACCCAAGGACCCTTTCCAGTAGCCACAGGGGTTTTGGGATTCCTATCAGTATTCAAGAGGAGTCAGGCATCGTCACCATTTGAAGCAATGAACTCCGCGTGCCTCTCGAGGTGTCAACGGGATGTGAGGAATTCCGTCAAAATGAGGCAGGGACCTTAGGTTTTCTCTAAGGTCTCCACAGGGGATTAAGACATCCCTTCATGTTTTGAGATCAAAGACGAGCCTGTATTCAAGCCACTGCAAGGAAATCTGGCCTCTTTTCAAGTTAGGGCTTCTCGCTGTATATTCCACTTGAGGCAGCAAATTCGGGGTCCCTTCCACTTACCTATTGCTGAGAGTAGTCTCCTCTTGAGGTGCTTCTGGAAAGTTGGCATACGTCTTGAGCCTAAGCCAGGGAATCAGCTCTCATCTCGAGACGATTTGGGGTACACGGAGCATTGCTCGAGTTGCTGTGCTGAAGTTGGTTTCCTCTAGACTTGGGACAGTGTTCTCGGGGCATCTCTGGAGTTGCCTGAAGGAAGTCGAGCCACTGGTCGTGTTGAATGGGAAAAGGGGAATGACTCTGGAGTCAATGCAGGGGAATCGGGCCTCATCTCGAGTTGATTTGGGGCACATGGAGCTGCTTTGCGTTGCTGGGGTGACCTCAGGGTCCGTCTAGACTGGTGACAGTGTTTTTGGGGACTGTCTCGAGATCCTTTAAGCAAGTCGAAGCTCCTGACTTGTTTGAATGGGATTACGGAACAGCTCTGCATGCACTGCAGGGGAATGGGGCCTCATCTCGCCTCTAGGGGGAAGTCTCATGGTTTTTCTCGAGTTGCGGCAGGGACCTGGGGTATGTTCTCGACCTACGGCGGGGATGGCCCTTCAAAACCCGTGTTTATTAATGACGTCAGGACTCCTGTCTAGTAACGAGGGACGCATCAGGAATCACTTCGATACTTGCCAGGGCAAAAGGGAGGATTCTCGAGGTGCGGCAGGGCACCCAAGGACTCTTTCCATTAGTCACAGTGATTTTGGGATTCCTATCAGTTTTCCAGAGGAGTCAGGCATCGTCACCTTTTGAAGCAATGAACTCCGCGTGCCTCTCGAGGTGTCAACGGGACGTGAGGCATTCCGTCAAAATGAGGCAGGGACCTAGGGCTTTCTCTAAGGTCTCCACAGGGGATTCAGACATCCCTTCATGTTGTGAGATGAAAGACGAGCCTGTATTCCAGCCACTGCATGGAAATCCGGCCTCCTTTCAAGTTAGGGCTTTTCGCTGTATATTCCACTTGAGGCAGCGATCTCGGGGTCCCTCCCACATACCTATTGCTGAGAGAAGCCTCCTCCTGAGGTGCTTCTGGAAAGTTGGCATACGTCTTGAGCCTAAGCCAGGGAATCAGCTCTCACATCGAGACGATTTGGGGTACACGGAGCATTCCTCGAGTTGCTGTGCTGAAGTTGGTGTTCCTCTAGACGTTGGACAGTGTTCTCGGGGCATCTCTGGAGTTGCCTGAAGGAAGTCGAGCCACCGGTCGTGTTGAATGGGGAACGGGGAATGGCTCTGGAGTCAATGCAGGGGAATCGGGCCTCATCTCGAAATGATTTGGGGCACATGGAGCTGCTTTGCGTTGCTGGGGTGACCTCAGGGTCCGTCTAGACTGGTGACAGTGTTCTTGGCGACTTTCTCGAGATCCATTAAGCAAGTCAAAGCTCCTGACTTGTTTGAATCTGATCACGGAAAAGCTCTGCATGCACTGCAGGAGAATGGGGCCTCATCTCGCCTCTAGGGGGAAGTCTCATGGTTTTTCTCGAGTTGCGGCGGGGACCTGGGGTATGTTCTCGACTTACGGCAGGGATGGCCCTTCAAAACACGAGTTTCTTCAGTGACGTCAGGACTCCTGTCTAGTAACGAGGGACACCTCAGGAATCTCTTCGAGGCTTGGCAGTGCAAAAGGGATGCTTCTCGAGGTGAGGCAGGACACCCAAGGACCCTTTCCAGTAGCCACAGGGATTTTGGGATTCCTATCAGTATTCAAGAGGAGTCAGGCATCGTCACCTTTTGAAGCAATGAACTCCGCGTGCCTCTCGAGGTGTCAACGGGATGTGAGGCATTCCGTCAAAATGAGGCAGGGACCTAGGGCTTTCTCTAAGGTCTCCACAGGGGATTCAGACATCCCTTCATGATGTGACATGAAAGACGAGCCTTTATTCAAGCCACTGCAAGGAAATCCGTTCTCCTTTCAAGTTAGGGCTTCTTTCTGTATATTCCCCTTGAGGCAGCAAACTCGGGGTCCCTTCCACATACCTATTGCTGAGAGAAGCCTCCTCTTGAGGTGCTTCTGGAGAGTTGGCATACGTCTTGAGCCTAAGCCAGGGAATCAGCTCTCATCTCGAGACGATTTGGGGTACACGGAGCATTCCTCGAGTTGCTGTGCTGAAGTTGGTGTTCCTCTAGACTTGGGACAGTTTCTCGGGGCATCTCTGGAGTTGCCTGAAAGAAGTCGAGCCACCGGTCGTGTTGAATGGGGAACGGGGAATGGCTCTGGAGTCAATGCAGGGGAATCGGGCCTCATCTCGAGTTGATTTGGGGCACATGGAGCTGCTTTGCGTTGCTGGGGTGACCTCAGGGTCCGTCTAGACTGGTGACAGTGATCTTGGGGACTGTCTCGAGATCCATTAAGCAAGTCGAAGCTCCTGACTTGTTTGAATGGGATCACGGAATAGCTCTGCTTGCACTGCAGGGGAATGGGGCCTCATCTCGCCTCTAGCGGGAACTCTCATGGTTTTTCTCGAGTTGCGGCGGGGACCTGGGGTATGTTTTCCACTTACGGCGGGGATGGCTCTTCAAAACCCGTGTTTATTAAGTGACGTCAGGACTCCTGTCTAGTAACGAGGGACACCTCAGGAATCTCTTCGAGGCTTGGCAGGGCAAAAGGGACGCTCCTCGAGTTGAGGCAGGGCACCCAAGGACGCTTTCCAGTAGCCACAGCGATTTTGGGAATCCTATCAGTATTCAAGAGGAGTCAGGCATCGTCACCTTTTGAAGCAATGAACTCCGCGTGCCTCTCGAGGTGTCAACGGGATGTGAGGCATTCCGTCAAAATGAGGCAGGGACCTAGGGCATGGTCTAAGGTTTCCACAGGGGATTCAGGCATCCCTTCATGTTTCGAGATCAAAGACGAGCCTGTATTCAAGCCACTGCAAAGAAATGCTGCCTCCTTCCAAGTTTGGACTTCTCGCTGTATATTCCACTTGAGGCAGCGATCTCGGGGTCCCTCCCACATACTTATTGCTGAGAGAAGCCTCCTCCTGAGGTGCTATTGGAAAGTTGGCATACGTCTTGAGCCTAAGCCAGGGAATGAGCTCTCATCTCGAGACGATTTGAGGTACACGGAACATTCCTCGAGTTGCTGTGCTGAAGTTGGTGTTCCTCTAGACTTGGGACAGTGTTCTAGGGGCATCTCTGGAGTTGCCTGAAGGAAGTCGAGCCACAGGTCGTGTTGAATGGGGAACGGGGAATGGCTCTGGAGTCAATGCAGGGGAATCGGGCCTCATCTCGAGTTGATTTGGGGCACATGGAGCTGCTTTGCGTTGCTGGGGTGACCTCAGGGTCCGTCTAGACTGGTGACAGTGATCTTGGGGACTGTCTCGAGATCCATTAAGGAAGTCGAAGCTCCTGACTTGTTTGAATGGGATCACGGAATAGCTCTGCATGCACTGCAGGGGAATGGGGCCTCATCTCGCCTCTAGGGGGAAGTCTCAGTGTTTTTCTCGAGTTGCGGCAGGGACCTGGGGTATGTTCTCGACCTACGGCGGGGATGGCCCTTCAAAACCCGTGTTTATTAAGTGACGTCAGGACTCCTGTCTCGTAACGAGGGACACCTCAGGAATCTCTTCGATACTTGGCAGGGCAAAAGGGACGCTTCTCGAGGTGAGGCAGGGCACCCAAGGACCCTTTCCAGTAGCCACAGTGATTCTGGGATTCCTATCAGTTTTCCAGAGGAGTCAGGCATCGTCACCTTTTGAAGCAATGAACTCTGCGTGCCTCTCGAGGTGTCAACGGGACGTGAGGCATTCCGTCAAAATGAGGCAGGGACCTAGGGATTTCTCTAACGTCTCCACAGGGGATTCAGACATCCCTTCATGTTGTGAGATGAAAGACGAGCCTGTATTCCAGCCACTGCAAGGAAATCCGGCCTCCTTTCAAGTTAGGGCTTTTCGCTGTATATTCCACTTGAGGCAGCGATCTCGGGGTCCGTCCCACATACCTATTGCTGAGAGAAGCCTCCTCCTGAGGTGCTTCTGGAAAGTTGGCATACGTCTTGAGCCTAAGCCAGGGAATCAGCTCTCATCTCGAGACGATTTGGGTTACACGGAACATTTCCTGAGTTGCTGTGCTGAAGTTGGTGTTCCTCTAGACTTGGGACATTGTTCTCGGGGCATCTCTGGAGTTGCCTGAAGGAAGTCGAGCCACCGGTCGTGTTGAATGGAGAACGGGGAATGGATCTGGAGTCAATGCAGGGGATCGGGCCTCATCTCGAGTTGATTTGGGGTACATGGAACTGCTTTGTGTTGCTGGGGTGACCTCAGTTTCCGTCTAGACTGGTGACAGTGTCCTTGGTGACTGTCTGGAGATCCATTAAGCAAGTTGAAGCTCCTGACTTGTTTGAAAGGGATCACGGAATAGCTCTGCATGCACTGCAGGGGAATGGGGCCTCATCTTGCCTCTAGGGGGAAGTCTCATGGTTTTTCTCGAGTTGCGGCGGGGACCTGGGATATGTTCTCAACTTACGGCGGGATGGCCCTTCAAAACATGAGTTTCTTCAGTGACGTCAGGACTCTTGTCTAGTAACGAGGGACACCTCAGGAATCTCTTCGAGGCTTGGCAGGGCAAAAGCGACGTTTCTCGAGGTGAGGCAGGGCACCCAAGGACCCTTTCCAGTAGCCACAGGGGTTTTGGGATTCCTATCAGTATTCAAGAGGAGTCAGGCATCGTCACCATTTGAAGCAATGAACTCCGCGTGCCTCTCGAGGTGTCAACGGGATGTGAGGAATTCCGTCAAAATGAGGCAGGGACCTTAGGTTTTCTCTAAGGTCTCCACAGGGGATTAAGACATCCCTTCATGTTTTGAGATCAAAGACGAGCCTGTATTCAAGCCACTGCAAGGAAATCTGGCCTCTTTTCAAGTTAGGGCTTCTCGCTGTATATTCCACTTGAGGCAGCAAACTCGGGGTCCCTTCCACTTACCTATTGCTGAGAGTAGTCTCCTCTTGAGGTGCTTCTGGAAAGTTGGCATACGTCTTGAGCCTAAGCCAGGGAATCAGCTCTCATCTCGAGACGATTTGGGGTACACGGAGCATTGCTCGAGTTGCTGTGCTGAAGTTGGTTTCCTCTAGACTTGGGACAGTGTTCTCGGGGCATCTCTGGAGTTGCCTGAAGGAAGTCGAGCCACTGGTCGTGTTGAATGGGAAAAGGGGAATGGCTCTGGAGTCAATGCAGGGGAATCGGGCCTCATCTCGAGTTGATTTGGGGCACATGGAGCTGCTTTGCGTTGCTGGGGTGACCTCAGGGTCCGTCTAGACTGGTGACAGTGTTTTTGGGGACTGTCTCGAGATCCTTTAAGCAAGTCGAAGCTCCTGACTTGTTTGAATGGGATCACGGAATAGCTCTGCATGCACTGCAGGGGAATGGGGCCTCATCTCGCCTCTAGGGGGAAGTCTCATGGTTTTTCTCGAGTTGCGGCAGGGACCTGGGGTATGTTCTCGACCTACGGCGGGGATGGCCCTTCAAAACCCGTGTTTATTAATGACGTCAGGACTCCTGTCTAGTAACGAGGGACGCATCAGGAATCACTTCGATACTTGCCAGGGCAAAAGGGAGGCTTCTCGAGGTGAGGCAGGGCACCCAAGGACTCTTTCCATTAGCCACAGTGATTTTGGGATTCCTATCAGTTTTCCAGAGGAGTCAGGCATCGTCACCTTTTGAAGCAATGAACTCCGCGTGCCTCTCGAGGTGTCAACGGGACGTGAGGCATTCCGTCAAAATGAGGCAGGGACCTAGGGCTTTCTCTAAGGTCTCCACAGGGGATTCAGACATCCCTTCATGTTGTGAGATGAAAGACGAGCCTGTATTCCAGCCACTGCATGGAAATCCGGCCTCCTTTCAAGTTAGGGCTTTTCGCTGTATATTCCACTTGAGGCAGCGATCTCGGGGTCCCTCCCACATACCTATTGCTGAGAGAAGCCTCCTCCTGAGGTGCTTCTGGAAAGTTGGCATACGTCTTGAGCCTAAGCCAGGGAATCAGCTCTCACATCGAGACGATTTGGGGTACACGGAGCATTCCTCGAGTTGCTGTGCTGAAGTTGGTGTTCCTCTAGACTTGGGACAGTGTTCTCGGGGCATCTCTGGAGTTGCCTGAAGGAAGTTGAGCCACCAGTCGTGTTGAATGTGGAAAGGGAATGGCTCTGGAGTCAATGCAGGGGAATCGGGCCTCATCTCGTGTTGATTTGGGGCACATGGAGCTGCTTTGCGTTGCTGGGGTGACCTCAAGTACCGTCTAGACTGGTGACAGTGTTCTTGGGGACTGTCTCGAGATCCATTAAGCAAGTCGAAGCTCCTGACTTGTTTGAATGGGATCACGGAATAACTCTGCATGCACTGAGGGGAATGGGGCCTCATCTCGCCTCTATGGCGAAGTATCGTGGTTTTTCTCCTGTTGCGGCGGGGACCTGGGGTATGTTCTCAACTTAGGGCGGGGATGGCCTTCAAAACACGAGTTTCTTCAGTGACGTCAGGACTCCTGTCTAGTAACGAGGGACACCTCAGGAATTTCTTCGAGGATTGGCAGGGCAAAAGGGACGCTTCTCGAGGTGAGGCAGGGCACCCAAGAACCCTTTCCAGTAGCCACAGGGATTTTGGGATTCCTATCAGTATACAAGAGGAGTCAGGCATCGTCACCTCTTGAAGCAATGAACTCCGCGTGCCTCTCGAGGTGTCAACGGGATGTGAGGCATTCCGTGAAAATGAGGCAGGGACCTAGGGCTTTCTCTAAGGTCTCCACAGGGGATTCAGACATCCCTTCATGTTTTGAGATCAAAGATGAGCCTGTATTCAAGCCACTGCAAGGAAATCCGGCCTCCCTTCATGTTAGGGCTTCTCGCTGTATATTCCACTTGAGGCAGCGATCTCGGGGTCCCTCCCACATACTTATTGCTGAGAGAAGCCTCCTCCTGAGGTGCTTCTGGAAAGTTGGGATACGTCTTGAGCGTAAGCCATGGAATCAACTCTCATCTCGAGATGATTTGGGTTACACGGAACATTCCCCGAGTTGCTGTGCTGAAGTTGGTGTACCTCTAGACTTGGGACAGTGTTCTCGGGGCATCTCTGGAGTTGCCTGAATGAAGTCGAGCCACGGGTCGTGTTGAATGGGGAACGGGGAATGGCTCTGGAATCAATGCAGGGGAATCGGGCCTCATCTCGAGTTGATTTGCGGCAAATGGAGCTGCTTTGCGTTGCTGGGGTGACCTCAGGGTCCGTCTAGGCTGGTGACAGTGTTCTTGGGGACTGTCTCGAGACCCATTAAGGAAGTCGAAGCTCCTGACTTCTTTGAATGGGATCACGGAATAGCTCTGCATGCACTGCAGGGGAATGGGGCCTCATCTCGCCTCTAGGGGGAAGTCTCATATTTTTTCTCGAGTTGCGGCGGGGACCTGGGGTATGTTCTCGACTTACGGCGGGGATGGCTCTTCAAAACACGAGTTTCTTCAGTGACGTCAGGACTCCTGTCTAGTAACGAGGGACACCTCAGGAATCTCTTCGAGGCTTGGCAGGGCAAAAGGGACGCTTCTCGAGGTGAGGCAGGGCACCCAAGGACCCTTTCCAGTAGCCACAGAGATTTTGGGATTCCTATCAGTATTCAAGAGGAGTCAGGCATCGTCACCTGTTGAAGCAATGAACTCCGCGTGCCTCTCGAGGTGTCAACGGGATGTGAGGCATTCCATCAAAATGAGGCAGGGACCTAGGGCTTTCCCTACGGTCTCCACAGGGGATTCAGACATCCCTTCATGTTGTGAGATGAAAGATGAGCCTGTATTCAAGCCACTGCAAGGAAATCCGGCCTGCTTTCTAGTTAGGGCTTCTCGCTGTATATTCCACTTGAGGCAGCAAACTCGGGGCCCCTCCCACATACCTATTGCTGAGAGAAGCCTCCTCTTGAGGTGCTTCTGGAAAGTTTGCATACGTCTTGAGCCTAAGCCACGGAATGAGCTCTTATCTCGAGACGATTTGGGGTACACGGAACATTCCTCGAGTTGCTGTGCTGAAGTTGGTGTTCCTCTACACTTGAGACAGTGTTCTCAGGGCACCTCTGGAGTTGCCTGAAGGAAGTCGAGCCACCGGTCGTGTTGAATGGGTAACGGGGAATGGCTCTGGATTCAATGCAGGAGAATCAGGCCTCATCTCGAGTTGATTTGGGGCACATGGATCTGCTGTGCGTTGCTGGGGTGACCTCAGGTTCCGTCTAGACTGGTGACAGTGTTCTTGGGGACTGTTTCGAGATCCATTAAGCAAGTCGAAGATCCTGACTTGTTTCAATAGGATCACGGAATAGCTCTGCATGCACGGCAAGGGAAGGGGCTTCATCACGCCTCTAGGGGGAAGTCTCATGTTTTTTCTCGAGTTGCGGCGGGGACCTGGGGTATGTTCTCGACTTACGGCGGGGATGGCCCTTCAAAACACGAGTTTCTTCAGTGACGTCAGGACTCCTGTCTAGTAACGAGGGACACCTCAGGAATCTCTTCGAGGCTTGGCAGGGCAAAAGGGACGCTTCTCGAGGTGAGGCAGGGCACGCAAGGACCCTTTCCAGTAGCCACAGGGATTTTGGGATTCCTATCAGTATTCAAGAGGAGTCAGGCATCGTCACCTTTTGAAGCAATGAACTCCGCGTGCCTCTCGAGGAGTCAACGGGATGTGAGGCATTCCGTCAAAATGAGGCAGGGACCTAGGGCTTTCTCTAAGGTTTCCACAGGGGATTCAGACATCCCTTCATGTTGTGAGGTGAAAGACGAGCCTGTATTCAAGCCACTGCAAGGAAATCCGGCCTCCTTTCAAGTTAGGGCTTCTCGCTGTATATTCCACTTGAGGCAGCAAACTCGGGGTCCCTCCCAAATACCTATTGCTGAGAGAAGCCTCCTCTTGAGGTGCTTCTGGAAAGTTGGCATACGTCTTGAGCCTAAGCCAGGGAATGAGCTCTCATCTCGAGACGATTTGGGGTACACGCAGCATTCCTCAAGTTGCTGTGCTGAAGTTGGTGTTCCTCTAGACTTGAGACAGTGTTCTCAGGGCATCTCTGGAGTTCCCTGAAGGAAGTCGAGCCACCGGTCGTGTTGAATGTGTAACGGGGAATGGCTCTGGAGTCAATGCAGGAGAATCAGGCCTCATCTCGAGTTGATTTGGGGCACATGGATCTGCTTTGCGTTGCTGTGGTGACCTCAAGTTTCGTCTAGACTGGTGACAGTGTTCTTGAGGACTGTTTCGAGATCCATTAAGCAAGTCGAAGCTCCTGACTTGTTTGAATGGGATCACGGAATAGCTCTGCATGCACTGCAATGGAATGGGGCCACATCACGCCTCTAGGGGGACGTCTCATGGTTTCTCTCGAGTTGCGGTGGGGACCTGGGGTATGTTCTCGACTTACGGCGGGGATGGCCCTTCAAAACACGAGTTTCTTCAGTGACGTCAGGACTCCTGTCTAGTAACGAGGGACACCTCAGGAATCTCTTCGAGGCTTGGCAGGGCAAAAGGGACGCTTCTCGAGGTGAGGCAGTGCACTCAAGGACCCTTTCCAGTAGCCACAGGGATTTTGGGATTCCTATCAGTATTCAAGAGGAGTCAGGCATCGTCACCTTTTGAAGCAATGAACTCCGCGTGCCTCTCGAGGTGTCAACGGGATGTGAGGCATTCCGTCAAAATGAGGCAGGGAACTAAGGCTTTCTCTAAGGTCTCCACTGGGGATTCAGACATCCCTTCATGTTGTGAGATGAAAGATGAGCCTGTATTCAAGCCACTGCAAGGAAATCCGGCCTCCTTTCAAGTTAGGGCTTCTCGCTGTATATTCCACTTGAGGCAGCAAACTCTGGGTCCCTCCCACATACCTTTTGCTGAGAGAAGCCTCCTCTTGAGGTGCTTCTGAAAACTTGGCATACGTCTTGAGCCTAAGGAAGGGAATGAGCTCTTATCTCGAGACGATTTGGGGTACACGGAGCATTCCTCGAGTTGCTGTGCTGAAGTTGGTGTTCCTCTAGACTTGAGACAGTGTTCTCAGGGCATCTCTGGAGTTGCCTGAAGGAAATCGAGCCACCGGTCGTGTTGAATGTGTAACGTGGAATGGCTCTGGAGTCAATGCAGGAGAATCAGGCCTCATCTCGAGTTGATTTGGGGCACATGGATCTGCTTTGCGTTGCTGGGGTGACCTCAGGTTCCATCTAGACTGGTGACAGTGTTCTTCGGGACTGTTTCGAGATCCATTAAGCAAGTCGAAGCTCCTGACTTGTTTGAATGGGATCACGGAATAGCTCTGCATGCACTGCAAGGGAATGGGGCCGCATCACGCCTCTAGGGGGAAGTCTCATGGTTTTTCTCGAGTTGCGGCGGGGACCTGGGGTATGTTCTCGACTTACGGCGGGGATAGCCCTTCAAAACACGAGTTTCTTCAGTGACGTCAGGACTCCTGTCTATTAACGAGGGACACCTCAGGAATCTCTTCGAGGCTTGGCAGGGCAAAAAGGACGCTTCTCGAGGTGAGGCAGTGCACTCAAGGACCCTTTCCAGTAGCCACAGGGATTTTGGGATTCCTATCAGTATTCAAGAGGAGTCAGGCATCGTCACCTTTTGAAGCAATGAACTCCTCGTGCCTCTCGAGGTGTCAACGAGATGTGACGCATTCTGTCAAAATGAGGCAGGGACTTAGGGCTTTCTCTAAGGTATCCACAGGGGTTTCAGACATCCCTTCATGTTGTGAGATGAAAGACGAGCCTGTAGTCAAGCCACTGCAAGGAAATCCGGCCTCCTTTCAAGTTAGGGCTTCTCGCTGTATATTGCACTTGAGGCAGCGATCTCGGGGTCCCTCCCACATACCTATTGCTGAGAGAAGCCTCCTCCTGAGGTGCTTCTGGAAAGTTGGCTTACGTCTTGAGCCTAAGCCAGGGAATCAGCTCTCATCTCGAGACGATTTGGGGTACACGCAGCATTCCTCGAGTTGCTGTGCTGAAGTTGGTGTTCCTCTAGACTTGGGACAGTGTTCTCAGGGCATCTCTGGAGTTCCCTGAAGGAAGTCGAGCCACCGGTCGTGTTGAATGTGTAACGGGGAATGGCTCTGGAGTCAATGCAGGAGAATCAGGCCTCATCTCGAGTTGATTTGGGGCACATGGATCTGCTTTGCGTTGCTGGGGTGACCTCAAGTTCCGTCTAGACTGGTGACAGTGTTCTTGAGGACTGTTTCGAGATCCATTAAGCAAGTCGAAGCTCCTGACTTGTTTGAATGGGATCACGGAATAGCTCTGCATGCACTGCAAGGGAATGGGGCCTCATCACGCCTCTAGGGGGAAATCTCATGATTTTTCTCGAGTTGCGGCGGGGACCTGGGGTATGTTCTCGACTTACGGCGGGGATGGCCCTTCAAAACACGAGTTTCTTCAGTGACGTCAGGACTCCTGTCTAGTAACGACGGACACCTCAGGAATCTCTTCGAGGCTGGGCAGGGCAAAAGGGATGCTTCTCGAAGTGAGCCAGGGCACCCAAGTACCCTTTCCAGTAGACACACGGATTTTGGGATTCCTATCAGTATTCAAGAGGAGTCAGGCATCGTCACCTTTTGAAGCAATGAACTCTGCGTGCCTCTCGAGGTGTCAGCGGGATGTGAGGCATTCCGTCAAAATGAGGCAGGGACCTAGGGCTTTCTCTAAGGTCTCCAAAGCGGTTTCAGACATCCCTTCATGTTGTGAGATGAAAGACGAGCCTGTAGTCAAGCCACTTCAAGGAAATCCGGCCTCCTTTCAAGTTAGGGCTTCTCGCTGTATATTCCACTTGAGGCAGCGATCTCGGGGTCCCTCCCACATACCTATTGCTGAGAGAAGCCTCCTCCTGAGGTGCTTCTGGAAAGTTGGCATACGTCTTGAGCCTATGCCAGGGAATCAGCTCTCATCTCGAGACGATTTGGGGTACACGGAACATTCCTCGAGTTGCTGTGCTGAAGTTGGTGTTCCTCTAGACTTGGGACAGTGTTCTCGGGGCATCTCTGGAGTTGCCTGAATGAAGTCCAGCCACGGGTCGTGTTGAATTGGGAACGGGGAATGGCTCTGCAGTCAATGCAGGGGAATCGGGCCTCATCTCGAGTTGATTTGAGGCATATGGAGCTGCTTTGCGTTGCTGGGGTGACCTCAGTGTCCGTCTAGGCTGCTGACAGTGGTCTTGGGACTGTCTCGAGACCCATTAAGAAAGTTGAAGCTCCTGACTTGTTTGAATGGGATCACGGAATAGCTCTGCATGCACTGCAGGGGAATGGGGCGTCATCTCCCCTCTAGGGGGAAGTCTCATGGTTTTTTTCGAGTTGCGTTGGGGACCTGGGGTATGTTCTCGACTTACGGCGGGGATGGCCCTTCAAAACACGAGTTTCTTCAGTGACGTGAGGACTCCTGTCTAGTAACGAGGGACACCTCAGGAATCTCTTCGAGGCTTGGCAGGGCAAAAGGGACGCTTCTCGAGGTGAGGCAGGGCACCCAAGGACCCTTTCCAGTAGCCACAGGGATTTTGGGATTCCTATCAGTATTCAAGAGGAGTCAGGCATCGTCACCTTTTGAAGCAATGAACTCCGCGTGACTCTCAAGGTGTCAACGGGATGTGAGGCATTCCGTCAAAATGAGGCAGGGAACTAAGTCTTTCTCTAAGGTCTCCACTGGGGATTCAGACATCCCTTCATGTTGTGAGATGAAAGATGAGCCTGTATTCAAGCCACTGCAAGGAAATCCGGCCTCCTTTCAAGTTAGGGCTTCTCGCTGTATATTCCACTTGAGGCAGCAAACTCGGGGTCCCTCCCACATACCTTTTGCTGAGAGAAGCCTCCTCTTGAGGTGCTTCTGGAAAGTTGGCATAAGTCTTGAGCCTAAGCCAGGGAATGAGCTCTTATCTCGAGACGATTTGGGGTACACGGAGCATTCCTCGAGTTGCTGTGCTGAAGTTGGTGTTCCTCTAGACTTGAGACAGTGTTCTCAGGGCATCTCTGGAGTTGCCTGAAGGAAGTCGAGCCACCGGTCGTGTTGAATGGGTAACGTGGAATGGCTCTGGAGTCAATGCAGGAGAATCAGGCCTCATCTCGAGTTGATTTGGGGCACATGGATCTGCTTTGCGTTGCTGGGGTGACCTCAGGTTCCATCTAGACTGGTGACAGTGTTCTTGGGGACTGTTTCGAGATCCATTAAGCAAGTCGAAGCTCCTGACTTGTTTGAATGGGATCACGGAATAGCTCTGCATGCACTGCAATGGAATGGGGCCGCATCACGCCTCTAGGGGGAAGTCTCATGGTTTTTCTCGAGTTGCGGCGGGGACCTGGGGTATGTTCTCGACTTACGGCGGGGATAGCCCATCAAAACACGAGTTTCTTCAGTGACGTCAGGACTCCTGTCTATTAACGAGGGACACCTCAGGAATCTCTTCGAGGCTTGGCAGGGCAAAAGGGACGCTTCTCGAGGTGAGGCAGTGCACTCAAGGACCCTTTCCAGTAGCCACAGGGATTTTGGGATTCCTATCAGTATTCAAGAGGAGTCAGGCATCGTCACCTTTTGAAGCAATGAACTCCGCGTGCCTCTCGAGGTGTCAACGAGATGTGAGGCATTCTGTCAAAATGAGGCAGGGACTTAGGGCTTTCTCTAAGGTCTCCACAGGGGTTTTAGACATCCCTTCATGTTGTGAGATGAAAGACGAGCCTGTAGTCAAGCCACTGCAAGGAAATCCGGCCTCCTTTCAAGTTAGGGCTTCTCGCTGTATATTGCACTTGAGGCAGCGATCTCGGGGTCCCTCCCACATACCTATTGCTGAGAGAAGCCTCCTCCTGAGGTGCTTCTGGAAAGTTGGCATATGTCTTGAGCCTAAGCCAGGGAATCAGCTCTCATCTCGAGACGATTTGGGGTACACGCAGCATTCCTCGAGTTGCTGTGCTGAAGTTGGTGTTCCTCTAGACTTGGGACAGTGTTCTCGGGGCATCTCTGGAGTTACCTGAATGAAGTCGAGCCACCGGTCGTGTTGAATGGGGAACGGGGAATGGCTCTGCACTCAATGCAGGGGAATCGGGCCTCATCTCGAGTTGATTTGGGGCACATGGAGCTGCTTTGCATTGCTGGGGTGACCTCAGGGTCCGTCTAGGCTGGTGACAGTGTTCTTGGGGACTGTCTCGAGACCCATTAAGGAAGTCGAAGCTCCTGACTTGTTTGAATGGGATCACGAAATAGCTCTGCATGCACTGCAGGGGAATGGGGCCTCATCTCGCCTCTAGGGGGAAGTCTCATGGTTTTTCTCGAGTTGCGGCGGGGACCTGGGGGTATGTTCTCGACTTACGGCGGGGATGGCCCTTCAAAACACGAGTTTCTTCAGTGACGTCAGGACTCCTGTCTAGTAACGAGGGACACCTCAGGAATCTCTTCGAGGCTTGGCAGGGCAAAAGGGACGCTTCTCGAGGTGAGGCAGGGCACCCAAGGACCCTTTCCAGTAGCCACAGGGATTTTGGGATTCCTATCAGTATTCAAGAGGAGTCAGGCATCGTCACCTTTTGAAGCAATGAACTCCGTGTGCCTCTCGAGGTGTCAACGGGATGTGAGGCATTCCGTCAAAATGAGGCAGGGAACTAAGGCTTTCTCTAAGGTCTCCACAGGGGATTCAGACATCCCTTCATGTTGTGAGATGAAACATGAGCCTGTATTCAAGCCACTGCAAGGAAATCCGGCCTCCTTTCAAGTTAGGGCTTCTCGCTGTATATTCCACTTGAGGCAGCAAACTCGGGGTCCCTCCCACATACCTATTGCTGAGAGAAGCCTCCTCTTGAGGTGCTTCTGGAAAGTTGGCATACGTCTTGAGCCTAAGCCAGGGAATGAGCTCTTATCTCGAGACGATTTGGGGTACACGGAGCATTCCTCGAGTTGCTGTGCTGAAGTTGGTGTTCCTCTACACTTGGGACAGTGTTCTCAGGGCATCTCTGGAGTTGCCTGAAGGAAGTCGAGCCACCGGTCGTGTTGAATGGGTAACGGGGAATGGCTCTGGATTCAATGCAGGAGAATCAGGCCTCATCTCGAGTTGATTTGGGGCACATGGATCTGCTTTGCATTGCTGGGGTGACCTCAGGTTCCGTCTAGACTGCTGACAGCATTCTTGGGGACTGTTTCGAGATCCATTAAGCAAGTCGAAGATCCTGACTTGTTTGAATAGGATCACGGAATAGCTCTGCATGCACGGCAAGTGAAGGGGCTTCATCACGCCTCTAGAGGGAAGTCTCATGTTTTTTCTCGAGTTGCGGCGGGGACCTGGGGTATGTTCTCGACTTACGGCGGGGATGGCCCTTCAAAACACGAGTTTCTTCAGTGACGTCAGGACTCCTGTCTAGTAACGAGGGACACCTCAGGAATCTCTTCGAGGCTTGGCAGGGCAAAAGGGACGCTTCTCGAGGTGAGGCCGGGCACCCAAGGACCCTTTCCAGTAGCCACAGGGATTTTGGGATTCCTATCATTATTCAAGAAGAGTCAGGCATCGTCACATTTTGAAGCAATGAACTCCGCGTGCCTCTCGAGGAGTCAACGGGATGTGAGGCATTCCGTCAAAATGAGGCAGGGACCTAGGGCTTTCTCTAAGGTCTCCACAGGGGATTCAGACATCCCTTCATGATGTGAGATGAAAGACGAGCCTGTAGTCAAGCCACTGCAAGGAAATCCGGCCTCCTTTCAAGTTAGGGCTTCTCGCTGTATATTCCACTTGAGGCAGCAAACTCGGGGTCCCTCCCAAATAACTATTGCTGAGAGAAGCCTCCTCTTGAGGTGCTTCTGGAAAGTTGGCATACGTCTTGAGCCTAAGCCAGGGAATGAGCTCTCATCTCGAGACGATTTGGGGTACACGCAGCATTCCTCGAGTTGCTGTGCTGAAGTTGGTGTTCCTCTAGACTTGGGACAGTGTTCTCAGGGCATCTCTGGAGTTCCCTGAAGGAAGTCGAGCCACCGGTCGTGTTGAATGGGTAACGGGGAATGGCTCTGGAGTCAATGCAGGAGAATCAGGCCTCATCTCGAGTTGATTTGGGGCACATGGATCTGCTTAGCGTTGCTGGGGTGACCTCAAGTTCCGTCTAGACTGGTGACAGTGTTCTTGGGGACTGTTTCGAGATCCATTAAGCAAGTCGAAGCTCCTGACTTGTTTGAATGGGATCACGGAATAGCTCTGCATGCACTGCAGGGGAATGGGGCCTCATCACGCCTCTAGGGGGAAGTCTCATGATTTTTCTCGAGTTGCGGCGGGGACCTGGGGTATGTTCTCGACTTACGGCGGGGATGGCCCTTCAAAACACGAGTTTCTTCAGTGACGTCAGGACTCCTGTCTAGTAACAAGGGACACCTCAGGAATCTCTTCGAGGCTGGGCAGGGCAAAAGGGACGCTTCTCCAAGTGAGGCAGGGCACCCAAGGACCCTTTCCAGTAGACACACGGATTTTGGGATTCCTATCAGTATTCAAGAGGAGTCAGGCATCGTCACCTTTTTAAGCAATGAACTCTGCGTGCCTCTCGAGGTGTCAACGAGATGTGAGGCATTCCGTCAAAATGAGGCAGGGACCTAGGGCTTTCTCTAAGGACTCCAAAGGGGTTTCAGACATCCCTTCATGTTGTGAGATGAAAGACGAGCCTGTATTCAAGCCACTGCAAGGAAATCCGGCCTCCTTTCAAGTTAGGGCTTCTCGCTGTATATTCCACTTGAGGCAGCAATCTCGGGGTCCCTCCCACATACCTATTGCTGAGAGAAGCCTCCTCTTGAGGTGCTTCAGGAAAGTTGACATACGTCAACTGCCTAAGCCAGGAAATGAGCTCTTATCTCTAGACGATTTGGGGTACACGGAGCATTCCTCGAGTTGCTGTGCTGAAGTTGGTGTTCCTCTAGACTTGGGAAAGTGTTCTCAGGGCATATGTGGAGTTGCCTGAAGGAAGTTGAGCCACCGCTCGTGTTGAATGGGGAACGGGGAATGGCTCTGGAGTCAATGCAGCGGAATCAGGCCTCATCTCGTGTTCATTTGGGGCACATGGATCTGCTTTGCGTTGCTGGGGTGACCTCAGGGTCCATCTAGACTGGTGACAGTGTTCTTGGGGACTGTTTCGAGATCCATTAAGCAAGTCTAAGCTCCTGACTTGTTTGAATGGGATCACGGAATAGCTCTGCATGCACTGCAGGGGAATGGGGCCTCATCTCGCCTCTAGGGGGAAGTCTCATGGTTTTTCTCGAGTTGCGGCGGGGACCTGGGGTATGTTCTCGACTTACGGCGGGGATAGCCCTTCAAAACACGAGTTTCTTCAGTGACGTCAGGACTCCTGTCTAGTAACGAGGGACACCTCAGGAATCTCTTCGAGGCTTGGCAGGGCAAAAGGGACGCTTCTCGAGGTGAGGCAGGGCACCCAAGGACCCTTTCCAGTAGCCACAGGGATTTTGGGATTCCTATCAGTATTCAAGAGGAGTCAGGCATCGTCACCTTTTGAAGCAATGAACTCCGCGTGACTCTCAAGGTGTCAACGGGATGTGAGGCATTCCGTCAAAATGAGGCAGGGAACTAAGTCTTTCTCTAAGGTCTCCACTGGGGATTCAGACATCCCTTCATGTTGTGAGATGAAAGATGAGCCTGTATTCAAGCCACTGCAAGGAAATCCGGCCTCCTTTCAAGTTAGGGCTTCTCGCTGTATATTCCACTTGAGGCAGCAAACTCGGGGTCCCTCCCACATACCTTTTGCTGAGAGAAGCCTCCTCTTGAGGTGCTTCTGGAAAGTTGGCATAAGTCTTGAGCCTAAGCCAGGGAATGAGCTCTTATCTCGAGACGATTTGGGGTACACGGAGCATTCCTCGAGTTGCTGTGCTGAAGTTGGTGTTCCTCTAGACTTGAGACAGTGTTCTCAGGGCATCTCTGGAGTTGCCTGAAGGAAGTCGAGCCACCGGTCGTGTTGAATGGGTAACGTGGAATGGCTCTGGAGTCAATGCAGGAGAATCAGGCCTCATCTCGAGTTGATTTGGGGCACATGGATCTGCTTTGCGTTGCTGGGGTGACCTCAGGTTCCATCTAGACTGGTGACAGTGTTCTTGGGGACTGTTTCGAGATCCATTAAGCAAGTCGAAGCTCCTGACTTGTTTGAATGGGATCACGGAATAGCTCTGCATGCACTGCAATGGAATGGGGCCGCATCACGCCTCTAGGGGGAAGTCTCATGGTTTTTCTCGAGTTGCGGCGGGGACCTGGGGTATGTTCTCGACTTACGGCGGGGATAGCCCATCAAAACACGAGTTTCTTCAGTGACGTCAGGACTCCTGTCTATTAACGAGGGACACCTCAGGAATCTCTTCGAGGCTTGGCAGGGCAAAAGGGACGCTTCTCGAGGTGAGGCAGTGCACTCAAGGACCCTTTCCAGTAGCCACAGGGATTTTGGGATTCCTATCAGTATTCAAGAGGAGTCAGGCATCGTCACCTTTTGAAGCAATGAACTCCGCGTGACTCTCGAGGTGTCAACGAGATGTGAGGCATTCTGTCAAAATGAGGCAGGGACTTAAGGCTTTCTCTAAGGTCTCCACAGGGGTTTTAGACATCCCTTCATGTTGTGAGATGAAAGACGAGCCTGTAGTCAAGCCACTGCAAGGAAATCCGGCCTCCTTTCAAGTTAGGGCTTCTCGCTGTATATTGCACTTGAGGCAGCGATCTCGGGGTCCCTCCCACATACCTATTGCTGAGAGAAGCCTCCTCCTGAGGTGCTTCTGGAAAGTTGGCATATGTCTTGAGCCTAAGCCAGGGAATCAGCTCTCATCTCGAGACGATTTGGGGTACACGGAACATTCCTCGAGTTGCTGTGCTGAAGTTGGTGTTCCTCTAGACTTGGGACAGTGTTCTCGGGGCATCTCTGGAGTTACCTGAATGAAGTCGAGCCACCGGTCGTGTTGAATGGGGAACGGGGAATGGCTCTGCACTCAATGCAGGGGAATCGGGCCTCATCTCGAGTTGATTTGGGGCACATGGAGCTGCTTTGCATTGCTGGGGTGACCTCAGGGTCCGTCTAGGCTGGTGACAGTGTTCTTGGGGACTGTCTCGAGACCCATTAAGGAAGTCGAAGCTCCTGACTTGTTTGAATGGGATCACGGAATAGCTCTGCATGCACTGCAGGGGAATGGGGCCTCATCTCGCCTCTAGGGGGAAGTCTCATGGTTTTTCTCGAGTTGCGGCGGGGACCTGGGGGTATGTTCTCGACTTACGGCGGGGATGGCCCTTCAAAACACGAGTTTCTTCAGTGACGTCAGGACTCCTGTCTAGTAACGAGGGACACCTCAGGAATCTCTTCGAGGCTTGGCAGGGCAAAAGGGACGCTTCTCGAGGTGAGGCAGGGCACCCAAGGACCCTTTCCAGTAGCCACAGGGATTTTGGGATTCCTATCAGTATTCAAGAGGAGTCAGGCATCGTCACCTTTTGAAGCAATGAACTCCGCGTGCCTCTCGAGGTGTCAACGGGATGTGAGGCATTCCGTCAAAATGAGGCAGGGAACTAAGGCTTTCTCTAAGGTCTCCACAGGGGATTCAGACATCCCTTCATGTTGTGAGATGAAACATGAGCCTGTATTCAAGCCACTGCAAGGAAATCCGGCCTCCTTTCAAGTTAGGGCTTCTCGCTGTATATTCCACTTGAGGCAGCAAACTCGGGGTCCCTCCCACATACCTATTGCTGAGAGAAGCCTCCTCTTGAGGTGCTTCTGGAAAGTTGGCATAGGTCTTGAGCGTAAGCCAGGGAATGAGCTCTTATCTCGAGACGATTTGGGGTACACGGAGCATTCCTCGAGTTGCTGTGCTGAAGTTGGTGTTCCTCTACACTTGGGACAGTGTTCTCAGGGCATCTCTGGAGTTGCCTGAAGGAAGTCGAGCCACCGGTCGTGTTGAATGGGTAACGGGGAATGGCTCTGGATTCAATGCAGGAGAATCAGGCCTCATCTCGAGTTGATTTGGGGCACATGGATCTGCTTTGCGTTGCTGGGGTGACCTCAGGTTCCGTCTAGACTGCTGACAGCATTCTTGGGGACTGTTTCGAGATCCATTAAGCAAGTCGAAGATCCTGACTTGTTTGAATAGGATCACGGAATAGCTCTGCATGCACGGCAAGTGAAGGGGCTTCATCACGCCTCTAGAGGGAAGTCTCATGTTTTTTCTCGAGTTGCGGCGGGGACCTGGGGTATGTTCTCGACTTACGGCGGGGATGGCCCTTCAAAACACGAGTTTCTTCAGTGACGTCAGGACTCCTGTCTAGTAACGAGGGACACCTCAGGAATCTCTTCGAGGCTTGGCAGGGCAAAAGGGACGCTTCTCGAGGTGAGGCAGGGCACCCAAGGACCCTTTCCAGTAGCCACAGGGATTTTGGGATTCCTATCATTATTCAAGAAGAGTCAGGCATCGTCACATTTTGAAGCAATGAACTCCGCGTGCCTCTCGAGGAGTCAACGGGATGTGAGGCATTCCGTCAAAATGAGGCAGGGACCTAGGGCTTTCTCTAAGGTCTCCACAGGGGATTCAGACATCCCTTCATGATGTGAGATGAAAGACGAGCCTGTAGTCAAGCCACTGCAAGGAAATCCGGCCTCCTTTCAAGTTAGGGCTTCTCGCTGTATATTCCACTTGAGGCAGCAAACTCGGGGTCCCTCCCAAATAACTATTGCTGAGAGAAGCCTCCTCTTGAGGTGCTTCTGGAAAGTTGGCATACGTCTTGAGCCTAAGCCAGGGAATGAGCTCTCATCTCGAGACGATTTGGGGTACACGGAGCATTCCTCGAGTTGCTGTGCTGAAGTTGGTGTTCCTCTAGACTTGGGACAGTGTTCTCAGGGCATCTCTGGAGTTCCCTGAAGGAAGTCGAGCCACCGGTCGTGTTGAATGGGTAACGGGGAATGGCTCTGGAGTCAATGCAGGAGAATCAGGCCTCATCTCGAGTTGATTTGGGGCACATGGATCTGCTTAGCGTTGCTGGGGTGACCTCAAGTTCCGTCTAGACTGGTGACAGTGTTCTTGGGGACTGTTTCGAGATCCATTAAGCAAGTCGAAGCTCCTGACTTGTTTGAATGGGATCACGGAATAGCTCTGCATGCACGGCAAGTGAAGGGGCTTCATCACGCCTCTAGAGGGAAGTCTCATGTTTTTTCTCGAGTTGCGGCGGGGACCTGGGGTATGTTCTCGACTTACGGCGGGGATGGCCCTTCAAAACACGAGTTTCTTCAGTGACGTCAGGACTCCTGTCTAGTAACGAGGGACACCTCAGGAATCTCTTCGAGGCTGGGCAGGGCAAAAGGGACGCTTCTCCAAGTGAGGCAGGGCACCCAAGGACCCTTTCCAGTAGACACACGGATTTTGGGATTCCTGTCAGTATTCAAGAGGAGTCAGGCATCGTCACCTTTTTAAGCAATGAACTCTGCGTGCCTCTCGAGGTGTCAACGAGATGTGAGGCATTCCGTCAAAATGAGGGAGGGACCTAGGGCTTTCTCTAAGGTCTCCAAAGGGGTTTCAGACATCCCTTCATGTTGTGAGATGAAAGACGAGCCTGTATTCAAGCCACTGCAAGGAAATCCGGCCTCCTTTCAAGTTAGGGCTTCTCGCTGTATATTCCACTTGAGGCAGCAATCTCGGGGTCCCTCCCACATACCTATTGCTGAGAGAAGCCTCCTCTTGAGGTGCTTCAGGAAAGTTGGCATACGTCTTGAGCCTAAGACAGGGAATGAGCTCTTATCTCTAGACGATTTGGGGTACACGGAGCATTCCTCGAGTTGCTGTGCTGAAGTTGGTGTTCCTCTAGACTTGGGAAAGTGTTCTCAGGGCATATGTGGAGTTGCCTGAAGGAAGTTGAGCCACCGCTCGTGTTGAATGGGGAATGGGGAATGGCTCTGGAGTCAATGCAGCGGAATCAGGCCTCATCTCGTGTTCATTTGGGGCACATGGATATGCTTTGCGTTGCTGGGGTGACCTCAGGGTCCATCTAGACTGGTGACAGTGTTCTTGGGGACTGTTTCGAGATCCATTAAGCAAGTCTAAGCTCCTGACTTGTTTGAATGGGATCACGGAATAGCTCTGCATGCACTGCAGGGGAATGGGGCCTCATCTCGCCTCTAGGGGGAAGTCTCATGGTTTTTCTCGAGTTGCGGCGGGGACCTGGGGTATGTTCTCGACTTACGGCGGGGATAGCCCTTCAAAACACGAGTTTCTTCAGTGACGTCAGGACTCCTGTCTAGTAACGAGGGACACCTCAGGAATCTCTTCGAGGCTTGGCAGGGCAAAAGGGACGCTTCTCGAGGTGAGGCAGGGCACCCAAGGACTCTTTCCAGTAGCCACAGGGATTTTGGGATTCCTATCGGTATTCAAGAATAGTCAAGCATCGTCACATTTTGAAGCAATGAACTCCGCGTGCCTCTCGAGGAGTCAACGGGATGTGAGGAATTCCGTCAAAATGAGGCAGGGACCTAGGGCTTTCTCTAAGGTCTCCACAGGGGATTCAGACATCCCTTCATGTTTTGAGATGAAAGACGAGCCTGTAGTCAAGCCACTGCAAGGAAATCTGGCCTCCTTTCAAGTTAGGGCTTCTCGCTGTATATTCCACTTGAGGCAGCAAACTCGGGGTCCCTCCCACATACCTATTGCTGAGAGAAGCCTCCTCTTGAGGTGCTTCTGGAAAGTTAGCATACGTCTTGAGCCTAAGCCAGGGAATGAGCTCTTATCTCGAGACGATTTGGGGTACACGGAGCATTCCTCGAGTTGCTGTGCTGAAGTTGGTGTTCCTCTAGACTTGGGACAGTGTTCTCAGGGCATCTCTGGAGTTGCCTGAAGGAAGTTGAGCCACCGGTCGTGTTGAATGGGGAACGGGGAATGGCTCTGCAGTCAATGCAGGGGTATCGGGCCTCATCTCGAGTTCATTTGGGGCACATGGATCTGCTTTGCGTTGCTGGGGTGACCTCAGGGTCCATCTAGACTAGTGACAGTGTTCTTGGGGACTGTCTCGAGACCCATTAAGCAAGTCTAAGCTCCTGACTTGTTTGAATGGGATCACGGAATAGCTCTGCATGCACTGCAGGGGAATGGGGCCTCATCTCGCCTCTAGGGGGAAGTCTCATGGTTTTTCTCGAGTTGCGGCGGGGACCTGGGGTATGTTCTCGACTTACGGCGGGGATGGCCTTCAAAACACGAGTTTCTTCAGTGACGTCAGGACTCCTGTCTACTAACGAGGGACACCTCAGGAATCTCTTCGAGGCTAGGCAGGGCAAAAGGGACGCTTCTCGAGGTGAGGAAGGGCACCCAAGGACCCTTTCCTGTAGCCACAAGGATTTTGGGATTCCTATCAGTATTCAAGAGGAGTCAGGCATCGTCACCTTTTGAAGCAATGAACTCCGCGTGACTCTCGAGGTGTCAACGGGATGTGAGGCATTCCGTCAAAATGAGGCAGGGACCTAGGGCTTTCTCTAAGGTCTCCACAGGGGTTTCAGACATCCCTTCATGTTGTGAGATGAAAGACGAGCCTGTAGTCAAGCCACTGCAAGGAAATCCGGCCTCCTTTCAAGTTAGGGCTTTTCGCTGTATATTCCACTTGAGGCAGCGATCTCGGGGTCCCTCCCACATACCTATTGCTGAGAGAAGCCTCCTCCTGAGGTGCTTCTGGAAAGTTGGCATACGTCTTGAGCCTAATCCAGGATATCAGCTCTCATCTCGAGTCGATTTGGGGTACACGGAACATTCCTCGAGTTGCTCTGCTGAAGTTGGTGTTCCTCTAGACTTGGGAAAGTGTTCTCGGGGCATCTCTGGAGTTGCCTGAATGAAGTCGAACCACCAGTCGTGTTGAATGGGGAACGGCGAATGGCTCTGCAGTCAATGCAGGGGAATGGGGCCTCATCTCGAGTTGATTTGGGGCACATGGAGCTGCTTTGCGTTGCTGGGGTGACCTCAGGGTCCGTCTAGGCTGGTGACAGTGATCCTGGGGTCTGTCTCGAGACCCATTAAGGAAGTTGAAGCTCCTGACTTGTTTGAATGGGATCACGGAATAGCTCTGCATGCACTGCAGGGGAATGGGGCCTCATCACGCCTCTAGGGGGAAGTCTCATGGTTTTTCTCGAGTTGCGGCGGGGACCTGGGGTATGTTCTCGACTTACGGCGGGGATGGCCCTTCAAAACACGAGTTTCTTCAGTGACGTCAGGACTCCTGTCTAGTAACGAGGGACACCTCAGGAATCTCTTCGAGGCTTGGCAGGGCAAAAGGGACGCTTCTCGAGGTGAGGCAGGGCACCCAAGGACCCTTTCCAGTAGCCACAGGGATTTTGGGATTAATATCAGTATTCAAGAGGAGTCAGGCATCGTCACCTTTTGAAGCAATGAACTCCGCGTGCCTCTCGAGGTTTCAACGGGATGTGAGGCATTCCGTCAAAATGAGGCAGGAAACTAATGCTTTCTCTACGGTCTCCACAGGGGATTCAGACATCCCTTCATGTTGTGAGATGAAAGATGAGTGTGTATTCAAGCCACTGCAAGGAAATCCGGCCTCCTTTCAAGTTAGGGCTTCTCGCTGTATATTCCACTTGAGGCAGCAAACTCGGGGTCCCTCCCACATACCTATTGCTGAGAGAAGCCTCCTCTTGAGGTGCTTCTGGAAAGTAGGCATACGTCTTGAGCCTAAGCCAGGGAATGAGCTCTTATCTCGAGACTATTTGGGGTACACGGAGCATTCCTCGAGTTGCTGTGCTGAAGTTGGTGTTCCTCTAGACTTGAGACAGTGTTCTCAGGGCATCTCTGGAGTTGCCTGAAGGAAGTCGAGCCACCGGTCGTGTTGAATGGGGAACGGGGAATGGCTCTGGAGTCAATGCAGGAGAATCAGGCCTCATCTCGAGTTGATTTGGGGCATGTGGATCTGCTTTGCGTTGCTGGGGCGACCTCAGGGTCCGTCTTGACTGGTGACAGTGTTCTTGGGGACTGTTTCGAGATCCATTAAGCAAGTCGAAGCTCCTGACTTGTTTGAATGGGATCACGGAATAGCTCTGCATGCACTGCAAGGGAATGGGGCCTCATCACGCCTCTAGGGGGAAGTCTCATGATTTTTCTCGAGTTGCGGCGGGGACCTGGGGTATGTTCTCGACTTACAGCGGGGATGGCCCTTCAAAACACGAGTTTCTTCAGTGACGTCAGGACTCCTGTCTATTAACGAGGGACACCTCAGGAATCTCTTCGAGGATGGGCAGGGCAAAAGGGACGCTTCTCGAAGTGAGGCAGGGCACCCAAGGACCCTTTCCAGTAGCCACAGGGATTTTGGGACTCCTATTAGTATTCAAGAGGAGTCAGGCATCGTCACCTTTTTAAGCAATGAACTCTGCGTGCCTCTCGAGGTGTCAACGAGATGTGAGGCATTCCGTCAAAATGAGGCAGGGACCTAGGGCTTTCTCTAAGGTCTCCAAAGGGGTTTCAGACATCCCTTCATGTTGTGAGATGAAAGACGAACCTGTAGTCAAGCCACTGCAAGGAAATCCGTCCTCCTTTCAAGTTAGGGCTTCTCGCTGTATATTCCACTTGAGGCAGCGATCTCGGGGTCCCTCCCACATACCTATTGCTGAGAGAAGCCTCCTCCTGAGGTGCTTCTGGAAAGTTGGCATACGTCTTGAGCCTAAGCCAGGGAATCAGCTCTCATCTCGAGACGATTTGGGGTACACGGAACATTCCTCGAGTTGCTGTGCTGAAGTTGGTGTTCCTCTAGACTTGGGTCAGTGTTCTTGGGGCATCTCTGGAGTTGCCTGAATGAAGTCGAGCCACGGGTCGTGTTGAATGGGGAACGGGGAATGGCTCTGCAGTCAATGCAGGGGAATCGGGCCTCATCTCGAGTTGATTTGGGGCATATGGAGCTGCTTTGCTTTGCTGGGGTGACCTCAGTGTCCGTCTAGGCTGCTGACAGTGGTCTTGGGACTGTCTCGAGACCCATTAAGGAAGTTGAAGCTCCTGACTTGTTTGAATGGGATCACGGAATAGCTCTGCATGCACTGCAGGGGAATGGATCCTCATCTCGCCTCTAGGGGGAAGTCTCATGATTTTTCTCGAGTTGCGGCGGGGACCTGGGGTATGTTCTCGACTTACGGCGGGGATGGCCCTTCAAAACACGAGTTTCTTCAGTGACGTCAGGACTCCTGTCTAGTAACGAGGGACACCTCAGGAATCTCTTCGAGGCTGGGCAGGGCAAAAGGGACGCTTCTCGAAGTGAGGCAGGGCACCCAAGGACCCTTTCCAGTAGACACACGGATTTTGGGATTCCTATCAGTATTCAAGAGGAGTCAGGCATCGTCACCTTTTTAAGCAATGAACTCCGCGTGACTCTCGAGGTGTCAACGAGATGTGAGGCATTCCGTCAAAATGAGCCAGGGACCTAGGGCTTTCTCTAAGGTCTCCAAAGGGGTTTCAGACATCCCTTCATGTTGTGAGATGAAAGACGAGCCTGTAGTCAAGCCACTGCAAGGAAATCCGGCCTCCTTTCAAGTTAGGGCTTCTCGCTGTATATTCCACTGGAGGCAGCGATCTCGGGGTCCCTCCCACATACCTATTGCTGAGAGAAGCCTCCTCCTGAGGTGCTTCTGGAACGTGGCATACGTCTTGAGCCTAAGCCAGGGACTGAGCTCTCATCTCGAGACGATTTGGGGTACACGGAGCATTCCTCGAATTGCTGTGCTGAAGTTGGTGTTCCTCTAGACTTGGGACAGTGTTCTCGGGGCATCTGTGGAGTTTCCTGAAGGAAGTCGAGCCACCGGTCGTGTTGAATGGGGAACGGGGAATGGCTCTGGAGTCAATGCAGGGGAATTGGGCCTCATCTCGAGTTCATTTGGGGCACCTGGATCTGCTTTGCGTTGCTGGGGTGACCTCAGGGTCCGTCTAGACTGGTGACAGTGTTCTTGGGGACTGTCTCGAGACCCATTAAGCAAGTCGAAGCTCCTGACTTGTTTGAATGGGATCACGGAATGGCTCTGCATACACTGCAGGGGAATGGGGCCTCATCTCGCCTCTAGGGGGAAGTCTCATGGTTTTTCTCGAGTTGCGGTGGGGACCTGGGGTATGTTCTCGACTCATGGCGGGGATAACCCTTCAAAACACGAGTTTCTTCAGTGACGTCAGGACTCCTGTCTATTAACGAGGGACACCTCAGGAATCTCTTCGAGGCTTGGCAGGGCAAAAGGGACGCTTCTCGAGGTGAGGCAGGGCACCGAAGGACCCTTTCCAGTAGCCACAGGGATTTTGGGATTCCTATCAGTATTCAAGAAGCGTCAGGCATCGTCACATTTTGAAGCAATGAACTCCGCGTGCCTCTCGAGGAGTCAACGGGATGTGAGGCATTCCGTCAAAATGAGGCAGGGACCTAGGGCTTTCTCTAAGGTCTCCAAAGGGGTTTCAGACATCCCTTCATGTTGTGAGATGAAAGACGAGCCTGTAGTCAAGCCACTGCAAGGAAATCCGACCTCCTTTCAAGTTAGGGCTTCTCGCTGTATATTCCACTTGAGGCAGCGATCTCGGGGTCCCTCCCACATACCTATTGCTGAGAGAAGCCTCCTCCTGAGGTGCTTCTGGAACGTTGGCATACGTCTTGAGCCTAAGCCAGGGAATCAGCTCTCATCTCGAGACGATTTGGGGTACACGGAGCATTTCTCTAGTTGCTGTGCTGAAGTTGGTGTTCCTCTAGACTTGGGACAGAGTTCTCGGGGCATCTCTGGAGTTGCCTGAAAGAAGTGGAGCCACGGGTCGTGTTGAATGGGGAACGGGGAATGGCTCTGCAGTCAATGCAGGGGAATCGGGCCTCATCTCGAGTTGACGTGGGGCACATGGAGCTGCTTTGCGTTGCTGGGGTGACCTCAGGGTCCGTCTAGGCTAGTGACAGAGTTCTTGCGGACTGTCTCGAGACCCATTAAGCAAGTCGAAGCTCCTGACTTGTTTGAATGGGATCACGGAATATCTCTGCATGCACTGCAGGGGAATGAGGCCTCAACTCGCCTCTAGGGGGAAGTCTCATGGTTTTTCTCGAGTTGCGGCGGGGACCTGGGGTATGTTCTCGACTTACGGCGGGGATGGCCCTTCAAAACACGAGTTTCTTCAGTGACGTCAGGACTCCTGTCTATTAACGAGGGACACCTCAGGAATCTCTTCGAGGCTTGGCAGGGCAAAAGGGACGCTTCTCGAGGTCAGGCAGTGCACCCAAGGACCCTTTCCAGTAGCCACAGGGATTTTGGGATTCCTATCAGTATTCAAGAGGAGTCAGGCATCGTCACCTTTTGAAGCAATGAACTCCGCGTGCCTCTCGAGGTGTCAACGGGATGTGAGGCATTCTGTCAAAATGAGGCAGGGACCTAGGGCTTTCTCTATGGTCTCCACAGGGGTTTCAGACATCCCTTCATGTTTTGAGATCAAAGACGAGCCTGTATTCAAGCCACTGCAAGGAAATCGGGCCTCTTTTCAAGTTAGGGCTTCTCGCTGTATATTCCCCTTGAGGCAGCAAACCCTGGGGCTCTTCCACATACCTATTGCTGAGAGAAGCCTCCTCTAGAGGTGCTTCTGGAAAGTTGGCTTATGTCCTGAGCCTAAGCCAGGGAATGAGCTCTCATCTCGAGACGATTTGGGGTACACGCAGCATTCCTCGAGTTGCTGTGCTGAAGTTGGTGTTCCTCTAGACTTGGGACAGTGTTCTCAGGGCATCTCTGGAGTTCCCTGAAGGAAGTCGAGCCACCGGTCGTGTTGAATGTGTAACGGGGAATGGCTCTGGAGTCAATGCAGGAGAATCAGGCCTCATCTCGAGTTGATTTGGGGCACATGGATCTGCTTTACATTGCTGGGGTGACCTCAAGTTTCGTCTAGACTGTTGACAGTGTTCTTGGGGACTGTTTCGAGATCCATTAAGGAAGTCGAAGCTCCTGACTTGTTTGAATGGGATCACGGAATAGCTCTGCATGCACTGCAAGGGAATGGGGACGCATCACGCCTCTAGGGGGAAGTCTCATGGTTTTTCTCGAGTTGCGGCGGGGACCTGGGGTATGTTCTCGACTTACGGCGGGGATAGCCCTTCAAAACACGAGTTTCTTCAGTGACGTCAGGACTCCTGTCTATTAACGAGGGACACCTCAGGAATCTCTTCGAGGCTTGGCAGGCCAAAAGGGACGCTTCTCGAGGTGAGGCAGTGCACTCAAGGACCCTTTCCAGTAGCCACAGGGATTTTGGGATTCCTATCAGTATTCAAGAGGAGTCAGGCATCGTCACCTTTTGAAGCAAGGAACTCCGAGTGCCTCTCGAGGTGTCAACGAGATGTAAGGCATTCTGTCAAAATGAGGCAGGGACTTAGGGCTTTCTCTAAGGTCTCCACAGGGGTTTCAGACATCCCTTCATGTTGTGAGATGAAAGACGAGCCTGTAGTCAAGCCACTGCAAGGAAATCCGGCCTCCTTTCAAGTTAGGGCTTCTCGCTGTATATTGCACTTGAGGCAGCGATCTCGGGGTCCCTCCCACATACCTATTGCTGAGAGAAGCCTCCTCCTGAGGTGAGGTGCTTCCGGAACGTTGGCATACGTCTTGAGAATAAGCCAGGGAATCAGCTCTCATCTCGAGACGATTTGGGGTACACGGAACATTCCTCGAGTTGCTGTGCTGAAGTTGGTGTTCCTCTAGACTTGGGACAGTGTTCTCGGGGCATCTCTGGAGTTGCCTGAATGAAGTCGAGCCACCGGTTGTGTTGAATGGGGAACGGGGAATGGCTCTGCACTCAATGCAGGGGAATCGGGCCTCATCTCGAGTTGATTTGGGGCACATGGAGCTGCTTTGCATTGCTGGGGTGACCTCAGGGTCCGTCTAGGCTGGTGACAGTGTTCTTGGGGACTGTCTCGAGACCCATTAAGGAAGTCGAAGCTCCTGACTTGTTTGAATGGGATCACGGAATAGCTCTGCATGCACTGCAGGGGAATGGGGCCTCAACTCGCCTCTAGGGGGAAGTCTCATGGTTTTTCTCGAGTTGCGGCGGGGACCTGGGGTATGTTCTCGACTTACGGCAGGGATGGCCCTTCAAAACACGAGTTTCTTCAGTGACGTCAGGACTCCTGTCTAGTAACGAGGGACACCTCAGGAAACTCTTCGAGGCTTGGCAGGGCAAAAGGGACGCTTCTCGAGGTGAGGCAGTGCACCCAAGGACCCTTTCCAGTAGCCACAGGGATTTTGGGATTCCTATCAGTATTCAAGAGGAGTCAGGCATCGTCACCTTTTGAAGCAATGAACTCCGCGTGCCTCTCGAGGTGTCAACGGGATGTGAGGCATTCCGTCAAAATGAGGCAGGGAACTAAGGCTTTCTCTAAGGTCTCCACAGGGGATTCAGACATCCCTTCATGTTGTGAGATGAAAGATGAGCCTGTATTCAAGCCACTGCAAGGAAATCCGGCCTCCTTTCAAGTTAGGGCTTCTCGCTGTATATTCCACTTGAGGCAGCAAACTCGGGGTCCCTCCCACATACCTATTGCTGAGAGAAGCCTCCTCTTGAGGTGCTTCTGGAAAGTTGGCATACGTCTTGAGCCTAAGCCAGGGAATGAGCTCTTATCTCGAGACGATTTGGGGTACACGGAGCATTCCTCGAGTTGCTGTGCTGAAGTTGGTGTTCCTCTACACTTGAGACAGTGTTCTCAGGGCATCTCTGGAGTTGCCTGAAGGAAGTCGAGCCACCGGTCGTGTTGAATGGGTAACGGGGAATGGCTCTGGATTCAATGCAGGAGAATCAGGCCTCATCTCGAGTTGATTTGGGGCACATGGATCTGCTTTGCGTTGCTGGGGTCACCTCAGGTTCCGTCTAGACTGGTGACAGTGTTCTTGGGGACTGTTTCGAGATCCATTAAGCAAGTCGAAGCTCCTGACTTGTTTGAATGGGATCACGGAATAGCTCTGCATGCACTGCAAGGGAATGGGGACGCATCACGCCTCTAGGGGGAAGTCTCATGGTTTTTCTCGAGTTGCGGCGGGGACCTGGGGTATGTTCTCGACTTACGGCGGGGATAGCCCTTCAAAACACGAGTTTCTTCAGTGACGTCAGGACTCCTGTCTATTAACAAGGGACAGCTCAGGAATCTCTTCGAGGCTTGGCAGGGCAAAAGGGACGCTTCTCGAGGTGAGGCAGTGCACTCAAGGACCCTTTCCAGTAGCCACAGGGATTTTGGGATTCCTATCAGTATTCAAGAGGAGTCAGGCTTCGTCACCTTTTGAAGCAATGAACTCCGAGTGCCTCTCGAGGTGTCAACGAGATGTAAGGCATTCTGTCAAAATGAGGCAGGGACTTAGGGCTTTCTCTAAGGTCTCCACAGGGGTTTCAGACATCCCTTCATGTTGTGAGATGAAAGACGAGCCTGTAGTCAAGCCACTGCAAGGAAATCCGGCCTCCTTTCAAGTTAGGGCTTCTCGCTGTATATTGCACTTGAGGCAGCGATCTCGGGGTCCCTCCCACATACCTATTGCTGAGAGAAGCCTCCTCCTGAGGTGCTTCCGGAACGTTGGCATACATCTTGAGAATAAGCCAGGGAATCAGCTCTCATCTCGAGACGATTTGGGGTACACGGAACATTCCTCGAGTTGCTGTGCTGAAGTTGGTGTTCCTCTAGACTTGGGACAGTGTTCTCGGGGCATCTCTGGAGTTGCCTGAATGAAGTCGAGCCACCGGTCGTGTTGAATGGGGAACGGGGAATGGCTCTGCACTCAATGCAGGGGAATCGGGCCTCATCTCGAGTTGATTTGGGGCACATGGAGCTGCTTTGCATTGCTGGGGTGACCTCAGGGTCCGTCTAGGCTGGTGACAGTGTTCTTGGGGACTGTCTCGAGACCCATTAAGGAAGTCGAAGCTCCTGACTTGTTTGAATGGGATCACGGAATAGCTCTGCATGCACTGCAGGGGAATGGGGCCTCAACTCGCCTCTAGGGGGAAGTCTCATGGTTTTTCTCGAGTTGCGGCGGGGACCTGGGGTATGTTCTCGACTTACGGCGGGGATGGCCCTTCAAAACACGAGTTTCTTCAATGACGTCAGGACTCCTGTCTAGTAACGAGGGACACCTCAGGAAACTCTTCGAGGCTTGGCAGGGCAAAAGGGACGCTTCTCGAGGTGAGGCAGTGCACCCAAGGACCCTTTCCAGTAGCCACAGGGATTTTGGGATTCCTATCAGTATCCAAGAGGAGTCAGGCATCGTCACCTTTTGAAGCAATGAACTCCGCGTGCCTCTCGAGGTGTCAACGGGATGTGAGGCATTCCGTCAAAATGAGGCAGGGAACTAAGGCTTTCTCTAAGGTCTCCACAGGGGATTCAGACATCCCTTCATGTTGTGAGATGAAAGATGAGCCTGTATTCAAGCCACTGCAAGGAAATCCGGCCTCCTTTCAAGTTAGGGCTTCTCGCTGTATATTCCACTTGAGGCAGCAAACTCGGGGTCCCTCCCACATACCTATTGCTGAGAGAAGCCTCCTCTTGTGGTGCTTCTGGAAAGTTGGCATACGTCTTGAGCCTAAGCCAGGGAATGAGCTCTTATCTCGAGACGATTTGGGGTACACGGAGCATTCCTCGAGTTGCTGTGCTGAAGTTGGTGTTCCTCTACACTTGAGACAGTGTTCTCAGGGCATCTCTGGAGTTGCCTGAAGGAAGTCGAGCCACCGGTCGTGTTGAATGGGTAACGGGGAATGGCTCTGGATTCAATGCAGGAGAATCAGGCCTCATCTCGAGTTGATTTGGGGCACATGGATCTGCTTTGCGTTGCTGGGGTGACCTCAGGTTCCGTCTAGACTGCTGACAGTGTTCTTGGGGACTGTTTCGAGATCCATTAAGCAAGTCGAAGCTCCTGACTTGTTTGAATGGGATCACGGAATAGCTCTGCATGCACTGCAAGGGAATGGGGACGCATCACGCCTCTAGGGGGAAGTCTCATGGTTTTTCTCGAGTTGCGGCGGGGACCTGGGGTATGTTCTCGACTTACGGCGGGGATAGCCCTTCAAAACACGAGTTTCTTCAGTGACGTCAGGACTCCTGTCTATTAACAAGGGACACCTCAGGAATCTCTTCGAGGCTTGGCAGGGCAAAAGGGACGCTTCTCGAGGTGAGGCAGTGCACTCAAGGACCCTTTCCAGTAGCCACAGGGATTTTGGGATTCCTATCAGTATTCAAGAGGAGTCAGGCATCGTCACCTTTTGAAGCAATGAACTCCGAGTGCCTCTCGAGGTGTCAACGAGATGTAAGGCATTCTGTCAAAATGAGGCAGGGACTTAGGGCTTTCTCTAAGGTCTCCAAAGGGGTTTCAGACATCCCTTCATGTTGTGAGATGAAAGACGAGCCTGTAGTCAAGCCACTGCAAGGAAATCCGGCCTCCTTTCAAGTTAGGGCTTCTCGCTGTATATTGCACTTGAGGCAGCGATCTCGGGGTCCCTCCCACATACCTATTGCTGAGAGAAGCCTCCTCCTGAGATGCTTCCGGAACGTTGGCATACGTCTTGAGAATAAGCCAGGGAATCAGCTCTCATCTCGAGACGATTTGGGGTACACGGAACATTCCTCGAGTTGCTGTGCTGAAGTTGGTGTTCCTCTAGACTTGGGACAGTGTTCTCGGGGCATCTCTGGAGTTGCCTGAATGAAGTCGAGCCACCGGTCGTGTTGAATGGGGAACGGGGAATGGCTCTGCACTCAATGCAGGGGAATCGGGCCTCATCTCGAGTTGATTTGGGGCACATGGAGCTGCTTTGCATTGCTGGGGTGACCTCAGGGTCCGTCTAGGCTGGTGACAGTGTTCTTGGGGACTGTCTCGAGACCCATTAAGGAAGTCGAAGCTCCTGACTTGTTTGAATGGGATCACGGAATAGCTCTGCATGCACTGCAGGGGAATGGGGCCTCAACTCGCCTCTAGGGGGAAGTCTCATGGTTTTTCTCGAGTTGCGGCGGGGACCTGGGGTATGTTCTCGACTTACGGCGGGGATGGCCCTTCAAAACACGAGTTTCTTCAGTGACGTCAGGACTCCTGTCTAGTAACGAGGGACACCTCAGGAATCTCTTCGAGGCTTGGCAGGGCAAAAGGGACGCTTCTCGAGGTGAGGCAGGGCACCCAAGGACCCTTTGCAGTAGCCACAGGGATTTTGGGATTCCTATCAGTATTCAAGAGGAGTCAGGCATCGTCACCTTTTGAAGCAATGAACTCCGCGTGCCTCTCGAGGTGTCAACGGGATGTGAGGCATTCCGTCAAAATGAGGCAGGGAACTAAGGCTTTCTCTAAGGTCTCCACAGGGGATTCAGACATCCCTTCATGTTGTGAGATGAAAGATGAGCCTGTATTCAAGCCACTGCAAGGAAATCCGGCCTCCTTTCAAGTTAGGGCTTCTCGCTGTATATTCCACTTGAGGCAGCAAACTCGGGGTCCCTCCCACATACCTATTGCTGAGAGAAGCCTCCTCTTGAGGTGCTTCTGGAAAGTTGGCATACGTCTTGAGCCTAAGCCAGGGAATCAGCTCTTATCTCGAGACGATTTGGGGTACACGGAGCATTCCTCGAGTTGCTGTGCTGAAGTTGGTGTTCCTCTACACTTGAGACAGTGTTCTCAGGGCATCTCTGGAGTTGCCTGAAGGAAGTCGAGCCACCGGTCGTGTTGAATGGGTAACGGGGAATGGCTCTGGATTCAATGCAGGAGAATCAGGCCTCATCTCGAGTTGATTTGGGGCACATGGATCTGCTTTGCGTTGCTGGGGTGACCTCAGGTTCCGTCTAGACTGGTGACAGTGTTCTTGGGGACTGTTTCGAGATCCATTAAGCAAGTCGAAGCTCCTGATTTGTTTGAATGGGATCACGGAATAGCTCTGCATGCACTGCAAGGGAATGGGGCCGCATCACGCCTCTAGGGGGAAGTGTCATGGTTTTTCTCGAGTTGCGGCGGGGACCTGGGGTATGTTCTCGACTTACGGCGGGGATAGCCCTTCAAAACACGAGTTTCTTCAGTGCCGTCAGGACTCCTGTCTATTAACGAGGGACACCTCAGGAATCTCTTCGAGGCTTGGCAGGGCAAAAGGGACGCTTCTCGAGGTGAGGCAGTGCACTCAAGGACCCTTTCCAGTAGCCACAGGGATTTTGGGATTCCTATCAGTATTCAAGAGGAGTCAGGCTTCGTCACCTTTTGAAGCAATGAACTCCGAGTGCCTCTCGAGGTGTCAACGAGATGTAAGGCATTCTGTCAAAATGAGGCAGGGACTTAGGGCTTTCTCTAAGGTCTCCACAGGGGTTTCAGACATCCTTTCATGTTGTGAGATGAAAGACGAGCCTGTAGTCAAGCCACTGCAAGGAAATCCGGCCTCCTTTCAAGTTAGGGCTTCTTGCTGTATATTGCACTTGAGGCAGCGATCTCGGGGTCCCTCCCACATACCTATTGCTGAGAGAAGCCTCCTCCTGAGGTGCTTCCGGAACGTTGGCATACATCTTGAGAATAAGCCAGGGAATCAGCTCTCATCTCGAGACGATTTGGGGTACACGGAACATTCCTCGAGTTGCTGTGCTGAAGTTGGTGTTCCTCTAGACTTGGGACAGTGTTCTCGGGGCATCTCTGGAGTTGCCTGAATGAAGTCGAGCCACCGGTCGTGTTGAATGGGGAACGGGGAATGGCTCTGCACTCAATGCAGGGGAATCGGGCCTCATCTCGAGTTGATTTGGGGCACATGGAGCTGCTTTGCATTGCTGGGGTGACCTCAGGGTCCGTCTAGGCTGGTGACAGTGTTCTTGGGGACTGTCTCGAGACCCATTAAGGAAGTCGAAGCTCCTGACTTGTTTGAATGGGATCACGGAATAGCTCTGCATGCACTGCAGGGGAATGGGGCCTCATCTCGCCTCTAGGGGGAAGTCTCATGGTTTTTCTCGAGTTGCGGCGGGGACCTGGGGTATGTTCTCGACTTACGGCGGGGATGGCCCTTCAAAACACGAGTTTCTTCAGTGACGTCAGGACTCCTGTCTAGTAACGAGGGACACCTCAGGAAACTCTTCGAGGCTTGGCAGGGCAAAAGGGACGCTTCTCGAGGTGAGGCAGTGCACCCAAGGACCCTTTCCAGTAGCCACAGGGATTTTGGGATTCCTATCAGTATTCAAGAGGAGTCAGGCATCGTCACCTTTTGAAGCAATGAACTCCGCGTGCCTCTCGAGGTGTCAACGGGATGTGAGGCATTCCGTCAAAATGAGGCAGGGAACTAAGGCTTTCTCTAAGGTCTCCACAGGGGATTCAGACATCCCTTCATGTTGTGAGATGAAAGATGAGCCTGTATTCAAGCCACTGCAAGGAAATCCGGCCTCCTTTCAAGTTAGGGCTTCTCGCTGTATATTCCACTTGAGGCAACAAACTCGGGGTCCCTCCCACATACCTATTGCTGAGAGAAGCCTCCTCTTGAGGTGCTTCTGGAAAGTTGGCATACGTCTTGAGCCTAAGCCAGGGAATGAGCTCTTATCTCGAGACGATTTGGGGTACACGGAGCATTCCTCGAGTTGCTGTGCTGAAGTTGGTGTTCCTCTACACTTGAGACAGTGTTCTCAGGGCATCTCTGGAGTTGCCTGAAGGAAGTCGAGCCACCGGTCGTGTTGAATGGGTAACGGGGAATGGCTCTGGATTCAATGCAGGAGAATCAGGCCTCATCTCGAGTTGATTTGGGGCACATGGATCTGCTTTGCGTTGCTGGGGTGACCTCAGGTTCCGTCTAGACTGGTGACAGTGTTCTTGGGGACTGTTTCGAGATCCATTAAGGAAGTCGAAGCTCCTGACTTGTTTGAATGGGATCACGGAATAGCTCTGCATGCACTGCAAGGGAATGGGGACGCATCACGCCTCTAGGGGGAAGTCTCATGGTTTTTCTCGAGTTGCGGCGGGGACCTGGGGTATGTTCTCGACTTACGGCGGGGATAGCCCTTCAAAACACGAGTTTCTTCAGTGACGTCAGGACTCCTGTCTATTAACAAGGGACACCTCAGGAATCTCTTCGAGGCTTGGCAGGGCAAAAGGGACGCTTCTCGAGGTGAGGCAGTGCACTCAAGGACCCTTTCCAGTAGCCACAGGGATTTTGGGATTCCTATCAGTATTCAAGAGGAGTCAGGCATCGTCACCTTTTGAAGCAATGAACTCCGAGTGCCTCTCGAGGTGTCAACGAGATGTAAGGCATTCTGTCAAAATGAGGCAGGGACTTAGGGCTTTCTCTAAGGTCTCCACAGGGGTTTCAGACATCCCTTCATGTTGTGAGATGAAAGACGAGCCTGTAGTCAAGCCACTGCAAGGAAATCCGGCCTCCTTTCAAGTTAGGGCTTCTCGCTGTATATTGCACTTGAGGCAGCGATCTCGGGGTCCCTCCCACATACCTATTGCTGAGAGAAGCCTCCTCCTGAGGTGCTTCCGGAACGTTGGCATACGTCTTGAGAATAAGCCAGGGAATCAGCTCTCATCTCGAGACGATTTGGGGTACACGGAACATTCCTCGAGTTGCTGTGCTGAAGTTGGTGTTCCTCTAGACTTGAGACAGTGTTCTCGGGGCATCTCTGCAGTTGCCTGAATGAATTCGAGCCACCGGTCGTGTTGAATGGGGAAAGGGGAATGGCTCTGGAGTCAATGCAGGGGAATCGGGCCTCATCTTGAGTTGATTTGGGGCACATGGAGCTGTTTTGCGTTGCTGGGGTGACCTCAGGGTCCGTCTAGGCTGGTGACAGTGTTCTTGGGGACTGTCTCGAAACCCATTAATCAAGTCGAAGCTCCTGACTTGTTTGAATGGGATCACGGAATAGCTCTGCATGCACTGCAGGGGAATGGGGCCTCATCTCGCCTCTAGGGGGAAGTCTCATGGTTTTTCTCGAGTTGCGGCGGAGACCTGGGGTATGTTCTCAACTTACGGAGGGGATGGCCCTTCAAAACACGAGTTTCTTCAGTGATGTCAGGATTCCAGTCTAGTAACGAGGGACACCTCAGGAATCTCTCCGAGGCTTGGCAGGGCAAAAGGGACGCGTCTCGAGGTGAGGCAGGGCACCCAAGGACCCTTTCCAGTAGCCACAGAGATTTTGGGATTCCTATCAGTATTCAAGAGGAGTCAGCCATCGTCACCTTTTGAAGCAATGAACTCCGCGTGCCTCTCGAGGTGTCACCGGGATGTGAGGCATTCCGTCAAAATGAGGCACGGAACTAAGGCTTTCTGTAAGGTCTCCACAGGGGATTCAGACATCCCTTCATGTTGTGAGATGAAAGACGAACCTGTAGTCAAGCCACTGCAAGGAAATCCGGCCTCCTTTCAAGTTAGGGCTTCTCGCTGTATATTCCACTTGAGGCAGCAAACTCGGGATCCCTCCCACATACCTATTGCTGAGAGAAGCCTCCTCTTGAGGTGCTTCTGGAAAGTTGACATACGTCTTGAGCCTAAGCCAGGGAATGAGCTCTCATCTCGAGACGATTTGGGGTACACGGAGCATTCCTCAAGTTGCTGTGCTGAAGTTGGTGTTCCTCTAGACTTGGGACAGTGTTCTCAGGGCATCTCTGGAGTTGCCTGAAGGAAGTCGAGCCACCGGTCGTGTTGAATGGGTAACGGGGAATGGCTCTGGAGTCAATGCAGGAGAATCAGGCCTCATCTCGAATTGATTTGGGGCACATGGAGCTGCTTTGCGTTGCTGGGGTGACCTCAAGTTCCGTCTAGACTGGTGAGAGTGTTCTTGGGGACTGTTTCGAGATCCATTAAGCAAGTCGAAGCTCCTGACTTGTTTGAATGGTATCACGGAATAGCTCTGCATGCACTGCAGGGGAATGGGGCCTCATCACGCCTCCAGGGGGAAGTCTCATGGTTTTTCTCAAGTTGCGGCATGGACCTGGGTTATGTTATCCACTTACGGCGGGGATGGCCCTTAAAAACACGAGTTTCTTCAGTGACGTCAGGACTCCTGTCTAGTAACGAGGGACACCTCCGGAATCTCTTCGAGGCTGGGCAGGGCAAAAGGGACGCTTCTCGAAGTGAGGCAGGGCACCCAAAGACCCTTTCCAGTAGCCACAGGGATTTTGGTATTCCTATCAGTATTCAAGAGGAGTCAGGCATCGTCACCTTTTGAAGCAATGAACTCCGCGTGCTTCTCGAGGTGACAACGTGATGTGAGGCATTCCGTCAAAATGAGGCAGGGACCTAGGGCTTTCTCTAAGGTCTCCACAGGGGTTTCAGACATCCCTTCATGTTGTGAGATGAAAGACCAGCCTGTAGTCAAGCCACTGCAAGGAAATCCGGCCTCCTTTCAAGTTAGGGCTTCTCGCTGTATATTCCACTTGAGGCAGCGATCTCGGGGTCCCTCCCACATACCTATTGCTGAGAGAAGCCTCCTCCTGAGGTGCTTCTGGAAAGTTGGCATACGTCTTGAGCCTAAGCCAGGGAATCAGCACTCATCTCGAGACGATTTGGGGTACACGGATCATTCTTCGAGTTGCTGTGCTGAAGTTGGTGTTCCTCTAGACTTGGGACAGTGTTCTCGGGGCATCTCTGGAGTTGCCTGAATGAAGTCGAGCCACGGGTCGTGTTGAATGGGGAACGGGGAATGGCTCTGCAGTCAATGCAGGGGAATCGGGCCTCATCTCGAGTTGATTTGGGGCACATGGAGCTGCTTTGCGTTGCTGGGGTGACCTCAGGGTCCGTCTAGGCTGGTGACAGTGTTCTTGGGGACTCTCTCGAGACCCATTAAGGAAGTCGAAGCTCCTGACTTGTTTGAATGGGATCACGGAATAGCTCTGCATGCACTGCAGGGGAATGGGGCCTCATCTCGCCTCTAGGGGGAAGTCTCATGTTTTTTCTCGAGTTGCGGCGGGGACCTGTGTATGTTCTCGACTTACATCGGGGATGGCCCTTCAAAACACGAGTTTCTTCAGAGACGTCAGGACTCCTGTCTAGTAACGAGGGACACCTCAGTACTCTCTTCGAGGCTTGGCAGGGCAAAAGGGACGCTTCTCGAGGTGAGGCAGGGCACCCAAGGATCCTTTCCAGTAGCCACAGGGATTTTGGGATTCCTATCAGTATTCAAGAGGAGTCAGGCATCGTCACCTTTTGAAGCAATGAACTCCGCCTGCCTCTCGAGGTGTCAACGGGATGTGAGGCATTTCGTCAAAATGAGGCACAGACCTAGGTCTTTCTCTAAGGTCTCCACAGGGGATTCAGACATCCCTTCATGTTGTGAGATGAAAGACGAGCCTGTATTCAAGCCACTGCAAGGAAATCCGGCCTCTTTTCAAGTTAGGGCTTCTCGCTGTATATTCCCCTTGAGGCAGGAAACTCTGGGTCTCTTCCACATACCAATTGTTGAGAGAAGCCTCCTCTAGAGGTGCTTCTGGAAAGTTGGCATACGTCTTGAGTCTAAGCCAGGGAATGAGCTCTCATCTCGAGACGATTTGGGGTACACGGAGCATTCCTCCAGTTGCTGTGCTGAAGTTGGTGTTCCTCTAGATTTGGGACAGTGTTCTCAGGGCATCTATGGAGTTGCCTGAAGGAAGTTGAGCCACCGGTCATGCTGAATGGGGAACGGGAAATGGCTCTGGAGTCAATGCAGGGGAAGCGGGCCTCATCTCGAGTTCATTTGGGGCACATGGAGCTGCTTTGCGTTGCTGGGTTGACCTCAGGGTCCGTCTAGGCTGGTGACAGTGTTCTTGGGGACTGTCTCGAGACCAATTAAGCAAGTCGAAGCTCCTGACTTGTTTGAATGGGATCACGGAATAGCTCTGCATGCACTGCAGGGGAATGGGGCTTCATCTCGCCTCTAGGGGGAAGTCTCATGGTTTTTCCCGTGTTGCGGCGGTGACCTGGGGTATGTTCTCGACTTACGCTGGGGATAGCCTTTCAAAACACGAGTTTCTTCAGTGACGTCAGGACTAATGTCTATTAACGAGGGACACCTCAGGAATCTCTTCGAGGCTTGGCAGGGCTAAAGGGACGCTTCTCGACGTGAGGCAGTGTACCTAAGGAGCCTTTCCAGTAGCCACAGGGATTTTGGGATTCCTATCAGTATTCAAGAGGAGTCAGGCATCGTCACCTTTTGAAGCAATGAACTCCGCCTGCCTCTCGAGGTGTCAACGAGATGTGAGGCATTCCGTCTAAATAAGGCAGGGACCTAGGGCTTTCTCTAAGGTCTCCACAGGGGATTCAGACATCCCTTCATGTTGTGAGATGAAAGACGAGCCTGTAGTCAAGCCACTGCAAGGAAATCCGGCCTCCTTTCAAGTTAGGGCTTCTCGCTGTATATTCCACTTGAGGCAGCGATCTCGGGGTCCCTCCCACATACCTAGTGCTGAGAGAAGCCTCCTCCTGAGGTGCTTCTGGAAAGTTGGCATACGTCTTGAGCCTAAGCCAGGGAATCAGCTCTCATCTCGAGACGATTTGGTGTACACGGAACATTCCTGGAGTTGCTGTGCTGAAGTTGGTGTTCCTCTAGACTTGGGACAGTGATCTCGGGGCATCTCTGGAGTTGCCTGAAGGAAGTCAAGCCACCGGTCGTGTTGAATGGGGAACGGGGAATGGCTCTGTAGTCAATGCAGGGGAATCGGGCCTCATCACGAGTTGATTTGGGGCACATGTAGCTGCTTTGCATTGCTGGGGTGACCTCAGGGTCCGTCTAGGCTGGTGACAGTGTTCTTGGGGACTCTCTCGAGACCCATGAATGAAGTCGAAGCTCCTGACTTGTTTGAATGGGATCACGGAATAGCTCTGCATGCACTGCAGGGGAATGGGGCCTCATCTCGCCTCTAGGGGGAAGTCTCATGGTTTTTCTCGAGTTGCGGCGGGGACCTGTGGTATGTTCTCGACTTACGGCGGGGATGGCCATTCAAAACACGAGTTTCTTCAGTGAAGTCATGACTCCTGTCTAGTAACGAGGGACACCTCAGGAATCTCTTCGAGGCTTGGCAGGGCAAAAGGGACGCTTCTCGAGGTGAGGCAGGGCACCCAAGGACCCTTTCCAGTAGCCACAGGGATTTTGGGATTCCTATCAGTATTCAAGAGGAGTCAGGCATCGTCACCTTTTGAACCAATGAACTCCGCGTGCCTCTCGAGGTGTCAACGGGATGTGAGGCATTCCGTCAAAATGAGGCAGGGACCTAAGGCTTTCTCTAAGGTCTCCACAGGGGATTCAGACATCCCTACATGTTGTGAGATGAAAGATGAGCCTGTATTCAAGCCACTGCAAGGAAATCCGGCCTCCTTTCAAGTTAGGGTTTCTCGCTGTATATTCAACTTGAGGCAGCAAACTCGGGGTCCCTCCCACATACCTATTGCTGAAAGAAGCCTCCTCTTGAGGTGCTTCTGGAAAGGTGGCATACGTCTTGAGCCTAACCCAGGGAATGAGATTTCATCTCGAGACGATTTGGGGTTCATGGAGCATTCCTCGAGTTGCTGTGCTGAAGTTGGTGTTCCTCTAGACTTGGGACAGTGTTCTCGGGGCATCTCTGGAGTTGCCTGAAGGAAGTCAAGCCACCGGTCGTGTTGAATGGGGAACGGGGAATGGCTCTGTAGTCAATGCAGGGGAATCGGGCCTCATCACGAGTTGATTTGGGGCACATGGAGCTGCTTTGCGTTGCTGGGGTGACCTCAGGGTCCGTCTAGGCTGGTGACAGTGTTCTTGGGGACTGTCTCGAGACCCATTTAGGAAGTCGAAGCTCCTGACTTGTTTGAATGGGATCACGGAATAGCTCTGCATGCACTGCAGGGGAATGGGGCCTCATCTCGCCTCTAGGGGGAAGTCTCATGGTTTTTCTCGAGTTGCGGCGGGGACCTGTGGTATGTTCTCGACTTACGGCGGGGATGGCCTTTCAAAACACGAGTTTCTTCAGTGACGTCAGGACTCCTGTCTAGTAACGAGGGACACCTCAGGAATCTCTTCGAGGCTTGGCAGGGCAAAAGGGACGCTTCTCGAGGTAAGGCAGGGCACCCAAGGACCCTTTGCAGTAGCCACAGGAATTTTGGGATTCCTATCAGTATTCAAGAGGAGTCAGGCATCGTCACCTTTTGAAGCAATGAACTCCGCGTGCCTCTCGAGGTGTCAACGGGATGTGAGGCATTCCGTCAAAATGAGGCAGGGACCTAAGGCTTTCTCTAAGGTCTCCACAGGGGATTCAGAGATTCCTACATGTTGTGAGATGAAAGATGAGCCTGTATTCAAGCCACTGCAAGGAAATCCGGCCTCCTTTCAAGTTAGGGTTTCTCGCTGTATATTCAACTTGAGGCAGCAAACTCGGGGTCCCTCCCACATACCTATTGCTGAGAGAAGCCTCCTCTTGAGGTGCTTCTGGAAAGGTGGCATACGTCTTGAGCCTAACCCAGGGAATGAGATTTCATCTCGAGACGATTTGGGGTTCATGGAGCATTCCTCGAGTTGCTGTGCTGAAGTTGGTGTTCCTCTAGACTTGGGACAGTGTTCTCGGGGCAGCTCTGGAGTTGCCTGAAGGAAGTCAAGCCACCGGTCGTGTTGAATGGGGAACGGGGAATGGCTCTGTAGTCAATGCAGGGGAATCGGGCCTCATCTCGAGTTGATTTGGGGCACATGGAGCTGCTTTGCGTTGCTGGGGTGACCTCAGGGTCCGTCTAGGCTGGTGACAGTGTTCTTGGGGACTGTCTCGAGACCCATTAAGGAAGTCGAAGCTCCTGACTTGTTTGAATGGGATCACGGAATAGCTCTGCATGCACTGCAGGGGAATGGGGCCTCATCTCGCCTCTAGGGGGAAGTCTCATGGTTTTTCTCCAGTTGCGGCGGGGACCTGTGGTATGTTCTCGACTTACGGCGGGGATGGCCCTTCAAAACACGAGTTTCTTCAGTGACGTCAGGACTCCTGTCTAGTAACGAGGGACACCTCAGGAATCTCTTCGAGGCTTGGCAGGGCAAAAGGGACGCTTCTCGAGGTAAGGCAGGGCACCCAAGGACCCTTTGCAGTAGCCACAGGAATTTTGGGATTCCTATCAGTATTCCAGAGGAGTCAGGCATCGTCACCTTTTGAAGCAATGAACTCCGCGTGCCTCTCGAGGTGTCAACGGGATGTGAGGCATTCCGTCAAAATGAGGCAGGGACCTATGGCTTTCTCTAAGGTCTCCACAGGGGATTCAGAGATTCCTACATGTTGTGAGATGAAAGATGAGCCTGTATTCAAGCCACTGCAAGGAAATCCGGCCTCCTTTCAAGTTAGGGTTTCTCGCTGTATATTCAACTTGAGGCAGCAAACTCGGGGTCCCTCCCACATACCTATTGCTGAGAGAAGCCTCCTCTTGAGGTGCTTCTGGAAAGGTGGCATACGTCTTGAGCCTAACCCAGGGAATGAGATTTCATCTCGAGACGATTTGGGGTTCATGGAGCATTCCTCGAGTTGCTGTGCTGAAGTTGGTGTTCCTCTAGACTTGGGACAGTGTTCTCGGGGCAGCTCTGGAGTTGCCTGAAGGAAGTCAAGCCACCGGTCGTGTTGAATGGGGAACGGGGAATGGCTCTGTAGTCAATGCAGGGGAATCGGGCCTCATCTCGAGTTGATTTGGGGCACATGGAGCTGCTTTGCGTTGCTGGGGTGACCTCAGGGTCCGTCTAGGCTGGTGACAGTGTTCTTGGGGACTGTCTCGAGACCCATTAAGGAAGTCGAAGCTCCTGACTTATTTGAATGGGATCACGGAATAGGTGTGCATGCACTGCAGGGGAATGGGGCCACATCTCGCCTCTAGGGGGAAGTCTCATGGTTTTTCTCGAGTTGCGGCGGGGACCTGTGGTATGGTCTCGACTTACGGCGGGGATGGCCCTTCAAAACACGAGTTTCTTCAGTGACGTCAGGACTCCTGTCTAGTAACGAGGGACACCTCAGGAATCTCTTCGAGGCTTGGCAGGGCAAAAGGGACGCTTCTCGAGGTAAGGCAGGGCACCCAAGGACCCTTTCCAGTAGCCACAGGAATTTTGGGATTCCTATCAGTATTCAAGAGGAGTCAGGCATCGTCACCTTTTGAAGCAATGAACTCCGCGTGCCTCTCGAGGTGTCAACGGGATGTGAGGCATTCCGTCAAAATGAGGCAGGGACCTAAGGCTTTCTCTAAGGTCTCCACAGGGGATTCAGACATCCCTTCATGTTTTGAGATCAAAGACGAGCCTGTATTCAAGCCACTGCAAGGAAATCGGGCCTCTTTTCAAGTTAGGGCTTCTCGCTGTATATTCCCCTTGAGGCAGCAAACCCTGGGGCTCTTCCACATACCTATTGCTGAGAGAAGCCTCCTCCAGAGGTGCTTCTGGAAAGTTGGCATACGTCTTGAGTCTAAGCCAGGGAATCAGCTCTCATCTCGAGACGATTTGGGGTACATGAAGCATTCCTCGAGTTGCTGTGCTGAAGTTGGTGTTCCTCTAGACTTGGGACAGTGTTCTCGGGGCATCTCTGGAGTTGCCTGAAGGAAGTCGAGCCACCGGTCTTGTTGAATGGGGAACGGGGAATGGCTCTGGAGTCAATGCAGGGGAATCGGGCCTCATCTCGCGTTGATTTGGGGCACATGGAGTTGCTTTGCGTTGCTGGGGTGACCTCAGGTTCAATCTAGGCTGGTGACAGTGTTCTTGGGGACTGTCTCGAGACCCATTAAGCAAGTCGAAGCTCCTGACTTGTTTGAATGGGATCACGGAATAGCTCTGCATGCACTGCAGGGGAATGGGGCCTCATCTCGCCTCTAGGGGGAAGTCTCATGGTTTTTCTCGAGTTGCGGCGGGGACCTGGGGTATGTTCTCGACTTACAGCGGGGATGGCCCTTCAAAACACGAGTTTCTTCAGTGACGTCAGGACTCCTGTCTGTTAACGAGGGACACCTGAGGAATCTCTTAGAGGCTTGGCAGGGCAAAAGGGACGCTTCTCGAGGTGAGGCAGTGCACGCAAGGACCCTTTCCAGTAGCCACAGGGATTTTGGGATTCCTATCAGTATTCAAGAGGAGTCAGGCATCTTCACCTTTTGAAGCAATGAACTCCGCGTGCCTCTCGAGGTGTCAACGAGATGTGAGGCATTCCGTCAATATGAGGCAGGGACCTAGGGCTTTCACTAAGGTCTCCACAGGGGTTTCAGACATCCCTTCATGTTGTGAGATGATAGACGAGCCTGTAGTCAAACCACTGCAAGGAAATCCGGCCTCCTTTCAAGTTAGGGCTTCTCGCTGTATATTCCATTTTAGGCAGCGATCTCGGGGTCCCTCCCACATACCTATTGCTGAGAGAAGCCTCCTCCTGAGGTGCTCCTGGAAAGTTGGCATACGTCTTGAGCCTAAGCCAGGGAATCAGCTCTCATCTCGAGACGATTTGGGGTACACGGAACATTCCTCGAGTTGCTGTGCTGAAGTTGGTGTTCCTCTAGACTTGGGACAGTGATCTCGGGGCATCTCTGGAGTTGCCTGAATGAAGTCGAGCCACGGGTCGTGTTGAATGGGGAACGTGGAATGGCTCTGCAGTCAATGCAGGGGAATCGGGCCTCATCTCGAGTTGATTTGGGGGACATGGAGCTGCTTTGCATTGCTGGGGTGACCTCAGGGTCCGTCTAGGCTGGTGACAGTGTTCTAGGGGACTGTCTCGAGACCCATTAAGGAAGTCGAAGCTCCTGACTTGTTTGAGTGGGATCACGGAATAGCTCTGCATGCACTGCAGGGGAATGGGGCCTCATCTCGCCTCTAGGGGGAATCTCATGTTTTTTCTCGAGTTGCGGCGGGGACCTGTGGTAAGTTCTCGACTTACGGCGGGGATGGCCCTTCAAAACACGAGTTTCTTCAGTGAAGTCAGGACTCCTGTCTAGTAACGAGGGACACCTCAGGAATCTCTTCGAGCCTTCGCAGGGCAAAAGGGACGCTTCTCGAGGTGAGGCAGGGCACCCAAGGACCCTTTCCAGTCGCCACAGGGATTTTGGGATTCCTATCAGTATTCAAGAGGAGTCATTCATCGTCACATTTTGAAGCAATGAACTCCGCGTGCCTCTCGAGGAGTCAACGGGATGTGAGGCATTCCGTCAAAATGAGGCAGGGACCTAGGGCTTTCTCTAAGGTCTCCACAGGGGATTCAGACATCCCTTCATGTTTTGAGATGAAAGACGAGCCTGTAGTCAAGCCACTGCAAGGAAATCCGGCCTCCTTTCAAGTTAGGGCTTCTCGCTGTATATTCCACTTGAGGCAGCAAACTCGAGGTCCCTCCCACATACCTATTGCTGAGAGAAGCCTCCTATTGAGGTGCTTCTGGAAAGTTAGCATACGTCTTGAGCCTAAGCCAGGGAATGAGCTCTCATCTCGAGACGATTTGGGGTACACGCAGCATTCCTCGAGTTGCTGTGCTGAAGTTGGTGTTCCTCTAGACTTGGGACAGTGTTCTCAGGGCATCTCTGGAGTTCCCTGAAGGAAGTCGAGCCACCGGTCGTGTTGAATGGGTAACGGGGAATGGCTCTGGAGTCAATGCAGGAGAATCAGGCCTCATCTCGAGTTGATTTGGGGCACATGGATCTGCGTTGCGTTCCTGGGGTGACCTCAAGTTCCGTCTAGACTGGTGAGAGTGTTCTTGGGGACTGTTTCGAGATCCATTAAGCAAGTCAAAGCTCCTTACTTGTTTGAATGGGATCACGGAATAGCTCTGCATGCACTGCAAGGGAATGGGGCCTCATCACGCCTCTAGGGGGAAGTCTCATGATTTTTCTCGAGTTGTGGCGGGGACCTGGGGTATGTTCTCGACTTACGGCGGGGATGGCCTTCAAAACACGAGTTTCTTCAGTGACGTCAGGACTCCTGTCTAGTAACGAGGGACACCTCAGGAATCTCTTCGAGGCTTGGCAGGGCAAAAGGGACGCTTCTCGAGGTGAGGCAGGGCACCCAAGGACCCTTTCCAGTAGCCACAGGGATTTTGGGATTCCTATCAGTATTCAAGAGGAGTCAGGCATCGTCACCTTTTGAACCAATGAACTCCGCGTGCCTCTCGAGGTGTCAACGGGATGTGAGGCATTCCGTCAAAATGAGGCAGGGACCTAAGGCTTTCTCTAAGGTCTCCACAGGGGATTCAGACATCCCTACATGTTGTGAGATGAAAGATGAGCCTGTATTCAAGCTACTGCAAGGAAATCCGGCCTCCTTTCAAGTCAGGGTTTCTCGCTGTATATTCAAATTGAGGCAGCAAACTCGGGGTCCCTCCCACATACCTATTGCTGAGAGAAGCCTCCTCTTGAGGTGCTTCTGGAAAGGTGGCATACGTCTTGAGCCTAAGCCAGGGAATGAGATCTCATCTCGAGACGATTTGTGGTTCATGGAGCATTCCTCGAGTTGCTGTGCTGAAGTTGGTGTTCCTCTAGACTTGGGACAGTGTTCTCAGGGCATCTCTGGAGTTGCCTGAAGGAAGTTGAGCCACCGGTCCTGTTGAGTGGGGAACGGGGAATGGCTCTGGATTCAATGCAGGAGAATCAGGCCTCATCTCGAGTTGACTTGGGGCACATGGATCTGCTTTTCATTGCTGGGGTGACCTCAGGGTCTGTATAGACTGGTGAGAGTGTTCTTGGGGACTGTTTCGAGATCCATTAAGCAAGTCGAAGCTCCTGACTTGTTTGAATGGGATCACGGAATAGCTCTGCATGCACTGCAAGGGAATGGGGCCTCATCACGCCTCTAGGGGGAAGTCTCATGGTTTTTCTCGAGTTGCGTCGGGGACCTGGGTTATGTTCTCGACTTACGGCGGGGATGGCCCTTCAAAACACGAGTTTCTTCAGTGACGTCAGGACTCCTGTCTAGTAACGAGGGACACCTCAGGAATCTCTTCGAGGCTTGGCAGGGCAAAAGGGACGCTTCTCGAGGTGAGGCAGTGCTCCCAAGGACCCTTTCCAGTAGCCACAGGGATTTTGGGAATCCTATCAGTATCCAAGAGGAGTCAGGCATCGTCACCTTTTGAAGCAATGAACTCCCCGTGCATCTCCAGGGGTCAACGGGATGTGAGGCATTCCGTCAAAATGAGGCAGGGACCTAGGGCTTTCTCTAAGGTCTCCACAGGGGATTCAGACATCCCTTCATGTTGTGAGATGAAAGACGAGCCTGTATTCCAGCCACTGCAAGGAAATCCGGCCTCCTTTCAAGTTAGGGCTTTTCGCTGTATATTCCACTTGAGGCAGCGATCTCGGGGTCCGTCCCACATACCTATTGCTGAGAGAAGCCTCCTCCTGAGGTGCTTCTGGAAAGTTGGCATACGTCTTGAGTCTAAGCCAGGGAATCAGCTCTCATCTCGAGACGATTTGGGTTACACGGAACATTTCCTGAGTTGCTGTGCTGAAGTTGGTGTTCCTCTAGACTTGGGACAGTGTTCTCGGGGCATCTCTGGAGTTGCCTGAAGGAAGTCGAGCCACCGGTCGTGTTGAATGGAGAACGGGGAATGGCTCTGGAGTCAATGCAGGGGATCGGGCCTCATCTCGATTTGATTTGTGGTACATGGAACTGCTTTGTGTTGCTGGGGTGACCTCAGTTTCCGTCTAGACTGGTGACAGTGTTCTTGGTGACTGTCTGGAGATCCATTAAGCAAGTTGAAGCTCCTGACTTGTTTGAATGGGATCACGGAATAGCTCTGCATGCACTGCAGGGGAATGGGGCCTCATCTTGCCTCTAGGGGGAAGTCTCATGGTTTTTCTCGAGTTGCGGCGGGGACCTGGGATATGTTCTCAACTTACGGCGGGATGGCCCTTCAAAACACGAGTTTCTTCAGTGACGTCAGGACTCTTGTCTAGTAACGAGGGACACCTCAGGAATCTCTTCGAGGCTTGGCAGGGCAAAAGCGACGCTTCTCGAGGTGAGGCAGGGCACCCAAGGACCCTTTCCAGTAGCCACAGGGGTTTTGGGATTCCTATCAGTATTCAAGAGGAGTCAGGCATCGTCACCATTTGAAGCAATGAACTCCGCGTGCCTCTCGAGGTGTCAACGGGATGTGAGGCATTCCGTCAAAATGAGGCAGGGACCTTAGGTTTTCTCTAAGGTCTGCACAGGGGATTCAGACATCCCTTCATGTTTTGACATAAAAGGCGAGCCTGTATTCAAGCCACTGCAAGGAAATCTGGCCTCTTTTCAAGTTAGGGCTTCTCGCTGTATATTCCACTTGAGGCAGCAAACTCGGGGTCCCTTCCACTTACCTATTGTTGAGAGTAGTCTCCTCTTGAGGTGCTTCTGGAAAGTTGGCATACGTCTTGAGCCTAAGCCAGGGAATCAGCTCTCATCTCGAGACGATTTGGGGTACACGGAGCATTGCTCGAGTTGCTGTGCTGAAGTTGGTTTCCTCTAGACTTGGGACAGTGTTCTCGGGGCATCTCTGGAGTTGCCTGAAGGAAGTAGAGCCACTGGTCGTGTTGAATGGGATAAGCGGAATGGCTCTGGAGTCAATGCAGGGGAATCGGGCCTCAATTCGAGTTGATTTGGGGCACATGGAGCTGCTTTGCGTTGCTGGGGTGACCTCAGGGTCCGTCTAGACTGGTGACAGTGTTTTTGGGGACTGTCTCGAGATCCTTTAAGCAAGTCGAAGCTCCTGACTTGTTTGAATGGGATCACGGAACAGCTCTGCATGCACTGCAGGGGAATGGGGCCTCATCTCGCCTCTAGGGGGAAGTCTCATGGTTTTTCTCGAGTTTCGGCAGGGACCTGGGGTATGTTCTCGACCTACGGCGGGGATGGCCCTTCAAAACCCGTGTTTATTAATGACGTCAGGACTCCTGTCTAGTAACGAGGGACACATCAGGAATCACTTCGATACTTGCCAGGGCAAAAGGGACGCTTCTCGAGGTGAGGCAGGGCACCCAAGGACTCTTTCCATTAGCCACAGTGATTTTGGGATTCCTATCAGTTTTCCAGAGGAGTCAGGCATCGTCACCTTTTGAAGCAATGAACTCCGCGTGCCTCTCGAGGTGTCAACGGGACGTGAGGCATTCCGTCAAAATGAGGCAGGGACCTAGGACTTTCTCTAAGGTCTCCACAGGGGATTCAGACATCCCTTCATGTTGTGAGATGAAAGACGAGCCTGTATTCCAGCCACTGCATGGAAATCCGGCCTCCTTTCAAGTTAGGGCTTTTCGCTGTATATTCCACTTGAGGCAGCGATCTCGGGGTCCCTACCACATACCTATTGCTGAGAGAAGCCTCCTCCTGAGGTGCTTCTGGAAAGTTGGCATACGTCTTGAGCCTAAGCCATGGAATCAGCTCTCATCTCGAGATGATTTGGGTTACACGGAACATTCCCCGAGTTGCTGTGCTGAAGTTGGTGTTCCTCTAGACTTGGGACAGTGTTCTCGGGGCATCTCTGGAGTTGCCTGAAGGAAGTCGAGCAACCGGTTGTGTTGAATGGGGAACGGGGAATGGCTCTGGAGGCAATGCAGGGGAATCGGGCCTCATCTCGAGTTGATTTGGGGCACATGGAGCTGCTTTGCGTTGCTGGGGTGACCTCAGGGTCCGTCTAGACTGGAGACAGTGTTCTTGGGGACTGTGTCGAGATGCATTAAGCAAGTCGAAGCTCCTGACTTGTTTGAATGGGATCACGGAATAGGTCTGCATGCACTGCAGGGGAATGGGGACTCATTTCACCTCGAGGGGGAAGTCTCATGGTTTTTCTCGAGGTGCGGCGGTGGCCTGGGGTATGTTCTCGACTTACGGCGGGGATGGCCCTTCAAAACCCGTGTTTATTAAGTGACGTCAGGACTCCTGTCTAGTAACGAGGGACACCTCAGGAATCTCTTCGAGGCTTGGCAGGGCAAAAGGGACGCTTCTCGAGGTGAGGAAGGGCACCCAAGGACCCTTTCCAGTAGCCACAGGGATTTTGGGATTCCTGTCAGTATTCAAGACGAGCCAGGCATTGTCACCTTTTGAAGCAATGAACTCCGCGTGACTCTCGAGGTGCCAGCGGGATGTGAGGCATTCCGTCAAAATGAGGCAGGGACCTAGGGCTTTCTCTAAGGTGTCCACAGGGGATTCAGACATCCCTTCATGTTGTGAGATGAAAGACGAGCCTGTATTCAAGCCACTGCAAGGAAATCCGGCCTCCTTTCAACTTAGGGCTTCTCGCTGTATATTCCCCTTGAGGCAGCGATCTCGGGGTCCCTCCCACATACCTATTGCTGAGAGAAGTCTCCTCCTGAGGTGTTTCTGGAAAGTTGGCATACGTCTTGAGCCTAAGCCAGGGAATCAGCTCTCATCTCGAGACGATTTCGGGTACACGGAGCATTCCTAGAGTTGCTGTGCTGAAGTTGGTGTTACTCTAGACTTGGGACAGTGTTCTCGGGGCATCTCTGGAGTTGGCTGAAGGAAGTCGAGCCACCGGTCGTGTTGAATGTTGAACGGGGAATGGCTCTGTAGTCAATGCAGGGGAACCTGGCCTCATCTCGAGTTGATTTGGGGCACATGGAGCTGCTTTGCGTTGCTGGGGTGACCTCAGGTTCCGTCTAGACTGGTGACAGTGTTCTTGGGGACTGTGTCGAGATCCATTAAGCAAGTCGAAGTTCCTGACTTGTTTGAATGGGATCACGAAGTAGCTCTGCATGCACTGCAGGGGAATGGGGCCTCATCTCTCCTCTAGGGGGAAGTCTCATGGTTTTTCCGAGTTGCGGCGAGGACCTGGGATATGTTCTCGACTTATGGCGGGGATGGCCCTTCAAAACACGAGTTTCTTCAGTGACGTCAGGACTCCTGTCTAGTAACGAGGGACACCTCAGGAATCTCTTCGAGGCTTGGCAGGGCAAAAGGGACGCTTCTCGAGGTGAGGCAGGGCACCCAAGGACCCTTTCCAGTAGCCACAAGGATTTTGGGATTCCTATCAGTATTCAAGAGGAGTCAGGCATCGTCACCTTTTGAAGCAATGAACTCCGCGTGCCTCTCGAGGTGTCAACGGGATGTGAGGCATTCCGTCAAAATGAGGCAGGGACCTAGGGCTTTCTCTAAGTTCTCCACAGGTGATTCAGACATCCCTTCATGTTGTGAGATGAAAGAAGAGCCTGTATTCAAGCCACTGCAAGAAAATCCAGCCTCCATTCAAGTTCGGGCTTCTTGCTGTATATTCCCCTTGAGACAGCAAACTCGGGGTCCCTTCCACATACCTATTGCTTAGAGAAGCCTCCTCTTGAGGTTCTTCTGGAAAGTTGGCATACGTCTTGTGCCTAAGCCAGGGAATCAGCTCTCATCTCGAGACGATTTGGGGTACACGGAACATTAATCGAGTTGCTGTGCTGAAGTTGGTGTTCCTCTAGACTTGGGACAGTGTTCTCGGGGATTCTCTGGAGTTGCCTGAAGGAAGTCGAGCCACCGGTCCTGTTGAATGGGGAACGGGGAATGGCTCTGGAGGCAATGCAGGGGAATCGGGCCTCATCTCGAGTTGATTTGGGGCACATGGTGATGCTTTGCGATGCTGGGGGACCTCAGGGTCCGTCTAGACTGGAGACAGTGTTCTTGGGGACTGTGTCGAGATGCATTAAGCAAGTCGAAGGTCCTGACTTGTTTGAATGGGATCACAGAATAGCTCTGCATGCACTGCAGGGGAATGGGGACTCATTTCGCCTCTAAGGGGAAGTCTCATGGTTTTTCTCGAGGTGCGGCGGGCACCTGGGTTATGTTCTCGACTTACGGCGGGGATGGCCCTTCAAAACCCGTGTTTATTAAGTGACGTCAGGACTCCTGTCTAGTAACGAGGCACACCTCAGGAATCTCTTCGAGGCTTGGCAGGGCAAAAGGGACGCTTCTCGAGGTGAGGCAGTGCACCCAAGGACCCTTTCCAGTAGCCACAGGGATTTTGGGATTCCTATCAGTATTCAAGAGGAGTCAGGCATCGTCACCTTTTGAAGCAATGAACTCCGCGTGCCTCTCGAGGTGTCAACGGGATGTGAGGCATTCCGTCAAAATGAGGCAGGGACCTAGGGCTTTCTCTAAGTTCTCCACAGGGGATTCAGACATCCCTTCATGTTGTGAGATGAAAGAAGAGCCTGTATTCAAGCCACTGCAAGAAAATCCAGCCTCCATTCAAGTTCGGGCTTCTTGCTGTATATTCCCCTTGAGACAGCAAACTCGGGGTCCCTTCCTCATACATATTGCTGACAGAAGCCTCCTCTTGAGGTTCTTCTGGAAAGTTGGCATACGTCTTGTGCCTAAGCCAGGGAATCAGCTCTCATCTCGAGACGATTTGGGGTACACGGAGCATTACTCGAGTTGCTGTGCTGAAGTTGGTGTTCCTCTAGACTTGGGACAGTGTTCTCGGGGTATCTCTGCAGTTGCCTGAAGTAAGTCGAGCGACCGGTCGTGTTGAATGGGGAATGGGGAATGGCTCTGGAGGCAATGCAGGGGAATCGGACCTCATCTCGAGTAGATTTGGGGCACATGGAGCTGCTTTGCGTTTCTGGGGTAACCTCAGGGTCCGTCTAGACTGGAGACAGTGTTCTTGGGGACTGTGTCGAGATGCATTAAGCAAGTCGAAGCTCCTGACTTGTTTGAATGGGATCACGGAATAGCTCTGCAGGCACTGCAGGGGAATGGGGCCTCATTTCGCCTCTAGGGGGAGGTCTCATGGTTTTTCTCGAGGTGCGGCAGGGACCTGGGGTATGTTCTCGACTTACGGCGGGGATGGCCCTTGAAAACATGAGTTTCTTCAGTGACGTCAGGACCCCTGTCTAGTAATGAGGGACACCTCAGGAATCTCTTCGACGCTTGGCAGGGTAAAAGGGACGCTTCTCGAGTTGAGGCAGGGCACCCAAGGACCCTTTCCAGTAGCCAAAGGAATTTTGGGATTCCTATCAGTATTCAAGAGGAGTCAGGCATCGTCACATTCTGAAGCAATGAACTCCGCATGCCTCTCGAGGTGTCAACGGGATGTGAGGCATTCCGTCAAAATGAGGCAGGGAACTAGGGCTTTCTCTAAGGTCTCCACAGGGGATTCAGATATCCCTTCATGTTGTGAGATGAAAGACGAGCCTGTAGTCAAGCCACTGCAAGGAAATCCGGCCTCCTTTCAAGTTAGGGCTTCTCGATGTATATTCCCCTTGAGGCAGCAAACTCGGGGTCCCTCCCACATACCTATTGCTGAGAGAAGCCTCCTCCTGAGGTGCTTCTGGAAAGTTGGCATACGCCTTGAACCTAGGCTAGGCAATCAGCTCTCATCTCGAGATGATTTGGGGTACACAGAGCATTCCTAGAGTTGCTGTGCTGAAGTTGGTGTTCCTCTAGACTTGGGACAGTGTTCTCCGGGCATCTCTGGAGTTGCCTGAAGGAAGTCGAGCCACCGGTCGTGTTGAATGGGGAACGGGGAATGGCTCTGGAGTCAATGCAGGGGAATCCGGCCTCATCTCGATTTGATTTGGGGCACATGGAGCTGCTTTGCTTTGCTGGGGTGACCTCAGTGTCCGTCTAGACTGGTGACAGTATTCTTGGGGACTGTCTCGAGATCCATTAAGCAAGTCGAAGCTCTTGACTTCTTTGAATGGGATCACGGAAGAGCTCTGCATGCACTGAAGGGGAATGGGGCCTCTTCTCGCCTCTAGGGGGAAGTCTCATGGTTTTTCTCGAGTTGCGGCGGGGACCTGGGATATGTTCTCGACTTACAGCGGGGATGGCCCTTCAAAACACGAGTTTCTTCAATGACGGCAGGACTCCTGTCTAGTAACGAGGGTCACCTCAGGAATCTCTTCGAGGCTTGGCAGGGCAAAAGGGACGCTTCTCGAGGTGAGGCAGGGCACCCAAGGACCCTTTCCAGTAGCCACAGGGATTTTGGGATTCCTATCTGTATTCAAGAGGAGTCAGGCATCGTCACCTTTTGAAGCAATGAACTCCGCGTGCCTCTCGAGGTGTCAGCGGGATGTGAGGCATTCCGTCAAAAGGAGGCAGGGACCTAGGGCTTTCTCTAAGGTCTCCACAGGGGATTCAGACATCCCTTCATGTTGTGAGATGAAAGACGAGCCTGTATTCAAGCCACTGCAAGGAAATCCGGCCTCCTTTCAAGTTAGGGCTTCTCGCTGTATATTCCCCTTGAGGCAGCAAACTCGGGGTCCTTCCCACATACCTATTGCTGAGAGAAGCCTCCTCCTGAGGTGCTTCTGGAAAGTTGGCCTACGTCTTGAGCCTAAGCCAGGGAATCAGCTCTCATCTCGAGAAGATTTGGGGTACACGGAGCATTCCTCGAGTTGTGGTGCTGAAGTTGGTGTTCCTCTAGACTTGGGACAGTGTTCTCGGGGCATCTCTGGAGTTGCCTGAAGGAAGTCGAGCCACCGGTCGTGTTGAATGGAGAACGGGGAATGGCTCTGGAGTCAATGCAGGGGAATCGGGCCTCATCTCGAGTTGATTTGGGGCACATGGAGCTGCTTTGCGTTGCTGGGGTGACCTCAGGTTCCGTCTAGACTGGTGACAGTGTTCTTGGGACTGTCTCGAGATCCATTAAGCAAGTCGAAGCTCCTGACTTGTTTGAATGGGATCAGGGAATAGCTCTGCATGCACTGCAGGGGAATGGGGCCTCATCTCGCCTCTAGAGGGAAGTCTCATGGTTTTTCTCGAGTTGCGGCGGGGACCTGGGGTATGTTCTCGACTTACGGCGGGGATGGCCCTTCAAAACACGAGTTTCTTCAGTAACATCAGGACTCCTGTCTAGTAACGAAGGACACCTCAGGAATCTCTTCGAGGCTTGGCAGGGCAAAAGGGACGTTTCTCGAGGTCAAGCAGGGCACCCAAGGACCCTTTCCAGTAGCCACAGGGATTTTGGGATTCCTATCACTATTCAAGAGGAGTCAGGCATCGTCACCTTTTGAAGCAATGAACTAAGCGTGCCTCTCGAGGTGTCAACGGGATGTGAGGCATTCCGTCAAAATGAGGCAGGGACCTAGGGCTCTCTCTAAGTTCTCCACAGGGGATTCAGACATCCCTTCATGTTGTGAGATGAAAGAAGAGCCTGTATTCAAGCCACTGCAAGAAAATCCAGCCTCCATTCAAGTTCGGGCTTCTTGCTGTATATTCCCCTTGAGACACCAAACTCGGGGTACCTTCCACATACCTATTGCTTAGAGAAGCCTCCTCCTGAGGTGCTTCTGGAAAGTTGGCATACGTCTTGAGCCTAAGCCAGGGAATCAGCTCTCATCTCGAGACGATTTGGGGTACACGGAGCATTCCTCGAGTTGCTGTGCTGAAGTTGGTGTTCGTCTAGACTTGGGACAGTGTTCTCGGGGCATCTCTGGAGTTGCCTGAAGGAAGTCGAGCCACTGGTCCTGTTGAATGGGGAACGGGGAATGGCTCTGGAGGCAATGCAGGGGAATCGGGCCTCATCTCGAGTTGATTTGGGGCACATGGTGCTGCTTTGCGATGCTGGGGGACCTCAGGATCCGTCTAGACTGGAGACAGTGTTCTTGGGGACTGTGTCGAGATGCATTAAGCAAGTCGAAGATCCTGACTTGTTTGAATGGGATCACGGAATAGCTCTGCATGCACTGCAGGGGAATGGGGACTCATTTCGCCTCTAGGGGGAAGTCTCATGGTTTTTCTCGAGGTGCGGCGGGCACCTGGGTTATGTTCTCGACTTACGGCGGGGATGGCCCTTCAAAACCCGTGTTTATTAAGTGACGTCAGGACTCCTGTCTAGTAACGAGGGACACCTCAGGAATCTCTTCGAGGCTTGGCAGGGCAAAAGGGACGCTTCTCGAGGTGAGGCAGTGCACCCAAGGACCCTTTCCAGTAGCCACAGGGATTTTGGGATTCCTATCAGTATTCAAGAGGAGTCAGGCATCGTCACCTTTTGAAGCAATGAACTCCGCGTGCCTCTCGAAGTGTCAACGGGATGTGAGGCATTCCGTCAAAATGAGGCAGGGACCTAGGGCTTTCTCTAAGTTCTCCACAGGGGATTCAGACATCCCTTCATGTTGTGAGATGAAAGAAGAGCCTGTATTCAAGCCACTGCAAGAAAATCCAGCCTCCATTCAAGTTCGGGCTTCTTGCTGTATATTCCCCTTGAGACAGCAAACTCGGGGTCCCTTCCACATACATATTCCTGACAGAAGCCTCCTCTTGAGGTTCTTCTGGAAAGTTGGCATACGTCTTGTGCCTAAGCCAGGGAATCAGCTCTCATCTCGAGACGATTTGGGGTACACGGAGCATTCCTCGAGTTGCTGTGCTGAAGTTGGTGTTCCTCTAGGCTTGGGACAGTGTTCTCCGGGCATCTCTGGAGTTGCCTGAAGGAAGTAGAGCCACCGGTCGTGTTGAATGGGGAACGGGGAATGGCTCTGGAGTCAATGCAGGGGAATCGGGGCTCATCTCGAGTTGATTTGGGGCACATGGAGCTGCTTTGCGTTGCTGGGTGACCTCAGGGTCCGTCTAGACTGGTGACAGTGTTCTTGCGGACTGTCTCGAGATCCATTAAGCAAGTCGAAGCTCCTCACTTGTTTGAATGGGATCACGGAATAGCTCTGCATGCACTGCAGGGGAATGGGACCTCATCTCGCCTCTAGGGGGAAGTCTCATGGTTTTTCTCGAGTTCCGGCGGGGACCTGGGGTATGTCCTCGACTTACGGCGGGGATGGCCCTTCAAAACACGAGTTTCTTCAGTGACGTCAGGACTCCTGTCTAGTAACGAGGGACACCTCAGGAATCTCTTCGAGGCTTGGCAGGGCAAAAGGGACGCTTCTCGAGGTGAGGCAGGGCACCCAAGGACCCTTTCCAGTAGCCACAGGGATTTTGGGATTCCTATCAGTATTCAAGAGGAGTCACGCATCGTCACCTTTTGAAGCAGTGAACTCCGCGTGCCTCTCGAGGTGTCAGCGGGATGTGAGGCATTCCGTCAAAATGAGGCAGGCACCTAGGTCTTTCTCTAAGGTCTCCACAGGGGATTCAGACATCCCTTCATGTTGTGAGATGAAAGACGAACCTGTATTCAAGCCACTGCAAGGAAATCCGGCCTCCTTTCAAGTTAGAGCTTCTCGCTGTATATTCCCCTTGAGGCAGCAAACTCGGGGTCCCTACAACATACCTATTGCTGAGAGAAGCCTCCTGCTGAGGTGCTTCTGGAAAGTTGGCATACGTCTTGACCCTAAGCCAGGGAATCAGCTCTCATCTCGAGACGATTTGGGGTACACTGAGCATTCCTCGAGTTGCTGTGCTGAAGTTGGTGTTCCTCTAGACTTGGGACACTGTTCTCAGGGCATCTCTGGAGTTGCCTGAAGGAAGTCGAGCCACCAGTCGTGTTGAATGGGGAATGGGGAATGGCTCTGGAGTCAATGTAGGGGAATCGGGCCTCATCTCGAGTTGATTTGGGGCACATGGAGCTGCTTTGCGTTGCTGGGGTGACCTCAGGGTCCGTCTAGACTGGGGACAGTGTTCTTGGGGACTGTGTCGAGATGCATTAAGCAAGTCGAAGTTCCTGACTTGTTTGAATGGGATCACGGAATAGCTCTGCATGCACTGCAGGGGAATGGGGCCTCATCTCGCCTCTAGGGGGAAGTCTCATGGTTTTTCTAGAGGTGCGGCGGGCACCTGGGGTATGTTCTCGACTTACGGCGGGATGGCCCTTCAAAACCCGTGTTTATTAAGTGACGTCAGTACTCCTCTCTAGTAACGAGGGACACCTCAAAAATCTCTTCGAGGCTTGCCAGGGCAAAAGGGACGCTTCTCGAGGTGAGGCAGGGCACCCAAGGACCCTTTCCAGTAGCCAAAGGGATTTTGGGAGTCCTATCAGTATTCAACAGGAGTCAGGCATTGTCAGCTTTAGAAGCAATGAACTCCGCGTGCCTCTCGATGTGTCAAAGGGATGTGAGGCATTCTGTCAAAATGAGGCAGGGACCTAGGGCTTTCTCTAAGGTCTCCAGAGGGGATTCAGACATCCCTTCATGTTGTGAGATGTAAGACGAGCCTGTAGTCAAGCCACTGCAAGAAAATCCGGCCTCCTTTCAAGTTAGGGCTTCTCGCTGTATATTCCACTTGAGGCATCGATGTCGGGGTCCCTCCCACAGACCTATTGCTGAGAGAAGTCTCCTCCTGAGGTGCTTCTGGAAAGTTGGCATACATCTTGAGCCTAAGCCAGGGAATCAGCTCTCATCTCGAGACGATTTCGGGTACACGGAGCATTCCTCGAGTTGTTGTGCTGAATTTGTTGTTCCTCTAGACTTGGGACAGTGTTCCCGGGGCATCTCTCGAGTTGCCTGAAGGAAGTAGAGCCACCGGTCGTGTTAAATGGGGAATGGGGAATGGCTCTGGAGTCAATGCAGGGGAATCGGGCCTCATCTCGGGTTGATTTGGGGCACATGGAGCTGCTCTGCGTTGCTGGAGTGACCTCAGGGTCCGTCTAGATTGGTTACAGTGTTCTTGGGGACTGTCTCGAGATCCATTAAGCAAGTCGAAGCTCCTGACTTGTTTGAATGGGATCACGGAATAGCTCTGCATGCACTGCAGGGGAATGGGGCCTCATCTCACCTCTAGGGGGAAGTCTCATGGTTTTTCTCGAGTTGCGGCAGGGACCTGGGGTATGTTCTCGACTTACGGCGGGGATGGCCCTTCAAAACACGAGTTTCTTCACTGACGTCAGGACTCCTGGCTAGTAACGAGGGACACTTCAGGAATCTCTTCGAGGATTGACAGGGCAAAAGGGACGCTTCTCGAGGTGAGGCAGGGCACCCAAGGACCGTTTCCAGTAGCCAGAGAGATTTTGGGATTCCTAACAGTATTCAAGAGGAGTCAGGCATCGTCACCTTTTGAAGCAATGAACTCCGCGTGCCTCTCGAGGTGTCAAAGGGATGTGAGGCATGCCGTCAAAATGAAGCAGGGAACTAGGGCTTTCTCTAAGGTCTCCACAGGGGATTCAGACATCCCTTCATGTTTTGAGAACAAAGACAAGCCTGTGTTCAAGCCACTGCAAGGAAATCCGGGATCCTTTCAAGTTAGGGCTTTTCGCTGTATATTCCACTTGAGGCAGCGATCTCGGTGTCCCTCTCACATACCTATTGCTGGGAGAAGCCTCCTCCTGAGGTGCTTCTGGAAAGTTGGCATACGTCTTGAGCCTAAGCCAGGGAATCAGCTCTCATCCGGAGACGATTTGTGGTACATGGAGCATTCCTCGAGTTGCTGTGCTGAAGTTGGTGTTCCTCTAGACTTGGAACAGTGTTCTCGGGGCATCTCTGGAGTTGCCTGAATGAAGTCGAGCCACCGGTCGTGTTGAATGGGGAACGGGGAATGGCTCTGGAGGCAATGCAGGGGAATCGGGCCTCATCTCGAGTTGATTTGAGGCACATGGAGCTGATTTGCGTTGCTGGGGTGACCTCAGGGTTGGTCTAGACTGGTGACAGTGTTTTTGGGGACTGTCTCGAGATCCATTAAGCAAGTCGAAGCTCCTGACTTGTTTGAATGGGATCACGGAATAGCTCTGCATGCACTGCAGGGGAATGGGGCCTCATCTCGCCTCTAGGGGGAAGTCTCATGGTTTTTCTCGAGTTGCGGCGAGGACCTGCGGTAAGTTCTCGACTTACGGCGGGGATGGCCCTTCAAAACACGAGTTACCTCAGTGACCTCAGGACTCCTTTCTAGTAACGAGGGACACATCAGGAATCTCTTCGAGGCTTGCCAGGGAAAAAGGGACGCTTCTCGAGGTGAGGCAGGGCACCCAAGGACCCTTTCCAGTAGCCACAAGGATTTTGGGATTCCTATCAGTATTCAAGAGGAGTCAGGCATCGTCACCTTTTGAAGCAATGAACTCCACATGCCTCTCGAGGTGTCAACGGGATGTGAGGCATTCCGTCAAAATGAGGCAGGGACCTAGGGCTTTCTCTCAGGTATCCACAGGGGATTCAGGCATCCCTTCATGTTGTGAGATGAAAGACGAGCCTGTAGTCAAGCCACTGCAAGGAAATCCGGCCTCCTTTCAAGTTAGGGCTTCTCGCTGTATATTCCCCTTGAGGCAGCAAACTAGGGGTCTCTTCCACATACCTATTGCTGAGAGAAGCCTCCTCATGAGGTGCTTCCGGAAAGTTGGCATACGTCTTGAGCCGAGGCCAGGGATTCAGCTCTCATCGCGAGACGATTTGGGGTACAAGGAGCATTCCTCGAGGTGCTGTGCTGAAGTTGGTGTTCCTCTAGACTTGGGACAGTGTTCTCGGGGCATCTCTGGAGTTGCCTAAAGGAAGTCGAGCCACCGGTCATGTTGAATGGGGAACGGGGAATGGCTCTGGAGACAATGCACGGGAATCGGGCCTCAACTCGAGTTGATTTCTGGCACATGGAGCAGCTTTGCGTTGCTGGGGTGACTTCAGGGTCCGTCTAGACTGGTGACAGTGTTCTTGGGGGCTGTCTCGAGATCCACTAAGCAAGTCGAAGCTCCTGACTTGTTTGAATGGGATCACGGAATAGCTCTGCATGCACTGCAGGGGAATGGGGACTCATTTCGCCTCTAGGGGGAAGTCTCATGGTTTTTCCGAGTTGCGGCGAGGACCTGGGGTATGTTCTCGACTTACGGCGGGGATGGCCCTTCAAAACACGAGTTTCTTCAGTGACGTCAGGACCCCTGTCTAGTAACGAGGGACACCTCAGGAATCTCTTCGAGGCTTGGCAGATGAAAAGGGACGCTTCTCGAGGTGAGGCCGGGCACCCAAGGACCCTATCCAGTAGCCACAAGGCTTTTGGATTTCCTATCAGCATTCACGAGGAGTCAGGCACCGTCACCTTTTGAAGCAATGAACTCCGCGTGCCTCTCGAGGTGTCAACTGGATGTGAGGTATTCCGTCAAAATGAGGCAGGGACCTAGGGCTTTCTCTAAGGTCTCCTCAGGGGATTCAGACATCCCTTCATGTTGTGAGATGAAAGACGAGCCTGTATTCAAGCCACTGCAAGGAAATCCGGCCTCCTTTCAAATTAGGGATTCTCGTTGTATATTCCCCTTGAGGCAACAAACTCGGGGTCTCTTCCACATACCTATTGCTGAGAGAAGCCTCCTCATGAGGTGCTTCTGGAAAGTTGGCATACGTCTTGAGCCTAAGCCATGGAATCAGCTCTCATCGCGAGACGATTTGGGGTACACGGAGCATACCTCGAGTTGCTGTGCTGAAGTTGGTGTTCCTCTAGACTTGGGACAGTGATCTCGGGGCTTCTCTGGAGTTGCCTGAATGAAGTCTAGCCACCGGTCGTGTTGAATGGTTAACAGGGAACGGCTCTGTAGTCAATGCAGGGAATCGGGCCTCATCTCGAGTTGATTTGGGGCACATGGAGCTGCTATGCGTTGCTGGGGTGACCTCAGGGTCCGTCTAGGCTGGTGACACTGTTCTTGGGGACTGTCTCGAGACCCATTAAGGAAGTCGAAGCTCCTGACTTGTTTGAATGGGATCACGGAATAGCTCCTCATGCGCTGCAGGGGAATAGGGCCTCATCTCACCTCTAGGGGGAAGTCTCATGGTTTTTCTCTAGTTGCGGCGGGGACCTGGGGTATGTTATCGACTTAGGGCGGGGATGGCCCTTCAAAACACGAGTTTCTTCACTAACGTCAGGACTCCTGTCTAGTAACGAGGGACAACTCAGGAATCTCTTCGAGGCTTGGCAGGGCAAAAGGGACGTTTCTCGAGGTGAGGCAGAGCACCAAAGGACCCTTTCCAGTAGCCACAGGGATTTTGCGATTCCTATCACTATTCAAGAGGAGACAGGCATCGTCACATTTTGAAGCAATGAACTCCGCGTGCCTCTCGAGGTGTCAGCGGGATGTGAGGTATTCCGTCAAAATGAGGCAGGGACCTAGGGCTTTCTCTAAGATGTCCACAGGGGATTCAGACATCCCTTCATGTTGTGAGATGAAAGACGAGCCTGTATTCAAGCCACTGCAAGGAAATCCGGCCTCCTTTCAACTTAGGGCTTCTCGCTGTATATTCCACTTGTGGCAGCGATCTTGGGGTCCCTCCCACATACCTATTGCTGAGAGAAGTCTCCTCCTGAGGTGTTTCTGGAAAGTTGGCATACGTCTTGAGCCTAAGCCAGGGAATCAGCTCTCATCTCGAGACGATTTCGTGTACACGGAGCATTCCTAGAGTTGCTGTGCTGAAGTTGGTGTTCCTCTAGACTTGGGACAGTGTTCTCGGGGCATCTCTGGAGTTGCCTGAAGGAAGTCGAGCCACCGGTCGTGTTGAATGGTGAACGGGGAATGGCTCTGTAGTCAATGCAGGGGAATCTGGCCTCATCTGGAGTTGATTTGGGGCACATGGAGCTGCTTTTCGTTGCTGGGGTGACCTCAGGTTCCGTCTAGACTGGTGACAGTGTTCTTGGGGACTGTCTCGAGATCCATTAAGCAAGTCGAAGTTCCTGACTTGTTTGAATGGGATCACGAAATAGCTCTGCATGCACTGCAGGGGAATGGGGCCTCATCTCTCCTCTAGGGGGAAGTCTCATTGTTTTTCCGAGTTGCGGCGAGGACCTGGGATATGTTCTCGACTTATGGCGGGGATGGCCCTTCAAAACACGAGTTTCTTCAGTGACGTCAGGACTCCTGTCTAGTAACGAGGGACACCTCAGGAATCTCTTCGAGGCTTGGCAGGGCAAAAGGGACGCTTCTCGAGGTGAGGCAGGGCACCCAAGGACCCTTTCCAGTAGCCACAAGGATTTTGGGATTCCTATCAGTATTCAAGAGGAGTCAGGCATCGTCACCTTTTGAATCAATGAACTCCGCGTGCCTCTCGAGGTGTCAACGGGATGTGAGGCATTCCGTCAAAATGAGGCAGGGACCTAGGGCTTTCTCTAAGTTCTCCACAGGGGATTCAGACATCCCTTCATGTTGTGAGATGAAAGAAGAGCCTGTATTCAAGCCACTGCAAGAAAATCCAGCCTCCATTCAAGTTCGGGCTTCTTGCTGTATATTCCCCTTGAGACAGCAAACTCGGGGTCCCTTCCACATACCTATTGCTTAGAGAAGCCTCCTCTTGAGGTTCTTCTGGAAAGTTGGCATACGTCTTGTGCCTAAGCCAGGGAATCAGCTCTCATCTCGAGACGATGTGGGGTACACGGAGCATTACTCGAGTTGCTGTGCTGAAGTTGGTGTTCCTCTAGACTTGGGACAGTGTTCTCGGGGCATCTCTGGAGTTGCCTGAAGGAAGTCGAGCCACCGGTCCTGTTGAATGGGGAACGGGGAATGGCTCTGGAGGCAATGCAGGGGAATCGGGCCTCATCTCGAGTTGATTTGGGGCACATGGTGCTGCTTTGCGATGCTGGGGGACCTCAGGGTCCGTCTAGACTGGAGACAGTGTTCTTGGGGACTGTGTCGAGATGCATTAAGCAAGTCGAAGGTCCTGACTTGTTTGAATGGGATCACGGAATAGCTCTGCATGCACTGCAGGGGAATGGGGACTCATTTCGCCTCTAGGGGGAAGTCTCATGGTTTTTCTCGAGGTGCGGCGGGCACCTGGGTTATGTTCTCGACTTACGGCGGGGATGGCCCTTCAAAACCCGTGTTTATTAAGTGACGTCAGGACTCCTGTCTAGTAACGAGGGACACCTCAGGAATCTCTTCGAGGCTTGGCAGGGCAAAAGGGACGCTTCTCGAGGTGAGGCAGTGCACCCAAGGACCCTTTCCAGTAGCCACAGGGATTTTGGGATTCCTATCAGTATTCAAGAGGAGTCAGGCATCGTCACCTTTTGAAGCAATGAACTCCGCGTGCCTCTCGAGGTGTCAACGGGATGTGAGGCATTCCGTCAAAATGAGGCAGGGACCTAGGGCTTTCTCTAAGTTCTCCACAGGGGATTCAGACATCCCTTCATGTTGTGAGATGAAAGAAGAGCCTGTATTCAAGCCACTGCAAGAAAATCCAGCCTCCATTCAAGTTCGGGCTTCTTGCTGTATATTCCCCTTGAGACAGCAAACTCGGGGTCCCTTCCACATACATATTGCTGACAGAAGCCTCCTCTTGAGGTTCTTCTGGAAAGTTGGCATACGTCTTGTGCCTAAGCCAGGGAATCAGCTCTCATCTCGAGACGATTTGGGGTACACGGAGCATTACTCGAGTTGCTGTGCTGAAGTTGGTGTTCCTCTAGACTTGGGACAGTGTTCTCGGGGCATCTCTGGAGTTTTCTGAAGGAAGTCGAGCGACCGGTCGTGTTGAATGGGGAATGGGGAATGGCTCTGGAGGAAATGCAGGGGAATCGGGCCTCATCTCGAGTAGATTTGGGGCACATGGATCTGCTTTGCATTTCTGGGGTGACCTCAGGGTCCGTCTAGACTGGACACAGTGTTCTTGGGGACTCTGTCGAGATGCATTAAGCAAGTCGAAGCTCCTGACTTGTTTGAATGGGATCACGGAATAGCTCTGCATGCACTGCAGTTGAATGGGGCCTCATTTCGCCTCTAGGGGGAAGTCTCATGGTTTTTCTCGAGGTGCGGCAGGGACCTGGGGTATGTTCTCGACTTACGGCGGGGATGGCCCTTGAAAACATGAGTTTCTTCAGTGACGTCAGGACCCCTGTCTAGTAACGAGGGACACCTCAGGAATCTCTTCGAGGCTTGGCAGGGCAAAAGGGACGCTTCTCGAGGTGAGGCAGGGCACCCAAGGACCCTTTCCAGTAGCCAAAGGGATTTTGGGATTCCTATCAGTATTCAAGAGGAGTCAGGCATCGTCACATTCTGAAGCAATGAACTCCGCATGCCTCTCGAGGTGTCAAAGGGATGTGAGGCATTCCGTCAAAATGAGGCAGGGAACTAGGGCTTTCTCTAAGGTCTCCACAATGGATTCAGACATCCCTTCATGTTGTGAGATGAAAGACGAGCCTGTATTCAAGCCACTGCAAGGAAATCCGGCCTCCTTTCAAGTTAGGGCTTCTCGATGTATATTCCCCTTGAGGCAGCAAAATCGGGGTCCCTCCCACATACCTATTGCTGAGAGAAGCCTCCTCCTGAGGTGCTTCTGGAAAGTTGGCATATGTCTTGAGCCTAAGCCAGGGAATCAGCTCTCATCTCGAGACGATTTGGGGTACACGGAGCATTCCTCGAGTTGCTGTGCTGAAGTTGGTGTTCCTATAGGCCTGGGACAGTGTTCTCCGGGCATCTCTGGAGTTGCCTGAAGGAAGTCGAGCCACCGGTCGTTTTGAATGGGGAACGGGGAATGGCTCTGGAGTCAATGCAGGGGAATCGGGGCTCATCTCGCGTTGATTTGGGGCACATGGAGCTGCTTTGCGTTGCTGGGGTGACCTCAGGGTCCGTCTAGACTGGTGACAGTGTTCTTGCGGACTGTCTCGAGATCCATTAAGCAAGTCGAAGCTCCTCACTTGTTTGAATGGGATCACGGAATAGCTCTGCATGCACTGCATTGGAATGGGGCCTCATCTCGCCTCTAGGGGGAAGTCTCATGGTTTTTCTCGAGTTGCGGCGGGGACCTGGGGTATGTTCTCGACTTACGGCAGGGATGGCCCTTCAAAACACGAGTTTCTTCAGTGACGTCAGGACTCCTGTCTAGTAACGAGGGACACCTCAGGAATCTCTTCGAGGCTTGGCAGGGCAAAAGGGACGCTTCTCGAGGCGAGGCAGGGCACCCAAGGACCTTTTCCAGTAGCCACAGGGATTTTGGGATTCCTATCACTATTCAAGAGGAGTCACGCATCGTCACTTTTTGAAGCAGTGAAATCTGCGTGCCTCTCGTGGTGTCAGCGGGATGTGAGGCATTCCGTCAAAATGAGGCAGGGACCTTGGGCTTTGTCTATGGTCTCCCCAGGGGATTCAGACATCCCTTCATGTTGTGAGATGAAAGATGAGCCTGTATTCAAGCCACTGCAAGGAAATCCGGCCTCCTTTCAAGTTAGGGCTTCTCGCTGTATATTCCCCTTGAGGCAGCAAAATCGGGGTCCCTCCCACATACCTATTGCTGAGAGAAGCCTCCTCCTGAGGTGCTTCTGGAAAGTTGGCATACGCCTTGAACCTAAGCTAGGCAATCAGCTCTCATCTCGAGACGATTTGGGGTACACGGAGCATTCCTCGAGTTGCTGTGCTGAAGTTGGTGTTCCTCTAGGCTTGGGACAGTGTTCTCCGGGCATCTCTGGAGTTGCCTGAAGGAAGTCGAGCCACCGGTCGTGTTGAATGGGGAACGGGAAATGGCTCTGGAGTCAATGCAGGGGAATCCGGCGTCATCTCGAGTTGATTTGGGGCACATGGAGCTGCTTTGCTTTGCTGGGGTGACCTCAGGGTCCGTCTAGACTGGTGACAGTATTCTTGGGGACTGTCTCGAGATCCATTAAGCAAGTCGAAGCTCTTGACTTCTTTGAATGGGATCACGGAAGAGCTCTGCATGCACTGCAGGGGAATGGGGCCTCATCTCGCCTCTAGGGGGAAGTCTCATGGTTTTTCTCGAGTTGCGGCGGGGACCTGGGGTATGTTCTCGACTTACGGCGGGGATGGCGCTTCAAAACACGAGTTTCTTCAGTGACCTCAGGTCTCCTGTCTAGTAACGAGGGACACCTCAGGAATCTCTTTGAGGCTTGGCAGGGCAAAAGGGACGCTTCTCGAGGTCAGGCAGGGCACCCAAGGACCCTTTCCAGTAGCCACAGTGATTTTGGGATTCCTATCAGTATTCAAGAGGAGTCAGGCATCGTCACCTTTTGAAGCAATGAACTCTGCGTGCCTCTAGAGGTGTCAGCGGGATGTGAGGCATTCCGTCAAAATGAGGCAGGGACCTAGGGCTTTCTCTAAGGTCTGCACAGGGGAATCAGATATCCCTTCATGTTGTGAGATGAAAGACGAGCCTGTATTCAAGCCACTGCAAGGAAATCCAGCCTCCTTTCAAGTTAGGGCTTCTCGCTGTATATTCCCCTTGAGGCAGCAAACTCGGGGTCCCTCCCACATAACTATTGCTGAGAGAAGCCTCCTATTGAGGTGCTTCTGGAAAGTTGGCATACGTCTTGAGCCTAAGCCAGGGAATCAGCTCTCATCTCGAGACGATTTGGGGTACACGGAGCATTCCTCGAGTTGCTGTGCTGAAGTTGGTGTTCCTCTAGACTTGGGACAGTGTTCTCGGGGCATCTCTGGAGTTGCCTGAAGGAAGTCGAGCCACGGGTCGTGTTGAATGGGGAACGGGGAATGGCTCTGGAGTCAATGCAGGGGAATCGGGCCTCATCTCGAGTTCATTTGGGGCACATGGAGCTGCTTTGCATTGCTGGGTTGACCTCAGGGTCCGTCTAAACAGGTGACAGTGTTCTTGGGGACTGTCTCGAGATCCATTAAGCAAGTCGACGCTCCTGACTTGTTTGAATGGGATCACGGAATCGCTCTGCATGCACTGCAGGGGAATGGGGCCTCTTCTCGCCTCTAGGGGGAAGTCTCATGGTTTTTCTCGAGTTGCGGCGGGGACCTGGGATATGTTCTCGACTTACAGCGGGGATGGCCCTTCAAAACACGAGTTTCTTCAGTGACGGCAGGACTCCTCTCTAGTAACGAGGGTGGCCTCAGGAATCTCTTCGAGGCTTGGCAGGGCAAAAGGGACGCTTCTCGAGGTGAGGCAGGGCACCCAAGGACCCTTTCCAGTAGCCACAGGGATTTTGGGATTCCTATCTGTATTCAAGAGGAGTCAGGCATCGTCACCTTTTGAAGCAATGAACTCCGCGTGCCTCTCGAGGTGTCAGCGGGATGTGAGGCATTCCGTCAAAATGAGGCAGGGACCTAGGGCTTTCTCTAAGTTCTCCACAGGGGATTCAGACATCCCTTCATGTTGTGAGATGAAAGAAGAGCCTGTATTCAAGCCACTGCAAGAAAATCCAGCCTCCTTTCAAGTTCGGGCTTCTTGCTGTATATTCCCCTTGAGACAGCAAACTCGGGGTCCCTTCCACATACCTATTGCTTAGAGAAGCCTCCTCTTGAGGTTCTTCTGGAAAGTTGGCATACGTCTTGTGCCTAAGCCAGGGAATCAGCTCTCATCTCGAGACGATTTGGGGTACACGGAGCATTACTCGAGTTGCTGTGATGAAGTTGGTGTTCCTCTAGACTTGGGACAGTGTTCTCGGGGCATCTCTGGAGTTGCCTGAAGGAAGTCGAGCCACCGGTCCTGTTGAATGGGGAACGGGGAATGGCTCTGGAGTCAATGCAGGGGAATCGGGCCTCATCTCGAGTTGATTTGGGGCACATGGTGCTGCTTTGCGATGCTGGGGGTCCTCAGGGTCCGTCTAGACTGGAGACAGTGTTCTTGGGGACTGTGTCGAGATGCATTAAGCAAGTCGAAGGTCCTGACTTGTTTGAATGGGATGACGGAATAGCTCTGCATGCACTGCAGGGGAATGGGGACTCATTTCGGCTCTAGGGGTAAATCTCATGGTTTTTCTCGAGGTGCGGCGGGCACCTGGGTTATGTTCTCGACTTACGGCGGGGATGGCCCTTCAAAACCCGTGTTTATTAAGTGACGTCAGGACTCCTGTCTAGTAACGAGGGACACCTCAGGAATCTCTTCGAGGCTTGGCAGGGCAAAAGGGACGCTTCTCGAGGTGAGGCAGTGCACCCAAGGACCCTTTCCAGTAGCCACAGGGATTTTGGGATTCCTATCAGTATTCAAGAGGAGTCAGGCATCGTCACCTTTTGAAGCAATGAACTCCGCGTGCCTCTCGAGGTGTCAACGGGATGTGAGGCATTCCGTCAAAATGAGGCAGGGACCTAGGGCTTTCTCTAAATTCTCCACAGGGGATTCAGACATCCCTTCATGTTGTGAGATGAAAGAAGAGCCTGTATTCAAGCCACTGCAAGAAAATCCAGCCTCCATTCAAGTTCGGGCTTCTTGCTGTATATTCCCCTTGAGACAGCAAACTCGGAGTCCCTTCCACATACATATTGCTGACAGAAGCCTCCTCTTGAGGTTCTTCTGAAAAGTTGGCATACGTCTTGTGCCTAAGCCAGGGAATCAGCTCTCATCTCGAGACGATTTGGGGTACACGGAGCATTACTCGAGTTGCTGTGCTGAAGTTGTTGTTCCTCTAGACTTGGGACAGTGTTCTCGGGGCATCTCTGGACTTGCCTGAAGGAAGTCGAGCGACCGGTCGTGTTGAATGGGGAATGGGGAATGGCTCTGGAGGCAATGCAGGGGAATCGGGCCTCATCTCGAGTAGATTTGGGGCACATGGAGCTGCTTTGCGTTTCTGGGGTGACCTCAGGGTCCATCTAGACTGGAGACAGTGTTCTTGGGGACTGTGTCGAGATGCATTAAGCAAGTCGAAGTTCCTGACTTGTTTGAATGGGATCACGGAATAGCTCTGCATGCACTGCAGGGGAATGGGGCCTCATCTCGACTCTAGGGGGAAGTCTCATGGTTTTTCTCGAGGTGCGGCAGGGACCTGGGGTATGTTCTCGACTTACGGCGGGGATGGCCCTTCAAAACATGAGTTTCTTCAGTGATGTCAGGACCCCTGTCTAGTAACGAGGGACACCTCAGGAATTTCATCGAGGCTTGGCAGGGCCAAAGGGACGCTTCTCGAGTGAGGCAGGGCACCCAAGGACCCTTTCCAGTAGCCACAGGGATTTTGGGATTCCTATCAGTATTCAAGAGGAGTCAGGCATCGTCCCCTTTTGAAGCAATGAACTCCGCGTACCTCTCGAGGTGTCAGCGGGATGTGAGGCACTCCGTCAAAATGAGGCAGGGACCTAGGGCTTTCTCTAAGGTCTCCAAAGGGGATTCAGACATCCCTTCATGTTGTGAGATGAAAGACGAGCCTGTATTCAAGCCACTGCAAGGAAATCCGGCCTCCATTCAAGTTAGGGCTTCTCGCTGTATATTCCCCTTGAGGCAGCAAACTCGGGGTCCCTCCCACATACCTATTGCTGAGAGAAGCCTCCTATTGAGGTGCTTCTGGAAAGTTGGCATACGTCTTGAGCCTAAGCCAGGGAATCAGCTCTCATCTCGAGACAATTTGGGGTACACGGAGCATTCCTCGAGTTGCTGTGTTGAAGTTTGTGTTCCTCTAGACTTGGGACAGTGTTCTCGGAGCATCTCTGGAGTTGCCTGAAGGAAGTCGAGCCACCGTTCGTGTTGAATGGGGAACGGGGAATGGCTCTGGGGGCAATGCAGGGGAATCGGGCCTCATCTCGAGTTGATTTGGGGCACATGGAGCTGCTTTGCGTTGCTGGGTTGACCCAGCGTCCGTCTAGACTGGTGACAGTGTTCTTGGGGACTGTCTCGAGATTCATTAAGCAAGTCGACGCTCCTGACTTGTTTGAATGAGATCACGGAATAGCTCTGCATTCACTGCAGGGGAATGGGGCCTCATCTCGCCTCTAGGGGGAACTCTCATGGTTTTTCTCGAGTTGTGGCGGGGACCTGGGGTATGTTCTCGACTTACGGCGGGGATGGCCCTTCAAAACACGAGTTTCTTCAGTGACGTCAGGACTCCTGTCTAGTAACAAGGGACACCTCAGGACTCTCTTCGAGGCTTGGCAGGGCAAAAGGGACGCTTCTCGAGGTGAGGCAGGGCACCTAAGTACCCTTTCCAGTAGCCACAGGGATTTTGGGATTCCTATCAGTATTCAAGAGGAGTCAGGCATCGTCACATTTTGAAGCAATGAACTCCGCGTGCCTCTCGAAGTGTCAGCGGGATGTGAGGCATTCCGTCAAAATGAGGCAGGGACCTAGGGCTTTCTCTAAGGTCTCCACAGGGGATTCAGTCATCCCGTCATGTTGTGAGATAAAAGACGAGCCTGTATTCAAGCCACTGCATGGAAATCCAGCCTCCTTTCAAGTTAGGGCTTCTCGCAGTATATTCCCCTTGAGGCAGCAAACTCGCGGTCCCTCCCACATACCTATTGCTGAGAGAAGCCTCCTCCTGAGGTGCTTCTGGAAAGTTGGCATACGTCTTGAGCCTAAGCCAGGGAATCAGCTCTCATCTCGAGACGATTTTGGGTACACGGAGCATTCCTCGAGTTGCTGTGCTGAAGTTGGTGTTCCTCTAGACTTGGGACAGTGTTCTCCAGACATCTCTGGAGTTGCCTGAAGGAAGTCGAGCCACTAGTCGTGTTGAATGGGGAAGGGGGAATGGCTCTGGAGTCAATGCAGGGGAATCGGGCCTCATCTCGAGTTGATTTGGGGCACATGGAGCTGCTTTGCGTTGCTGGGGTGACCTCAGGGTCCGTCTAGACAGGTGACAGTGTTCTTGGGGACTGTCTCGAGATCCATTAAGCAAGTCGGAGCTCCTGACTTGTTTGAATGGGATCACGGAATAGCTCTGCATGCACTGCAGGGGAATGGGGCCTCATCTCGCCTCTAGGGGGAAGTCTCATGGTTTTTCTCGAGTTGCGGCGGGGACCTGGAGTATGTTCTCGACTTACGGCGGGGATGGCCCTTCAAAACACGAGTTTCTTCAGTGACGTCAGGACTCCTGTCTAGTAACGAGGGACACCTCAGGTATCTCTTCGAGGGTTGGCAGGGCAAAAGGGACGCTTCTCGAGGTCAGGCAGGGCACCCACGGACCCTTTCCAGTAGCCACAGGGATTTTGGGATTCCTATCAGTATTCAAGAGGACTCAGGCATCGTCCCCTTTTGAAGCAATGAACTCCGCGTACCTCTCGAGGTGTCAGCGGGATGTGAGGCACTCCATCAAAATGAGGCAGGGACCTAGGGCTTTCTCTAAGGTCTCCAAAGGGGATTCAGACATCCCTTCATGTTGTGAGATGAAAGAAGAGCCTGTATTCAAGCCACTGCAAGGAAATCCGGCCTCCATTCAAGTTAGGGCTTCTCGGTGTATATTCCCCTTGTGGCAGCAAACTCGGGGTCCCTCCCACATACCTATTGCTTAGAGAAGCCTCCTATTGAGGTGCTTCTGGAAAGTTGGCATACGTCTTGAGCCTAAACCAGGGAATCAGCTCTCATCTCGAGACAATTTGGGGTACACGGAGCATTCCTCGAGTTGCTGTGTTGAAGTTGGTGTTCCTCTAGACTTGGGACAGTGTTCTCGGAGCATCTCTGGAGTTGCCTGAAGGAAGTCGAGCCACCGTTCTTGTTGAATGGGGAACAGGGAATGGCTCTGGAGGCAATGCAGGGGAATCGGGCCTCATCTCGAGTTGATTTGGGGCACATGGAGCTGCTTTGCGTTGCTGGGTTGACCCAGCGTCCGTCTAGACTGGTGACAGTGTTCTTGGGGACTGTCTCGAGATTCATTAAGCAAGTCGACGCTCCTGACTTGTTTGAATGAGATCACGGAATAGCTCTGCATGCACTGCAGGGGAATGGGGCCTCATCTCGCCTCTAGGGGGAACTCTCATGGTTTTTCTCAAGTTGCGGCGAGGACCTGGGGTATGTTCTCGACTTACGGCGGGGATGGCCCTTCAAAACACGAGTTTCTTCAGTGACGTCAGGACTCCTGTCTAGTAACGAGGGACACCTCAGGACTCTCTTCGAGGCTTGGCAGGGCAAAAGGGACGCTTCTCGAGGTGAGGCAGGGCACCCAAGGACCCTTTCCAGTAGCCACAGGGATTTTGGCATTCCTATAAGTATTCAAGAGGAGTCAGGCATCGTCACCTTTTGAAGCAATGAACTCCGCGTGCCTCTCGACGTGTCAGCGGGATGTGAGGCACTCCGTCAAAATGAGGCAGGGACCTAGGGCTTTCTCTAAGGTCTCCACAGGGGATTCAGACATCCCTTCATATTGTGAGATGAAAGACGAGCCTGTATTCAAGCCACTGCAAGGAAATCCAGCCTCCTTTCAAGTTAGGGCTTCTCGCTGTATATTCCCCTTGAGGCAGCAAACTCGGGGTCCCTCCCACATACCTATTGCTGAGAGAAGCCTCCTCCTGAGGTGCTTCTGGAAAGTTTGCATACGTCTTGAGACTAAGCCAGGGAATCAGCTCTCATCTCGAGACAATTTGGGGTACACGGAGCATTCCTCGAGTTGCTGTGCTGAAGTTGGTGTTCCTCTAGACTTGGGACAGTGTTCTCCGGGCATCTCTGGAGTTGTCTGAAGGTAGTCGAGCCACCGGTCGTGTTGAATGGGGAACGGGGAATGGCTCTGGAGTCAATGCAGGGGAATCGGGCCTCATCTCGAGTTGATGTGGGGCACATGGAGCTGCTTTGCGTTGCTGGGGTGACCTCAGGGTCCGTCTAGACTGGTGACAGTTTTCTTGGGGACTGTCTCGAGATCCATTAAGCAAGTCGAAGCTCCAGACTTGTTTGAATGGGATCACGGAATAGCTCTGCATGCACTGCAGGGGAATGGGGCCTCATCTCGCCTCTAGGGGGAAGTCTCAGGGTTTTTCTCGAGTTGAGGCGGGGACCTGGGGTATGTTCTCGACTTACGGCGGGGATGGCCCTTCAAAACACGAGTTTCTTCAGTGACGTCAGGACTCCTGTCTAGTAACGAGGGACACCTCAGGAATCTCTTCGAGGCTTGGCAGGGCAAAAGGGACGCTTCCCGAAGTGAGGAAGGGCATCCATAGTATTGATGATATCACACCAACTGCATTTATGAGATCTCATCTGCTATATATGACGACATCATATGCATTGTAAATGACATCATATTCACTATAGTTTTAACATAACAGCCACTGTATCTGTTACATCACACCCACTCTTTCGGGGATATCACACCCTTTGTATGTATGACATCACACCAACTATATGTATAACATCAGATACACTCCAAAAGGCATC